GGTTTATTTTGACCGGTAGTATATACGGACCGTCGGTAGTGTATGCCAGTACCGTGTTTTTTTACCGCTGATAGATAAGCCTAGTATATTTTCAAGGGATATAGGTTTTGTATGCTGCTGCTCATCGTTACTTCATGTCATTTTAATTCTACTTAATCGTTACTTCAAATGTATTTGGAAAAAAATCTGTGGCCAACGAAGAGCTCACATCAGCTGCCACGCACTTCCGCCATGGCCTCCCGCGCGGTCTCCGTCTTCTACGGCTCACAGACCGGCTGTGCCGAGTCCATTGCCCAGGTTCAGTGCTGCACTCTGCTTCTATGTTCGCGCATTTGTGTCGTTAAATTAATATTTTTATGATATTGGCAAATTCCGCAGCGCATTTACGACGAGGCCCTGGAGAAGCAATTGGATGCAGAGCTACACCCGCTCAATGAGTTTCAGAAAGTGCGTTTTGGTTTCTTACTCTTTAGTGCTACAGTGGTGCTGGTGCTGAGTATTGCTGCTTGATAACAGAGCAAAGTTGAGACGCGCGACGGACACTTCGTGGTCATCGTGTGCTCCACAACAGGCAACGGCGACCCGCCTGACAACTGCGGCAAGTTTTGGCGCTATGTGAAGCGCCGAACGCAACCCGAGGACATGCTTGCCAAGCTGCGGTACACGGTATTGGGACTTGGAGACACCAACTACGACAAGTTCTGGTGAGACAGGATGGAGTGGCAGAGGAGTACGTGTGGGCTGACACTTTGGGTTTTATTGATGTAGTTTTATGGGCAAGAGCATTGAGAAGCGCATGCGAGAGTTGGGAGCGCAGAGCTTCTACGAGTTCGGTATGTGCCGTTGCCATCCCACTCCTTAGAGTCATACGTTTCGTCGTATGTCGTCTTACGATAATGCCATTTGTGAGTAGGTGCAGCTGACGAAGCGATGGGACTTGAGGACAGTGTGGAGCCATGGCTCAATGGACTATGGGAGGCATTTGACAAAGCAAATGGTGTGATAGAGGTCACCGCTGATGTTGTTACCTCAGTTTCGGATATCAAGGAAAGCACTGCAAATGGTGGTAACTCACTGACTACTGAGAAAACGTCGTCGACATCGACCACTGTGAACACGCCGTACATCTTGGACAACCTTATTTCGTACGAGAAGATGTTCGGCCCCCTGGACACTCCGACTGAGGTTCCTGAGGACCTCCCACGTCTACAACATTCGCTTCTGAGTGTGCATTTCCTGGGTGATGAAGAGCGGCAGAAACCAATTCACACGTCAACTACCGATGAAGATGATAAGGAAATTAGCTCGACGAACCCGTTCATGGCTTCATTGATTGGTGCTGAGTATCTTACCGCCCCACACGCCGAGAGAAAGGTTCTTCGTCTTGATATCGACGTCAGTGGCTCTGGTATTCAGTATGTTCCTGGTGACTCGATCGGAATCAAGTGCCCCAACCGAACGGAGGATGTGGATGCTCTACTGGCACGCTTGGGAGTCAGCGGTGATGAGGTTTTCTCAGCTGAACCGGTCGCCGCCACTAACGGACGTGCAGCAAAGCGGAAGAACACTTCGATTCACTTCCCTACGCCGTGCAGCGTCCGTGACGTCTTCTTACACTACGTCGACATCCTGAGCTCACCAAAGAAAGCAGCAGTTCGTGCTCTTGCGACGTATTGCACGGACGAGGAAGAACGTGCGCGTATGCTGCTTTTGAGCAGCAAGACTGGCGCAGACAAGTATACGGTAAGAACGTCTATCCGTAAAGCTATTGCGGTGCTTTTATTTCTGACAATCCCTTGGTATGTGATGTACAGGAGTTCATCACGGAGCAGCATCTCAACTTCGCGGAGATCCTACATTTCTTCCCGTCCTGCAAACCCCCACTCGACCACTTATTGACTCTGATACCGCAGTTAATGCCGCGGTATTACTCGATTGCGACATCGCCGCTGGTTGATCCCACTCGGCTGTCCGTGGCGTTCACTGTCGTAGAGTACGCAGTGGGCGAGCACGGCCTCCGTCGCCGCGGACTCTGCACGAACTGGCTGAACAAGATCTGTCAGCCGTTGATTGGCGCCAGTGTAGCTGCCTCTATAACCATCAAGATCCCAATCTTCTTGCGTGGCACGCAGGACTTCCACCTCCCTGAAAACTCTCAGTCACCGATGGTGCTTATTGGACCGGGTACTGGAGTTGCCCCGTTCATGGGATTTTTACAGCATCGCTACTACGAAGCCAAAGATGCGTCCGTAACTCGAGGTGATGCGTACCTGTTCTTCGGATGTCGACGACAGAGTGAGGACTGGCTGTTCAAGGAGCAGATGCAGGAATACGCCTCGAATGGCGCGTTGAGGCAGCTATTCATTGCTTTTTCTCGCGATCAGGATGAGAAGCACTACGTCCAGCACGACTTGCGCGACAATGTGGAGCTAGTGGCTGATATCCTATTGGGATCGGACGGCTACGTGTTTGTCTGCGGCGATGGCATGGCAATGGCTAAGGATGTTCACGCTGCTCTCGTTGGGATTTTGACAGAGCGTGCGGGGCTATCTCAGGAAGATGCCGAACTGAAGCTGCGAGAACTGGGAACGCAGCACCGCTACGTCCGTGATATTTGGTGATTCGCGCACGTAGTACACTCCTTAGATCTTGCTTTAGTTTACATGTAGAAGAGTTTGCATGATCTCCTCCGCCGGTTCGATAGAGGATTCAGTCTAGCACTTGTGTTCGACTCGACCGACATTTGAATTGAGGCGCAAGAGTATGCGAACCAGATTTTGCTCCCGAGTTGTACATCTCTCTCTCTACCACCTCTTACAAGAACACATTCTATAGAATTCAAAGAAAAAGTCTTCGGCAAAATATCATAATTAATGTGAATTAGCTTTGCTTCACGCAAGAAGAAACTTGGCCAAGGAAGAGGCTTATGTGCGCTCGCCGCGGATGCGTCGGGCCAGCTGGATGTCCTTCGGCATGATGGTCACACGCTTGGCGTGAATGGCGCACAGGTTCGTGTCCTCGAACAGACCCACGAGGTAGGCCTCCGAAGCCTCCTGAAGAGCCAGGATGGCCGTGGACTGGAAACGCAGGTCCGTCTTGTAGTCCTGCGCGATTTCACGCACCAGGCGCTGGAACGGCAGCTTGCGGATCAGCAGGTCCGTCGACTTCTGGTACTTGCGGATCTCACGCAGCGCGACCGTACCGGGACGGTAGCGGTGAGGCTTCTTGACACCACCGGCGGTGGGCGCCGACTTGCGAGCGGCCTTGGTGGCCAACTGCTTACGCGGGGCCTTGCCACCGGTGGACTTGCGGGCTGTCTGCTTGGTACGGGCCATGGCGCTCTAAAGGTTGCAGTTGCTTGTTTCTTGTTGCTCTTGTTGCTTGTTCTTGGTCTTGAGCTTGGAAAAGCGGAAATGAATCGACCGCAGATTGAAAAGAAAAGAAAAAAACGAGAGCGCGTCGCCAGCGCAGGAACGCAGTATACAAAGCGCAAGTGGTTCGGCAAAGGTGGTGTTCAAGAGGGGGAGATGACGCCTTTCGGAGGCTGGCGAACCCTTCAGGATTGTACTTGGATTTCGTATGTCGAACTCCTTGGGCGTGATTCGGGCCGGGCGGGGCGACGTCTCCGCCAACCATAACCAAACCAAGCTTTTTCCTCCCCTTGTCGCGGCTTCGTGTCTCTGGGCCACTCGCTCGCGCTGGCTCCCCCATCCCAGGCCGTCGGGCGAGCGTGAACTTAATATATAGGGTTTTGTATGGGCTGTCTTGGCCCCACCAGCCACATATCAACAGCTTCATTCAAAAATCGGAAGGTAGCGTCGAGTTTGACTTGCTTAAAGTATGCTAGCGTCACCGTCGTTACGTTCGACCCTTTCCACCAATCAGCGACCACCCTTACCCTGTTGCGCACATAGGAAAGGCCATACTGCACACGAATTTCAAGTTTCCCATACTGCACACGAATTTCAAGCGAGTGCTAGAGTCCTGCTGCTTTCACTGCTAGGAGGAGCAGCTCCCGAGTTGAATAGCAGAAGCCAGTGAGCAATCCAGGTGTACTGATGGTGTTTGAATACTGCTATTGTAGGGTACCATACTTATAATACAGCGATCTAATCGGCCACGAATTCGGACGAAGAATCTCCAGGAAATCGCTTCTTGGCACAAAACATCGATCAAACGCCAGCGAACGAACTGGCTACCGTGATGATGTTGACGTACATGAAGTGTTGAGTGTTGTGGGCGGATTCGACGCTGCTAAAACCTCTCTTGAAAAAAAAAATTGAGCGCCAACAGCTGCGTTCCTATATCGATTGCCACGTTTTGGTAAGTACATGCTGCTGCTGGTATTCGCAGCAGAACATGCTTCGCCAGCATAGGACTCCACTTTGGAAATAGCCCTTTCGTTTGCCACTGGCATTTTCGCTGCGATGTGCTTGTTGACTTTGCGCCAAGTCTGTGCACACCACAGCTGGTGAAGTGGACAGTTGATGGACAATCACGACCAGTACTCCCAAATTGGGAGTCCCAATTCAGCTTCAACTCAGCGATGGCGCGTCACTGTCTCATGTGACCCACACCACCCATTCATCTTCATCACCCGCTTGCAAAGCAATGGACTTCGAAGCACTGGCGGCGGAATGCCGCAGTGCTGCCTTCCGGTACGCTTCTCTAGCGAATGACTTCGCAACATAACTACCTTTCTCAAATGTGCCGACACTTTTTTGCGCCTCTTTATCTTTTGCATTGAGCTTAACTTGTTGTAATGCAATGCTTACCCTTTAGTTAATCGCCGCTGTGTTACTCCTGTGGACACATGCTAGATGATACCGACTAGTGTTGCAATGGCTTAGCTTAAGTAGCATAAGCCCTTCTAGGAGAAACCCAGTTGTGCTAATTGCTCTTCCAGCGCTGGGCGCTTCCCTCCAATTTTGATGGAAAGATCGTTTAAGATATTTGTGCCTGTGGCATCGGGGTCAACGCTCCAGCCAGGCAAGGGATTGATTTACCCGCCGGAAATGTGTTGCAATCAAAAGGAGCAATTGCATGAAAGCTAGATATTGCAATACCCAATTGGAGTGGAATCTGCAATACTCAACTGCAACATTGATCTACAGAAGTCGTTGCTATCCTAATTCATCAGCGGGTGCCTACGAACTCCATCAGCTCCAATGCTCAGCCAACGCTACACCTGCTACAATTAGCAGGGCTAAAGAAGCGATAAAACCTTGAAGACATAGTATCTAGAAGTAGAGTGTAGTGAGCTTTATATGTGAAATGACGTTGAAGTGAAGTATTACAATTTTAGATTGCAATGCCCAATTGCATGAGCCCCACGGATTGCAATACTCAATTGCATTCGACAAGCTAACTGTCATGTAAACTGTAAAAGAGCGTAATCAGAAATCGATGCAAATTGATTTTTCCCCTGCCTGCCTCCAGCGTGTGTTGGAGCTCGGGCACCAGAACCCTGCAACTAGGAGCACACAATCTGCTGGATCGACGGTGCAGCAACAATCAAACGGAGAACCGTTCGAATACAGTCTGGTTTGATCGGCGTTGTTTATCATGATGCTCTGCGGGCGCAGAGAACGGATGCATAACTAAACACGACTCTAGAAAATGCGATGATGCAGTTTTGTGGAAGACGGCACAGTTAAAATGGCGAAAAAGGTGTGATCTAAGACGAATATGTTCCTCCACTCCATTATAATTAGTGTTTGTTGTAGCGACGACTCATTCGCAATCGACGGGGCCAGAATGGCCAGTGCTACTGGAGAGCATATTTCCGATTATGCTAGATCGACGATGGAAGGTGGTGTCTACGTCGAGTGGAGCGGCGACCAGCGAATGTTCCGGGTAGTCTCCGAAGAATCAATGGAAAAGCAATTTTCAGCGCTAGGACTACGGCCTGATATGCAGCAAGAGAGAAACGAGACTAACCAAGCAGATCAAGAGTTAGAGGAACTAACTAGACGTTTTAAATACTGCTTGGGAGACTATGACTTGTCGTCAGCCATTTTAGAAATGCAAGCACTTCGTACACGAATATTGACGAAGATCCTGGAATCCCGAACACCTTTGAGATGGTTTCCCGGCTTTCTGGTTGCATGGCAAAATCTACTCAGCTTCATCGGCGAGTGTGGTGACATTCAATTTCCCTCTATAGATTTTGTTGAGTATTGTCGAGAACTCACGGCACTAGCAAACGGTTGGAAGCTCATCGGCGACGTCGCACAGGCTCGCTCAACATTAGGAAAGTGTTTCGAAGTGACTCGACGTAACCTCAAAGTGCCTCTAGCAGAAACAGCTCCCTTCGAAGATGACGACAGCCAAGCGCTACGATGTGCCGCCAGATCGGCAAAGAAACTGCTTCTCGACTGTGTGGCATTTCAATCCTCCCTGGATCGCACCAAAGAACTCTTTGGACGTCATGAGGCACCAGCTCACGTGCTATCCTCTCTTAGCAAGGATTTCTGGACTTTAATCCGCGAAGCCCCGTTCTCCGTTGAGCTGGCAATTTCCCTGGCACAATGTTTGATGAAGCAGCGTCAGTTCGCCCTGGTGACGAGGTTTTTGGAATATTCACCCTTTTCAGGAGAGGATGGCGAGTTGACACTGATACATGCACAAGCGCTGACCTATGTGGGGTTTTACAGGCAGGCAATTTGGATTGCTGAAGTGTTCACTACACAACACAACGAGATAACCTCCGCCAAACCATTGCAGAGTTATTGCGATCAATTGGTGACTCTGCTTGCTTATCGGGAGAAAGCTGACGAATGGCTGCGACTAGACCAATACGAGAAGGCAATGACAGCTTATGATGAGTGTTTGGCTTTAGTGGATCCAGCCGACCATAAGCAGATTGCTGCGTTGCTGTTCGGGTACGCAAATGCTCTCTTGGGACTGGAAAAGGTTTCTGCCGCGATCAAGGATTTCGAAAAGAGTTTGCAACTAGACCCATCGAATAAAGTCGCATCCATTCGATTGCAAACAGCGTGCTTACAGTTACAGACAGCACGAATCAAGAAAGAGATTTCTGGAAACCGCTTAAACAATAAGCCGCGAAGAATGAGTAAGTGGTACAAGTAAAGCGATAACTGGAGAGTTCTATGCGTCACCACATTACTCCTCCTTGTTCGTCAATTTGACTTTACCATCTACCCCAATATCCGCTTGCATCTTTGCTTTGTCAAGCGCAGCATTCGAGGCTGCATCCATTCCTTGTGGCCGCAGAGCGTTGATATACGATTGGTTGGCTTCGTTGCCCTCACACAGATTGCGAAGAGCGACCAATGACCATTCTCGGATCATTGGGTTTGTCTCGTCAATGTTACAGTGGTTCAAAAACAAAGGTAGGTAACCTTCCTCACGTACGAGATCCTGGTGGTCTGTATGCCGGAAGCTCAGGTTGCCGATGACGCGGATCAAGCCAGACCTGTACCCGAACGGCTCCCCGGTTGCTTGTGTCTGCATCGTCGAACCCGCAGCCCTAGTGTTTCTAGTTGTAGTGCTCTGGCGCCCAAGCTCCCAGACACGCTGCAGCTCCTGAAGCAGTGACAGTAGTACTTCTCGAGCCCCCTCGGCGTTAATTCTGGTGTTACCAACTGTCAACTCTCCAAGTACATCGAGCAGCATCAGTTTGGCTTCGTTTTCAAGTTCACACCACACTTTCTTCCTGATCTCGTCCACTTCTTCCGGTCTGTCTTCATCACCGACAGTGATGATATACGCCCACGTACTCTTCACAAACTCAAACGTTCCTTCGGGAAGTGGCTGATTTTTGCTAGTCTCTTCTTGAATGGTTGCTGGCAGCGATGTCTTGGGTGACGAGACAGCCCACATCGTGAACATCCGTAGCAGAATCAGTTGCTCCGGAGTCACTCGAGACCAAAGTTTGCTCAGCATGTGCGCACCCACAGCGTTGTAAAGGTCTTTGGCGCGACTGTCGCGGAACAGCACTCCAAACAACGTACAGATCCACTCGAACGCGGGGTCCTCATCATCGATGCGCAGTTCACTTGATAACGACGCATTAGACTCTAACTTCGGAGGCTTTGCCATGCAGCGATGGAGAATCGTGATCACCAAATTGCGAGCGCATATCTAAAAAAAAAAAACACCATAACAAAAACAGAGTAAATATTTCTCATCGATGAGGCCTGCCAACTTTTTTTGCATACCAGGTCGACACGACGAGCGGAAACTTCCTCGATTTCAGAGCCATCGGTGCTATTTGAGTTGACGCAATTGAGGATCAGCGCCACAGCAAAAGCAACCACTTTACGATACTCGTGGCACTCCACCAGTATTTTCTGTTCATACAAAAGTCAGTGTATTGCTCAGTAGCAGTAGTCATTAGGCATCCCAGTCACGCACCTGAAAATCGTCGGGGAAGAACAGCTCCCATGCTGTCGCCTGGCTGGTCGTGTTACTGGTGACTGCATTAACGCAAAACTGGAGCGCGACTTGGGCTAGAAGTACAACACGACTGCGTTCAGCATGTACAAAAGGTTAGTATCAATGCAATAGCCAATACTCTTTTACTAAATGTCCGTTCACAAGCTGGAAACAGTAGCAACTTACCCTTTCAATGTCTCGTCCTCGACGTCCGCCCACAGACAGCAATTTACCACAACGTCATGCGCCTACATAACACGATCACTTCGTCAGGGCTGCTTTATAACCCACTCGCAACCGACACTCAAGCACTAAAGCCCTACCAGTTTGATAAGTCCGGCATCCCGGCACGCATCCTGGTTGGCACTGCACGCAGCGCAAGCATTGCGCAAGAAGCGGAACGCCGCTGTCACAGCTCCAACTTGACTAGAAGCGCGGGCGATATTAGCCACAACAGGCTTGGGTGGCGAGAAGTCTTCCTGCAGAGATTCGGCAGTCGGATTCTTGCCATTCACGCGGAATGTATAGCCCAATCCGTCGTCGTCCTCAACCGCGGCACCTGCGTCCTCCGCATCGTCCCCAGTAGTCACAACAGTTTCCGCGGACAAAATCTGTGTCTTTAGCTGCTGCACATAGTCAGCGATCGTCTCAGCGGCCTGTGTCCATACTGGTGATGCAGCCAACGATTCTCTAATGCAGTTAGCATCGCATTACAACAAGTTAAGCTCAATGCAAAAGATAAAGAGGCGCAAAAAAGTGTCGGCACATTTGAGAAAGGTAGTTATGTTGCGAAGTCATTCGCCAGAGAAGCGTACCGGAAGGCAGCACTGCGGCATTCCGCCGCCAGTGCTTCGAAGTCCATTGCTTTGCAAGCGGATGATGAAGATGAATGGGTGGTGTGGGTCACATGAGACAGTGACGCGCCATCGCTGAGTTGAAGCTGAATTGGGACTCCCAATTTGGGAGTACTGGTCGTGATTGTCCATCAACTGTCCACTTCACCAGCTGTGGTGTGCACAGACTTGGCGCAAAGTCAACAAGCACATCGCAGCGAAAATGCCAGTGGCAAACGAAAGGGCTATTTCCAAAGTGGAGTCCTATGCTGGCGAAGCATGTTCTGCTGCGAATACCAGCAGCAGCATGTACTTACCAAAACGTGGCAATCGATATAGGAACGCAGCTGTTGGCGCTCAAATTTTTTTTTCAAGAGAGGTTTTAGCAGCGTCGAATCCGCCCACAACACTCAACACTTCATGTACGTCAACATCATCACGGTAGCCAGTTCGTTCGCTGGCGTTTGATCGATGTTTTGTGCCAAGAAGCGATTTCCTGGAGATTCTTCGTCCGAATTCGTGGCCGATTAGATCGCTGTATTATAAGTATGGTACCCTACAATAGCAGTATTCAAACACCATCAGTACACCTGGATTGCTCACTGGCTTCTGCGATTCAACTCGGGAGCTGCTCCTCCTAGCAGTGAAAGCAGCAGGACTCTAGCACTCGCTTGAAATTCGTGTGCAGAATGGGAAACTTGAAATTCGTGTGCAGTATGGCCTTTCCTATGTGCGCAACAGGGTAAGGGTGGTCGCTGATTGGTGGAAAGGGTCGAACGTAACGACGGTGACGCTAGCATACTTTAAGCAAGTCAAACTCGACGCTACCTTCCGATTTTTGAATGAAGCTGTTGATGTGGCTGGTGGGGCCAAGACAGCCCATACAAAACCCTATATATTAAGTTCACGCTCGCCCGACGGCCTGGGATGGGGGAGCCAGCGCGAGCGAGTGGCCCAGAGACACGAAGCCGCGACAAGGGGAGGAAAAAGCTTCGTTTGGTTATGGTCGGCGGAGACGTCGCCCCGCCCGGCCCGAATCACGCCCAAGGAGTTCGACATACGAAATCCAAGTACAATCCTGAAGGGTTCGCCAGCCTCCGAAAGGCGTCATCTCCCCCTCTTGAACACCACCTTTGCCGAACCACTTGCGCTTTGTATACTGCGTTCCTGCGCTGGCGACGCGCTCTCGTTTTTTTCTTTTCTTTTCAATCTGCGGTCGATTCATTTCCGCTTTTCCAAGCTCAAGACCAAGAACAAGCAACAAGAGCAACAAGAAACAAGCAACTGCAACCTTTAGAGCGCCATGGCCCGTACCAAGCAGACAGCCCGCAAGTCCACCGGTGGCAAGGCCCCGCGTAAGCAGTTGGCCACCAAGGCCGCTCGCAAGTCGGCGCCCACCGCCGGTGGTGTCAAGAAGCCTCACCGCTACCGTCCCGGTACGGTCGCGCTGCGTGAGATCCGCAAGTACCAGAAGTCGACGGACCTGCTCATCCGCAAGCTGCCGTTCCAGCGCCTGGTGCGTGAAATCGCGCAGGACTACAAGACGGACCTGCGTTTCCAGTCCACGGCCATCCTGGCTCTTCAGGAGGCTTCGGAGGCCTACCTCGTGGGTCTGTTCGAGGACACGAACCTGTGCGCCATTCACGCCAAGCGTGTGACCATCATGCCGAAGGACATCCAGCTGGCCCGACGCATCCGCGGCGAGCGCACATAAGCCTCTTTGGTGTCTTCTCCGCTTCTTCGAGCTGCATGCAGCTTATTTTTCTTATCGCCAGTTAGCTTTCTTTGGCTTGCTGTGTGTGATGGGGCGTAGTACAAGCACGCAACCGGTAGTATTTTAGCCTTATTATTTGCAGTAAGAAACTTTTCAACACGAAACGTTCCTGGTTCATCGTCCTAGCAAATTGCACGTGGGAACATTTCAAAAAGCGATCAGACTACCGGTATCGATTTGAATTGCGTTGGGTAAAAGAAGTGACTCATAAAATACATTCAAATTTTGAATATATCATTTCTGTGGTGATTGTTGCTAGATCAACGTTACTCTCGCTACGCTAACAATGCCGCTTTGTAGGTTGCGTCAAATTCATCGCCACGCTACGCCTCATTGTTGCTCAGTTTGTCCATGAGCAGTTGCTGCTCGTCGGCTATCTTCGTAAGCGATTGATACTGCAAGTTGTATCTGTTTAATTCGGAGAGCCATTTTGCAAAGCAAGAATTAGCAAACAAAGTTACAGTCCGGCCAACCCATCGCTCCAACGTACCGTTCCAGTTCGGTCTTCTTCTCCTTGATCAGTAGCTCTAGCATTTGCTTCTGGCGATTCCGATTCTCTACCTCGCTGTCCACTCGGTTGCGTTGGCCGATTGCCTGTCATTTGCCACTAGGCTCTTAGCTTCTCCGCCAACGTCGATAAATCCATTTATGGCTGTCATACCTTCAGCTTCTCACGCTCAATGCGTTTTGCTTGTCCCTCCATCACCTCTAGTACGCCCTTGACGATCGCATGGAACTCTTCAAGCTCTGTATGACGTGCAGCAAGTTTTAGATTCGACCATTTCAGATTGGGAAGGCAGACACGTACTTGTAGCAAATTGGTTGCTCTCTTGCTCGAGCTCCTGCGTGTGTGTGATGTTCTCCTTGTCTAGCACGCGCACTTGACAATCATCATCGAAGCAAATGCTCGGGAGCTGGTTGTCTCCGCGACTCATGCTTTGTTTGTGAAGGCTGCGACTTTTCGCCTATCTTATATTTCCGGTATACCGGTAATAATAATTTGAGTATTTTTGCAAGGAAATTTATTTGATAATCACCTTTTATAATTGCAATGCCCATTTGCGAAATCGAGCGAAAATGAACACGAACGTGAAGCGCCTCCGCAAGGAGCTGCAGGAGCTCAAGAAGAACCCGGAGGAGGACATGGTGCTGTACCCGGAGGAGGACACCATCATGCGCTGGAAGGCCTATATCCGCGGCCCCAAAGACACCCCGTTTGAGGACCGCTGCTTCGAGCTGGCTATCCAAACCACACCGCTTTACCCCATGGAACCGCCGAAGATGAAGTTCATCACCAAAATCTTCCACCCCAATGTGCACTTCAAGGTAACTGGAAACAGTAACTACTAGTAGTAACGCGGAGTTAAAATGGTCACAAGTGGGGTTGCAGTTTCTGATTAACCTTCTTCTGTGTTATGTCAATCGCTGCAGGATGGCAGCATCTGCCTGGACATACTTAAGCGCGAGTGGTCTCCCGCGTGGACTTTGAGGGTGAGCAACGTGTTGCTATTCTGCACGTCTGTGAGACTCACTAATGTGTGGATATGCCTAGGCTGCGTGCTTGGCTGTGATCTCGTTGCTGTCGGACCCAGCGGCAGACTCGCCCCTCAACTGCGACGCCGGTGAGTGAGCACTGTGATGATGACTAGAGAGGTGGGCTTAGGTACTGAAGCTGGCATACTGTGTGTCGTGCAGGGAACATGATTCGTGCGGGTGACATGTTGGCCTATAACACCATGGCTGAGATGTACAAGAAGGAGTACGGACTGCTGGAGCTTCCCAAGGATCCGTTCTAAGTCTGCAAACACAGCGCCTGTACAGTAAAGTTTGCATGAACGTTTGGGCGTCTTAGGGTGATAACAAATCCACTGCTTAGACGTTTATATTTCTTCCTTCTGTCCATTTAGCAACGCAGGATGTTCGGCTTGCTTAACCAAGTCGCCATAGTAAGCAGTCACGACCTTCAGCTGCTTGTTCAGGAAAATCTTCTCGCACTCCACGGGTTCACCAGGCGTTAATGCCTCTAAGTCCTTGGTGGGTGTACCCCTCGGGAGGTAGTATGCAATATTCCTTGTTACTTGACGAGCCTTGGCAAACAGGTCCAACCCCGAGACGCCTTTCACAAGCATTTCTTCCAAGCTGAAGTGCTTTCGACTGTACTTCACGCCTCCCCATGGCGGAGATAAGAACACTGCATCAGCCTTGACGTTTGGCAGGATATCAATCGAGTTGCCAACGATAAACTCGATCTTGTCCGCGACACCATAAATCGCAGCATTGTGTTTTGCCATGCGGATCTTTTCAGGGTCAATGTCGATCGCAATAACCTGCTTGCACGTCATCGCTAGCTGGATCACGTTCCCGCCGCAACCTGAGAAAGGATCAACCACGACATCACAGGCAAGACGCTTTGATATATGCTCAGCAATTACTTGAGGTGTCACCTGTATGCAGTATGTCAGCTACTGGTACAATAATGTATAGTAGCAGAGTACGACGTACCGAGTACCAACTTTCGTGGTCCAGCTGGATGCCATCTTCAAACTTCTCGAAAAGAGTATGTCTTTGCAGGTAGAACTTAACAACGTCCTTTGGAACTGCAACACATCCACAGAAGATTACGTGAGTAAGAACTCAATAAGCTCTCTCGCAGCAAGAGCCAGTACCTACCTGGATACTTGTTTTTCTTCTTCTTTCCAGTTGAGTTCTTATGTTCGATATCACGGATAGTCTGCTCCTGAGATTTAGCTTCTCCAACCACCTCAACCTTCTCGATGACACGCTCCGCCACTTCTCCATCTGAGTCGTACACGACGCGAACCTTGTCGACAATCGTCGTCTCCATTTTCGGAGCCTCCTCCTCTGCAACTTGCTCCTCCCCATCAACAGCAATTCCCTCTTCACTTCCATCTTCTTGTTGCCCAGCGTTCACAACACTGTTGCTCTCTTCACCATCCACTTCCCCGGTCTCTTCCTCGTCTGGAAATTGCTCCTCCTCTTCCTCCAGTGATCTCTTGCGCTTCCTCGACGTCTTAGAGCCCGATCTGCCACCAAAACTCAGTGGTAAAGTACCCTCCATTCCTGCTATCTTCATCTCCTGCTCTAACTGATCTTGTGCAGCCCTATACATATCCGCGCATGGGTCTTCTTCATCTCCATCCTCAACCGCGCCACCGTTTGCTAGGCGTCGACGTTTGTTTTTCTTGCTTTTCTTGCCTTTCCGAGGCTACCAACACGTAAAAAGCACACCGCAATAACCACCACACATCAGCAATGCACCTCCAGTCATTACAGTTAGCAATTCTACCTCCTCGTTCGCTTGCGACTTGCGGCTGCGCAGCCGCACTTCCGTCACCAGTGCCATGCCTCTCAAACTGAATTCGGACATTTTCATTGGATACTTAAAAATTGTTTTTCTACCAATCTGAATGCTGTATTTTTGTTGAAGTGTACATTTTAGAAATTGCGGAATCATGCCTAGAAGCCGCGTCGCCCTGGGCGTCATAGCAGCATATCTGGGCCATTGCGAGGCATTACCAATAGTGGAAGACGTCGTGTGGTTTACGGGCTCTCCGTCCTCCCGCTGGAATGCCGTAGCGTCGACGTCGGTGTGCGCACTCGATGTTTTCCACTTCGGAGTAAGATTTCCAGCTTTTCAATACAAGAATCATGACAATTTTCAATGGCAATTAGTGGCCAAAGATGCAGAAGGGTCGGTAAAAGACGCTGTCGTGGCTTCCGGGCCACTGAAAGTGACGCAGTTGAGCAGAGAAGAGTTCGAGCAGGAGGAAGAGAGAGAAGAAACTGCTGAAGAGGGAGAGAAACAGATAGAAGAAGGGCTGGAATGTAATTTTGATCCGGAATTTTGCACCCCGAAGCTGGTAGGTATTCGTCTACCGGATGTCGATGGGGAGAACGAGGACGGATTTCCCTTGCAGAAAGACCATTCCATAGTGTTGGAGTTCGAACAGCCCACAAACCGACCTGGTGCGAGCTCCAAGGAGGAGATTGATCGATTTGTGAGCTTTACAGAATATATTGGCGATGAATTAGAAGGAATATGGTCAGATGACGGCCGAGTGCTGGTGATTCGGATTAAGGACATTGATAATGAAAAAGTGAAGCCAGTGGGAGAGTTAATGCAAGGGTTACTGCATACAAGTCTGTCTGTTGCAGTGGGGAAGGAAAGAAATGTGCGAAAGGCGTGGTACGAAGGTTTACAGAGTTTACGAGTTGAGCCGCCCGGGATATATGCAATTCATGTGTCTGGTCTGGATGAGGTGGCGTTCTGGTCACCTGAGGTCACAGTTATGCCTTGTGATGCATCGTTTATTGTACTGGATCCAACGCGAGCTGCAGTAGCAAATGGGAAGAGCTTGTTGGGCGAGGTGTCGAGTGATACGCATCCAAGTTTTGCAATCGATGGGGTGATGACGCATGGTGGAGATGAAGGGTTTGTATTGCCGCACGATTTAATTCAGATGGAGATGCCAGGCTCCTGGAGCCTAAGCTTTTGGGTGTTTTTGACAGAAGATTCTACGGGTAGTTTTCGAACTTTGTTCTTCAATGGAGACGGCGAGAATCAGCAGCGAACACCATCAGCGTGGTGGAAACCAGACGAGCGTCGGCTGGTGCTGCGGGTAAGCACAAATACCAGCACTGACATTGGACTGGATAGTCGCAACGAGCTTCCTCTAAATGAATGGATTCACATGGGATTTACATTCGTGAACTGTTCTCAAAGTGCCGCATACGGAGCATGTTCACAAAATAAAACAGCTAAAAGCTGGGATTACTCGTATTCATTTTATGTCAACGGATTGCTAGATGCAGAGGTGCGTATCCATGAATCTGTAGTTGCGAACACTGGTCCGTTGCATATTGGCAAGGGACCGTGGACGGATGGAATGAAAGGATTTACCAGCAACTTGAGAGCATTCCCCGTTCCTATCTCGTCAGAAGAACATCGTCAGCTCTACTTCTCGGGAAGGCACCATCACAATAACTACGCGGACTGCAGTGATAATTCATACTTCGATGAAGAAATGAAAAAAGCGACAATGCAAATATCTTACTTGTCCCAGTGCTTCGATTATGGAGAAAATGATACCGTGGTAACCAGTGATGAAGGTTATGATAATTCCCGTTTTGAAGAAATTCAAGCGACTACGTTTGAAAAATCCGCCGCAGCGTTGGATTCATGCGATCCGGATGGATGGGATCTCTTACTGGAAGCTGCAGACCTGGAGCACCCAGCTGCCTGTCGTGGTGTTGGCGAGGCATATTTGTTTGGATCATCTTCAGCTCTTCATCATTGCCCAGCACCAGAATCCATTAGTCAAAACTGGACACTTGCGGAAAAATATCTCGCTAAAGCTTTTAATGGTGAAATCTACAGTGCTGGAAAATCTCTTGCGCTCCTGCTTGCAGTTATTAACACAGATACATTACAACTCGACTTGTTGACAAATGGGCTAATCCATTTTGCTGCAGCTAGTGGTGAAAAAGATGCGTTTGCTATGCTGGGGCGTCGATATCGCGCTTCTGATGTGGAGATAGCAGCGTATCACTATTATCATGCGGCGGTGGAAGCGGCAAACGCGTTTCATCAACTTGGAAAGCAGCCACTGCACGAGATGACGCGATTGTTTGACTCTTTCGAGAGAGATATTACTGTGGGTGAACGAGGCGACGATGACGAGTTGATTCAATTCCAAAAGGTACGCGCAGATAATGGTGATGTTGAGGCGATGGCAGCAATGGGGGATCTGTATTATTGGGGTGCTCATGGGGTCCCACGTGACCATACACAAGCATACAACTATTTTAATCGAGCAGCTCAAGCTGGTAATGTAAACGCGCAATCAGCTGTGGCAGGTATGCTTTTGAAAGGTGAAGGAACAGCTCAAGACAATGTCACCGCTATCAAATGGTACGAACAAGCTTCAGAGAAGAATCATACTCGAGCACTGAATGGTTTAGGATTCATCCACTTCCACGGTAGTGGTGGCGTCCCTGAGAACAAGACACTTGCTCTCGAGTATTTTGAACGTGCTGCATTAAACAAAGAAGACGGCGACAGTATCTTTAACGCTGGATATTGCCATGCCAAGGGCCTTGGTACAAGTGTAAACGTCAGTCGTGCCATGGAATTCTATGACATGGCAGCGAGAGAATTTGGACACTTCGATGCCATCTTTGAAATGGGAAAGATTCTGATGCTTGGAGTGTCTGGAGTAGTGCCACGTAATAGTGAAAGAGCAGTAGAATATTTGAAGGCAGCGTGTGATGGAGGACAATGGGGGCGTGTAGTGAGGAAGGGGTTCGATCTATACACTAATGGAGAGTATGAACGCGCTGTTGTTGCGTACCATGAAGCTCGCGAGCTTGGATATCCTGTAGCAACCAGCAATTTAGCCTTCCTCTACGACCAACGTCTGTTGCAACTAGGGAACATAGCGAGTGAACGCAGAGCACTGAAGTACTTGCTATTGGCGAATACTGAAAACGGCGACAGAGAAACCCTCGTGCGAATCGGAGATTATCACTACTACGGACTTGCTGGAATGCGTAAGGATCCAAAGGTTGCGCTGCGGTGGTACAGTCGGGCAAGTGCTGAGGGTGTCGCTGTTGGAGCCTTTAATGTTGGTCAAATGTACGAGTTTGGCGACGGTGTAGGAGTTAATCTGGAACGTGCGCAACGATATTATGATCGCGTGTTGGAGCTCTCAGGTGGAGCAACAGAAACTCAGTTAGCAATCCGATTCGCAATGGCTAGGCTAGCCATGCGAAGTTGGTTGCAGAACACTCCTTTTGGCAGACTTCTTGGGCCGGAAAGACCGCTAGATAGAGCGGAAACGAACATGTCAGCTTCAAACTCGACCGCGCTGTTTGACGCAACTACGAGCTTCTTTGACGGCAAAGTGTGTGTGCTAATTTCCACAACGGCGATCATTTGTGTCTCGATCGCTGTGTGGTATTTCCACAGCAATTAATAACAACCAGGCGAATTAATTTCTCATCCCAGCGTCGACAAGATTTAACGAGCAGTGGTGTGAGCATCCGGTCGGACAAACTGTCTCGTGAGCAAACCATTCCGTTAGGTGATCCAAGTGGCCGCCATGTGCACATACAGGACACCAGACATAGAGACCCCGTACTGGTAGTTGACTACAAACAAACAAAAGAATAAGTGAACACCTACATCTTTTGCTCATATGCTTAAAGGTGACGTACCAGATGGAGCATAATGTGGCAGTGTTGCTGCAACTTGTACAAAGCGAGATTGGTACACCAAGGTCGCTGGGGCCAGACGACTCGAGAGGTTTGGAGCATCTTGCACAATTGAAGTAGACGCTCGTGGATTTCTACAAAGCACAGATCAGTATCGTCATTGCAGTCACACCATAAGCAACTTTTACAACATACCATATTCATCTGTCGAATGGATTGGTCCGAGCAATTTGCGACCAGTTCGTTTGCCGTCGTGTAGATCTGCAGCTGATGAAGCAGATCGATGTAGTGCATGTAAATGTGCTGCAGCCACGCCTTCCCCATGACTTTCTCAACACTAGTCACTTTCCCCACGACAACCGTGATGGCAACACACGACTGTAAATCTCCGATCTCCGTGTAATACTCCAGTACTTCCTTCAGCACATCATCACGTAGATGGCCTAGATCCCCCATGACGGCACTCCCATTCATGATCATCGATGAATTCCCGCGTACGTTGGCCACTCCAGACGTTCCATTGCGATCTCCAGCTTCTCGTCCGATCTCGTTTGCGTGTCTTCCAGTATGATCATACGGATACGGATCGAATCCTTCCATCGCTTGCGGATTGACATGGTCGAGTTGCTCCAGTAACATAGTCGTCTCGCTCGCGTTATGACCGTGAGTCGCGTGACTGTGTCCATCATGACTAAACTCTTCGCTGTCGTGCCTGTCGTCTCTCTGCACAAAACCATCCACTTGGTCGTCGTGGTTGCTGTCACTTGGAGAACGCTCGCGGTTTTCGTCGTCCAGATCTCGATCTTGACCATCTTCGGCAGTATAATGTTCGTTGGTCTTCAATTTACCTCCACTCCGCTTAACTTTTGCAATATCTGCTTCTTCGTTCGCATACAGAACTTCCAAGATGCGCCACATCTGACACAAGTGCGAATTTCCGGTGACAAATGCGGCCAAAGCGTTATGCGCACACATTTGCGCGAAGCTAACTCCACCCTTATCACCACCACCTCCATTACTGTTCTTGCTGGCGCCTTCGGGGAATAGCATGTAGTGCTTAGCCAAGAACCGGAACGTGTGCTCATCAAACCCGAAAGACTCTTTCAAGTACTGGCCTTGCTCGAATTGTGCGCGCATGGCTTCAACTTGTTTCCCTGCTTGCACGTACTCGCTCTCATCGCCCAGGAAGATTTTCTCGAGTTGGTGCGAGTTGTTTACGTTCTGCATTGTCACAAGCGCCACTAGCGCACGAGGTACCGCTGAGCCGGACATCATTGGAGTTCCAGGCGATGCAGACGCCAACGAAGCTGATGCGTTCGATACAGACACAAAGTTCCCGTCCGAGTGCACGTTTGCTCCTCCCGCAGTGCTGTTCCCCTGCAACGATAACATGTTCGGCTGAGAGGACGACGCTGGGCCTGATCCTCGGGCGATTCCACCTGATCCCATGCCGCTTACAGCGTTGAGGCTGCTGCTTCCCCCTGCTGACTTATAACCCGTCCCCGTGGACGATGCTCCACTCGATAAACTTGTTAAGTTCGCACTACTACCCGCTGATCTGTTCAATCCCTTGGGCGCTAGAGGAGGCTGCTGTGATCCACTGAACGACCAAGACGCAGTGCGCGAAGGCTGCTCTTGAGTTGCTCCAGTAATAGTATCGTCTGGGCTTTCGACGCTGCCGTGATAAGGGCTTAACGACATTGTGAGTGGGCCACCACCAGACTTTCGATCACCAGTTAACGGACCGAGACTTGGAGATGACGACGATACTCCCCCAACTGTAAAGAGCGAACTACCCAAACTAAAGTGACGATGAATCTTCAGGGAAGCACACGATCGATCTACAATAAATACATAAGCATAATTCTTCTCATAAAAATAATAAAAAAAGAGCAAATCGTACCAATGTAGTCGTGGGAAAATGCGACTTGTCCTTTAGAGTTGAGCGCAAGTGTTGTGGTCGGTAGTGACTGATGTGGTTTGAATGAGTCAGCAAGCGAATGTAACTTTAGAGTGCCATCCTTCGAGCACGCTAGCATATGCTGCCAGTAGTCGTGGCCTTCCCAGTCTCCAGGAATCTCTGGTTGCCCAAAATTCGGGGACACGGGTGTATCCATCCACGAAATGCCCGATGCAATGTCCGAATGGCCTTTCATGGACGCGACTGGGATGAATGGCCGCTTGGTATCCCACACGTGAATGCTATTGTCCATAAGCGAGGCGCTCGTAGCGATATGCGTGACACAAGTTGGTCGCCAGGCTACACGCCCCACGCTCGCAATGGTCTGGATCGTTTGTTTCGGCTGTCGGACATCCCCCAACTCCCAGATTTTCACATAGCGATCACGGCCACCAGAAGCCAAGACATTGGCATCCGTCGGATGCCAGTCAATACTCAAAACTAAGCCCTTGTGCGCCGTGAACTTGAGTTCTGGCTGCGAGTTCTTGCGCATATCCCACACTTGCACAATACCATTCTCAAACGCAGCGGCAAACTTGTTGGGGTGGAACGGACTGGCTCGCACATCACGCACACTCTCTGACTTTGGTTGGTATGTAGACACAACCTTCCCACCACGCTTATCCTGCAACCATCAACATGAGTACGCTTTCTCTTAACGTATATACTAATTTAAACATCTTACCCAGAGTTTTACAGTGCCGTCCTGCGACCCACTGATTAGCACGTTCCAGTCCGACGTGTGCCAGCAAATGCGGTTAACCGCACGTCGATGCCCGTTCAACACTCGCTCTAGAAACAAAAACGATAAATATTAGAATCACGAGTCTTCACGACGTCTCCTTCAACCTTCCTACCTTGAACATGCTTATATCCGTCACGTTCTAAGTTCCAGATCACCACGGCGCCATTTGTGGCCGCCGTGGCCAGTAAATAGTCCGAGTCTGATCATTAATGTGTGTCAATACTAATACAACGCCGTCGATTTCAGCCACAGAGACGTACGTGGGTGCCAGCGGATGTCATTGGTGCTGAAGTTTAGACTGGGTTTACCCACTACGCGCAGGTTTCGCTTTTCCGTGAAGCCCGAGGCTTCTAGTGCCACGACCTTGAGCACTAATTAGAAAAGTGAGCGATTGTGACAATAGACAGAGAGAGAGCACGCGAATAACACACCATCTCTACCGCCCACTGCGATCAAACGATTGTTTGGAGACGTAGACAACGCGTTGAGCGGCCCGTTAAAGTCCATGGAAGCACGGACGCTCGCCGCTGCGCGCTGCTCCATCATGATGCCGCAAAGTGATAATGCAAATATTTTCGACCAATCCCACCGTTGTACCTAGTCGTGGATTGGTCAAAATGAAGGAAATGCGCCCAAGATACAACAATTGCTTCAACTCAAGCTCAACGGTATGTCCCAGCTGCTCTTCATCCATGAAGTTGCAGTCATGCGCTGCTCTATGAGGGGCTTGACACTCACGGAGAAGCAATGTGCAATTGCTCCAGACAGCGCAGATGGTCTTCCTGAATTCCCGAGTTGAATCATGAATCTGTATCTCAACCGTTACTCGTTAGTGTGTCCTTCGCCGTTTACTATCGTTGGCGATACATGTACGGAGAAGAAGGACGACCTGCGAAGGAGCGCTCGGTGTAAAGATCCTAGTGAACGAATGAAATTTCGAACATAAGCCACGATATAGTACACGTACTGCGACGCCGAAAACGTCCCCATTTTCCGACTTGACAGCTCCTACACACGTCACCTCAGCTATCATGGGAGTCTGCCAGAGCTCTTGTGCTAACTCTAGCAGTCTCGAGTACTACGACGCCTGGGGGCACCAGGTACCGTGTTGACGCAGCACCATTCTCCTGTCTTCTGTTGACATCGGTATTTCCTCCCACCAGCCAATTCGCCGACCATACAAACCCAACGGCTGTGCTGGTTACCGCCCCAAGGACGACACGAAGCTCTGGATGTGCGAGCGTGGCTGCTGTTCCATCCGCTGGAAGCTCGACTATGCTGGTATGTTGCTTCAAATTGCTGTAACCTGTTAAATGTGCAATGCTAATGTATGCATATGCTACTATAGAGTTCCAGAACTACTTCAAGTACATCGAGGTGTCTCCGTATGTGGTGCTGCAGGATAAGACCCAGCAGTGCGATTGCGTCATGTGTCGCGGGATGGCAGACTCGTCGCCACCTCAAAGGAGGTGGAAGGACTCGTTCATGTTTAAGAAGGACAGCAACTCGCTCACCGACGGATCACTCACAGACGACGAACCAGAGAGACTGGATAATCCGTAACAAGCAATGCAGTTTTAGAGCATTTTGGAGACCTGTATTACTAGTAAATGTACTAGTAGCTCATAGTGCTTCTTTCCATCAATTATAGCGCAAACTTGGCTGCAAGAACGAGTGTATCCGGCGGTAGGGCTGGAGAGGTGGGCTCTCGTTCGAGCAACTTCGATTTGATCGTCTTTAAGCAAACTCCGGAGAGTTGTGGCTTTTGTTTCTATTTGGTTGGTTGCTACTAGCAATGCTAGAGCGTTTAGGATCCAAAAGATTTCCCACCGAATCTGACAGCAACGATGACATGACTTAGTCGCCAACGGTTAGATAACTTGCATGAAGCCAGCCTTGTAACGTTTGATCGCGCACGACACCTTCGCTAAAATAAAGAAATGCTCGAGATCTTGATGAAAAGGCGTCTGGTTCGAGCTACTGCCCTCTCGTTGGCTAAACAGCCTTTATCCTAAGCAGATCCCAGCGGAATTGAGTGTATCTTTCCAGCTTGACTGCAACCTGTCATCAAATGCCAAAACGAGCCACTCATTGAAACAGCGGCGAATAAATATATTGACGCGCCGCTACTCGACCTCCGCTACCCGTTTTAAACGAGCCCGTGACTCCGACACCAACTTTCCACCTAGATCCCTCACTTTCTGCCATCGAAAATGTCCTCAGAAGGCCGACCTTCTCATTTCTCTCTCGCTCTCCGCTATGTATATCAAAAGCCAAAAAGCACAACGCATCATTTCTCCACAGAACAGGGCTACACAAGTCACTCAGACCGACACGGAACGAGCGAGTACAGCCACCTGTTCCTGCAGTCTGGTCTCCATCTGTGCGTGAGCGCTTTCAGCGGCCTCTTGGTCCTTAGTCAGCTTCGCCTGCCACTTCTCGATGCCCTCCAGCTTCTGGATCACCAGTCGCTGCAACAAAATGAGGACATTTTCAGCCGCGTGCAGGTTACGCATCCCTTCGATCGAGAGCGCGCTGTGCGGGTCGTAATGTGTCCGTGAGCGTCGAGCAAAGTCCGAGACTGGCTGTGGGAACTTGGGCGGTCGTACGTGGGTCAATTCAGAGGCAAAGGCCTCATATTTGCGTCGTGCTTCGGGTTGGATCACGTGACACGCCTGTTCAATGAGATGTCCTGCCTCCACAGCCAATGGATACGAATTGAGAGCGAATTCCCGGATACTACCGGAGTAGTTCGGTGACACGACTGCAGCTAGCGCCACACGTAGCAAATGTAGAGCCTTGCGGTACATTTCCTCGACACGGTCTGCCTGCTTCTTGACACTTGCCACGGCCTTGATCTCGCTGGAAAAACTCGCAATACGAGCGTGTAAGTCCAGCACAGCAGGCATGTCCACAGTCTGGAACAGGTTGTTGAGGATATCTTCCTTCTCTCGCTCGAGCATCAGCAGCTCTTCCTGTGCATCTTCCCAGCCTGAACTCATCCTCATCGTCGGTATGGGGCCACTGCTCTCGCTGCCGCTGACATCGCGCGCCTCGTCCAAGCTGCTTAGTCCAGTCACACTCATACTGAAGACGCTATTACCGGTATTGGCAAAGTTGTTGCCTCCCGCTCCGTGCACGTTACTAACGTTAACGACGGCGGTGCCGTTCCTCGTGATCGTCCCCAGCGTCGTGGCTGACATAGCTGTGCTCTGTCTCTCGAGTCGTAGCAGTTCCTCGTCCACTAGGACCGATTCGCTGAGTTTTTCGCATAGCTTGGAGCGCAGCTTGGCCATCTTGGCGGCCTTGTTGATGGTGAAGACGCGACGGAAGCCGCCGCGTTCCTGCTTCTCCATCTTGTCCAGCAGCTCCTTCTGCGCGTGGATCATCTGGGCTGAGCTCTTCTTAGCCTGACGTAGCTCGTTCTTGACCTGGTTGGCACTGGCAGCGTCACTAACGCCAAACTGCTGGTCCATCTGCGACGCGCGCACGATGCGCTCGATCTCCTGGTTCACCTGCTCGAACTTATGCAATAGTCGGCGGTCCAGCACCACGTCGCTTGAGAGCGTCGGAGGCAGTGACGAACGCATGTGATTGTCCGTCTCGGCACGTCGACGGCCGCCCACGCGGGCGCTGGCGACGCGGCCTGTGCTCACAGATGAGGACGTGTGGAGGTTTGTCTCGCTCTCAGGCCTACGATGCGGAGCACCCGCGGACTTGCTGCTGGTTGGAGGCCCAGGGTCGTTCTGGTTGCTACTGAGGCGCTGCAGGTGGACAGCTGAGCCGCTGGGCTTAGCCGCGCCTCCGCTGTTACTTGGGTTCGCACTGGAGCTGGAGGCCTGGCTGTGGGCCTTGGTGACGCCACCGCCGCCGCCGTCTTCGCTCGCGGGCCGCGTGCCCATTGCTGCTGCAGAGTGAGAGTCACTGGCTCGTCGAGTGGAGAAGTCCTGCAGAGAGCGTTGGGGCTGAGCTGACGTGCCCGTCGCGCGCTTGTTGCTGGTGTCGTGGGAAACAGAATGCAGCACGGAAGGGCCGGTGTGCAGTAATGCTGGAGGTATACGCAATGCTTCAAGGTGCTTAGTTTAATCAGGTTAGTATTTGGTCACGAGGTGTATAGCGAAGTGTAATTTGGTAAATGTGAGTGTGATTTGAGCTTGAGCTTTTATCTTTCTTTGGGTTCGTAAGGAAAATTGATCTCTATACGTATATGAGATACACACTGGATAAATGATGTTTTTTCGTGAGAAAGCAGCCGGATATATCGGCTTGTCCCGTCTTACTCCGGTGCAAAAACCTTCCGACTTGACTCGCTCTATCGCGCCCATACAGGCCATCGCTGGCGGAGTGCAACCACGCTGTCGACCACGGAGCGGAGCTACTTTCGGCGCGCTCGAAGCAGCAGAGTGTGGTCGCTCGTTTCAGCCAGCGAACGACGGCCATTAAACAAGGGCACGACGATGGCGATCCTGAAGCTGCATGGGACCAGTTTCAACCTGCGATACGAGGGGAAGGTTTCTCGATTACGGCAGTTGCTAAAACTGTTGCAGTTTTAGCTCATCAAAATCTATTGCGAGCTTGATTGAGCAAGAAAGCCTTTTGCCCGCTTGGATTCCTTCTGTCTCACGTCCAGTTTTCCACCCAGCGTATTCGGCCATCCCGCACTGGCCAGGATCATTTCGGCCGAGGTTTAGTTCCGCTCGTGGGTTCGAGGAGTCTGCAAGCGCTTTCGCTTGGACACCAAACAGGAGCATCGCCGTTTCAGCAGCCGCGATAGTAACATTCGTAAATGTCGTTACCTGGCGATAACTCCACGCGCCAGCTTATTCGTGTCAGTGGTTGTGTTGTGTCTCAAAGCAGGCAAAAATGCATTGCATGCGTGACTGCATGTACTGCTCTCGACTGACATCGAGAATTTTGCAGCAGCGTTGAACTGATGTCTATGAAACTCCATCTCTTCAAAAGTGCCGTGCTATCCTAGGCAACTGAGCTTCAGACCATGACATCTCGTTTCTACTTTGTATTGTGAATTTCGTCCAAATTTGCCGATTTGGGACTGTTTGAGGAATGGCTCATTCAAAGAACCGCCCGTGTAGAACCCACAATACTTACGCAAGTTTTACTTCTTTAACTGCCACAGAATATCAGGTTTGGACTCAGACTCGCCACCGAATACGTGCACCACATCACGGATGGCTTCAAAACCGCACTTCCGTCACAATCTAGTTCATCATGACGCCGCCACCTCGCGCTCGGCGGTCGGACGCCGACTACGTCCCCCAGCACCTGCGGCACTTCGTATTCCACTCGCAGGATGACTTTTACGTGTCTCGCCACTTCGACCCACTGCTCCTAAGCCACCTCATGTACGAAGGATTCCTGCCCATCGCGTCGGAGTTCCAAGACAAGTGTTTCCTGCTGCCTAAGCTGCACCGTCAGCGTTGTGTGCTGCTTCTAAAGCCCAATGCACCCGAGCACGTGCCCAAGATCGTACGCAAACGTGCCAAGAAGTTTAAGTTCGTACTTAATCGCGACTTTGAAGGCGTCGTGGAAGGCTGCCACGAGAAGCATGGCATCCCATGGCTGTATCCACCAATTGTTGATAGCTTCAAGACCTTATTTCAAGCTGGAGACGACGGCGTAGAGCTCTATCCTGGCTGTAAAGTCCGATTCTTCACAGTAGAGCTCTACGACGCTGCCACGGACGCTTTGGTCGCCGGGGAGCTCGGATACACCGTCGGCAGCGTCTACACGAGTCTGACAGGCTTCAGTCGGGCTAATGGAGCAGGCACAGTACAGCTGCATGCGCTGAGCAAGTTCTTATACCTTGCAGGCTTCAAGATGTGGGATCTGGGCATGTCTATGGACTATAAAATGGGGCTGGGAGCCAAAGATCTGGACCGAGATGACTTTCTGGACGAGCTGTACAAGTGGCGTTCCCGTCAGGTGCAGATGAAACTGGACGAGAGAAAAAATGAGGGCGATGTTAGTGTGGGTGTGTCGGCCAAGGCTCTATTTGACAATGCAAGGCTCCCGACTGGGACTGCTGAAGAGGAAAAAGAGAAGCCAAAGAACGGGAAGGAGACAGAGGAGAAGCGTGAGGCTGGTGCTAAACGGAAGCTTTCGTCTGATGAAGAGCAACAGGGTGAGGAGAAGAAGGGGAAATCTGAAGCGGCCGCAAGGTCATCAGCAGAGGCAGAAGCACAGGTCAAAGAGAAATGGGAGACGGACGACGGTAGCTCCAGCACAAAAAATTGAGCTGCACTGCTGGTAGTCCATGAATGATCCGCTTGTACGATACTTCCCAGGTTTCCGTCCAAAAGCGCGCCACCAGGGATTTTCACAAGGGTTTATTTGCTTTTTCTTTCATTCTGTTCTTGAGCTGACTCCAATCGTTGCAGCTCTGAATAACGTTTTGTACATTGCATGAGGCAGGATCGGGCGCGACTTCCTCCGGTGTTCTCGTTGCATTACAAGAAACCTGCCTCCGATAAACTGTTCACAAACAGAATGCTCTCCTGTGTGTTGGCATTGCGTGCCAGTTGATACAGCACCGAGCTGTCTTTTCGGATCCTACACATCGTCACAAAAACAAATCTTGTCAGTCAACCTGCAAGCCAAACAGCAAGCATCTAAAGGCAACGTACGTGTCAATCCGATGCCGAATGTGAATCTGGTTCTTCCTGTCGTGCCGTAGAATACCGCGGCCTTTCCTTGACACACCGCCCGTATTGGTACCATTGCTTCCAGCGCCATTAGCTCCACCACTTGGAGGTACGTAGTTAAAATTCTGTCGATCCAGTGATTCCCTGATGACTCGGTAGATCTTGCGGAACTTCTGCCAGTTCACAAGTCCGTCTTCCATGGACTTCATGGCTTCTTCATAAGTGAACAGATCCTTGACTAGGATGAACCAACACGCAAGTCGCGGCTGCCCTTCTGCCAGTGCAAACGCTTGACGATAGCTGCGGTAGTTGTCATCAGGCGAACATACCTGCTGAAGACACTGGTATTTCTCCTGCGCCGCTGCACCCACGAGACTCCACGTTGTATTGAGCTGTCGGATACACGGCGCCGACAGTCCTGTCGTGATCTCAAAGAGCGTGTTAAAGTTGTTCATCTGGTAGCAATTATCCGCTGCATCAATGAACAGCGTGATCATCTTGGCGCGTTCCACAGCCTGCAACTGCGGGTGCAGAATTTCACTAGAAACCCACTCAGCCGTGGCGTCGAAGAGCTCAATCAAAGCCATCACATGCGGGGCCTCTCGGTGTTTGTTCTCACGCGTCCACGCCTTGTTGGTCAGCTCACGGGGGTTCAGTTTCGAGAAGTATTGATCTGCCTCCATAAGCGTAAGTTGATCGGCCAGCTCCTGTGCACTTAACCCAGACAAAGGCTCCACGTTGTCGTAACTAATTCGTGCACTCTTACGAGAAGCCGCCGATTGCCGGGCACGTTGCAACGTATCCTGGATAATCTCATCGAAGCCGCCTGCACTGGTGTCATTGGCATTAGCTTTGATCGCAGCCTCGGCACTGCCAGTGGTGATACCTCGTGCGATCTTTGGAGCCACAGCAGCGGCACTAGACACAGCGGCGTGTTGTGCGCCATTGCGTAGCATTCGATCTCTAGTCGCTGCCGCTGCTACCGCTTGATCATCCGCTCCCGAAGGAATCGACCGACTTCGAAGCTGGAATATGTCACCGTTCGAGTTCTTCGTGCGAAGTTTCACCATAGATCTCTCACGCTTCGGGTCTGAAGACGATCGTGCCAAAGCCAGTTTAGTGGCAGCTTGGGCGCGCATTCGAGAATGTGACGCTCCACGGTCACTCAGCTGGTGCGCCATGGCCAGAGCTACTGCACTTTGAGGGTCTTGAACTACATCACCACCTGGTCTCGAGAAGGATTTATCCGGCACTGCTGATGCAGAAGAAGACGTCACTAGTGCTGGAGGAGGAGGAACTTTAGCAGGTCCTCTTTGCGATTGAGTCTTCGTCTGAGCTTGAGCTTGAGTGTGTTGAGCTTGCTGCACTTGCTTCTGCGATGATAGCAACTGTGCGACAGTCAATAGCAAATTCTCAGCGTGGCGACGAATGGATGGGATGGGCGACGTGTTCTGAATTTCGCTCAGGAATGCCATGAGTTTCTTCTGGGCCTTGCGATCATTCATCAGATCTTGATCAATAAAGCCGCTCTCCTTGATCCAGAACTTGAGTACACTTAACAGACGCATGATGGACACGTTGGCTTCCATTCCAGTATTGATATCAGATTTTGCAGTTGAAATTGACGTCAAGTTCGACGAACGCTGCTCACTCTCTTCCTCGAGAGTGATTTGGTCCAGCAATCGCTGAGTTTCTTCAATCGTCTCCGGGTCGACGTTACCGCATAGCGACAGCACTGCAGTGTAGCGTTTCAGCAGCTTTTTAATGAAGTCGTAAGGTGAGCAGAACGAGCGATACGTCAGCAGAAACACGTCACGGAATTCTGTGTCGTACTGGTGAGCATCTGTGAGACGCGCGATGAGTTTGCCAAGCGAAGCGTGAGAAATCTCGCGTTTGCCGCCCATGCCACGCTCTGGTGTCTCGTAACGAATACGAACAGGTCGAGGCTTCGGCGAAGAATCGTCATCTCCTCCTTCAGTATCATCGTCAAGCTGTGGGACCTTCCGTGCCAATGTTCGAGGAGTAGTTGAGCCCTGTCCGTCTGTCGAAAGTGATAATGGAGGTGGTGGCGGTGGTAACCCTCCGCTTCCTCCTGGCGACGCCTGTCTGGAGCCTCGTGACGTGCTTCGTGCTCGCGTTCTCGCTTGATCCACTGACGGGGAGTCATTTCCAAGTCTTCGATTTGTAGCTGCTACCTGATCTGGTGGTGGTGGGCTCTCCATGAGCTGGCGACTGCGGTGATTACTATATAATTTTCTTGAAGACGACGGCTCCCGTCCATGACGTTCGTCATCTGTGCCGCTAGAATTGCCCGAAGCGGTTCGTTGCAATCGAATTTGCCACCTCTCCAAGCTGCTGGTAGTTCGTCCAGGACTGGTGGTTCCAACTGGCGGACTACCAGCTCCAACGCGTGGACTACTAGTCGTTCCTGGCTTCCCCACACTCCTAGAAGGTTGTCGAGCAGGTGACGATGGCACGGGTGTAGGTCCCGTCGACGGCCGACGAGCACTATTACTGCTGGCAGGCGCTGTAGCTCGTCGTTTAACGACCATCCTCGAAGGCTTCATTGCTACCTGCTGTCTCTGTTGGTCCGTTTGTCCAGCCGTCTCCTCCTTATCACTACCCTGGCCGCCCGATGACGAGGAAGAATAATGCTCCGGTGATGCTGGTGGCGATTCCATTGACGCCACACTCTTTGTATGCGTCTTGGCCAGTACTTTAGATGCAAATTTCTCTGGACCGATGTCAGCATTGGCGTCTGATACCATAGAGTTTCCTGGACCGGCATCTCTCGTCCGTGGACGTCTGTGCTGGCTGTTACTATGGTGATGATGCGGAGAGGACGCTCCTCGCCGTCTCTCACGCTTAGGATCCTGGTCTGGTTGACTGTGATGCGTGTGACGTCGCGCGCGTCGAGCCGCTTCAGTTGTGGCAGTGGACGAAACGTCCACCGAGGACGCGGTGGACAGCGTCGAGGAGGATGTCGTCGTGACAGTAGCATCCCCCACGTACTTGCGGTCTCTTCTTCTGGTGCTGCGTGTCCCCATAGTGGCGACTGAAGAGGACGAGGACGAGCTCATGACGCTCGTGGTGCTGGCGCTGACGCTGCTGCTGCTCACGCTGGCGGAAGAAGGTAACAAGTTGCGAGCCACGAGCAGCGGCGGCCCCGCGCGCGCTGTGGCTGCAGTCACAGCGGCTGCGCGGTCGTGCGCCATACGGAGATTGAGGCGCTAGTGGGGGGAAGACAGCGACGTTGTCTGTGTCCTGGAGGCACTTGGACGCCTTCGGCGCGCTCGATAGTCGGCGGCTCGGAACTCCGTCTCTCAAGTCAAAAACGAGGTTGACGGGGTTTTACCCAATAGGAGATCAATTAATGTTGCGATTGGGTGAAAGTGAGACGGGGTTTTGACCAATCATACATCAGATACTTAACGTAGCGTAACGTTGTGATTTTTTGCGGGTGTCATTTCCGATACATTTGGTATGAGGCGCGATAGAAAAATGTTTGAGTACGAATTGGGATGGGGAGTCGATGATTCCAAGTCGGAAAGCGCCGCTGCTATTATCGCGACACGAGAGAGAGCTCTGTCCACTTCAACGTTCAACGAGCGCGTGCACGCGACGTCGAAGGAGCACAGCTGGTGACACCATCTCCGGCGATCGGCATTGTTGTTGGACTCCTGCTCAGGGGCCCAACAGCAATGACAGGACTCCTGGTTCCTTATACATCGAGGTGATTGCCACCCCTCTGGCGTTGTCGCAGCCAATTGATGACCAGCGTCAATGCTGGCTCTGATAGAAGTTGTGGGATCAGCGGCTTCATTTGATTCCGATGATCATCATGTACATGTATTAGCAGTTGGCGCCCGTGAGAAGATCATGGCGATAAAGACACACAACGTGTGTAACAGTGAACTATGTGTGCTTGGCGGTGCTGGACGTTGAAAAGAAAAGGACACTTGTAGTCCGACCAGCAGCAGTGTTTTGTCGCTCTTCATCTTCGAGGCTAGGACGTCTGAAAGGAACTCTCCGACCTCGTCGGGCGATAATTCATCGACAAAGATTGATTCAAATTCTGTACAATATTGCTCACGCTCACTCCCCAACATCAGTTGCGCTGCAGGCTGCAGTACGAGAAAAGCTTTTTGAGAATTATCAAAGCTGACTACACTTCAACTTACATATAATCCTAGTTAATACCGACACTTGTGTTGTACGTCGCCCAGCCGACTGAATATACTGCGGGAAGCGCAGCACCCGCATGAATTCACGATGGCCATACACAAGACCACGCTAAGGCTCATTTTATAAGCTTGCCAGCGTTGAAAGTCTATTGGCCATTCATGGAGGTGAAGCATCTGGAGCACGCAACAATAGCATTAACTTCATGGCATTCCTTGCACCAACCTATCTTCAGGACGCATTCAAACGTACACCATTATCATAGAGCGACAATTTCTGCTTGGCATGAACTCCACCACTATCACTTTATGTGCATGAGCCCTACGCTATCGAATGATATGCCAAACAAAGGGATATACTCAAAAATGCTGAGCGTGCCGAGGCGGACACTCCCGCGCCTCCGATTGCCATTCTCATCGTTGCAGTCACCAGCCCCAGCTCAAGTCCGGGTCGGCGCTAATTGGGGCGTATCAGTGACGTCCGAATTGGTAAATGGGCTTCTCCGAGATGGCTACTATGTGGTGCGCGACGCCTTCCCAGTCGAATATCTGCGTCACCTACGTGACGAGATGAAGCTGTTGCATACGAGTAACCAATTATACCCGAACTCGACGCATGTTTTACTGAATGACGTGGACAAGTCAGCGACCAAGACGCTGCTGTTAGAGAAGCACGACATTTTCGAGACGGAGTTGGCGCTGGATACGATTCGAGACCAGTCATCTGTGCCATATCTGAGGGATTTTTTCGAGCAGCAAGTGGTGTTTGGGCCACTACGTCAAGCGCTACCGGACTGGTTGGGACTGGCAGGCCACATGGTGAAGATACAGCACAATACTGGACGAGGAGCCTGCTTCCCCATGCACTTCGACACGTACGGAGACGATGGCAAATGCGTCACAGCTGTGCTTTACTTGAATGAGGAGTGGGAACAAGAAGATGGAGGCGAAATCGTGCTGTATCCATTCCCGAAATCACGTGTAGTGGTGCAGCCGCGCTTCGGTGAGTTAGTACTGTTTTCGTCGCAGCAAATGCTACACCGCGTGATGCCAGCGAACAAGCCGAGATATGCCCTTACGACATGGGTGTACCATTCACCACCACCAAATGCAAAGGCTGAAAGTGCTGCTTACTATCCGATAGATCCGAGCGAACAAGCACCAGATGTGGAGACCGCGACGTTCAGGGCCATGATCACCAAAATATTGCGATCTCCATTCCGTAGACATCTCATGAAGCTTGCCTATAAGGACGAGTGGGTACGATCTCTGCATGAGTCTCACCTGAAAACAGAAGCATTTGACCACTACATGGCAACGCACACGAAAGAGTTGCAAGTGATTGAGGCTGCCACAGTTCAGATGCTGCAGAATTTCCGAGCCAAAGACGGTGGAGCGAATAGTAAACTACCGCAAACGACGGAGGAGTTGATGCAGCGGATGGGAGATCCTACCAACCGCGAATTTGTTCAAAACCTTCAGTTGCAGTGGTTTTAGTGACGCTAAGTAGCTACTACGTGAAGTACCTTGTAGAGGTCTGTCAATGAGATCCTGTGCTCCACAAACTGCCAACCTACTGCGTGCACCCGCGAGACAACAGAGACCAGCTCTTTGGCTCGTCGCCTTGGACGTAGAACTTGTTGGTGAGGTTGGACACCACACAGGCGTGGTTGGGCACGATAACGAGACGCTCACCGATACCAGGTGAAGGAATGCCATCGATCTTCTTCACCCATCCGTGTTCTTCCGACAGACTCGTCACTTCGAAACAGATGAGTTCCTTTCCATCGTCGAGCAGTGTCTTGTTCTGCGTAGGCTCCTTGACCACACGCTCAAAGTCCTTTTCGTAAAAAGCGAGTCCGAAGCACGACGAGCCGAACTCGCCAGCCGAACGAGCTCCGTCTGAGCTCAGCACCTTGGACCCAGCATCAACAATGAAATTGTACTTGTTCGAGCTCACAACCGTCGCCAAAACAGTCAACGCCACATCTTGCACCGAAAACAGGCCCATACGAACGGGAGTGCGGTCCAGGAAGACGTAGTTTCCAGGACGAATTTCCGTGATTCCAGCAAAGTTCTTGCGAGCAGGCTCCGTCAGAGTGCTGCCCACAGACACGACCGGAACCACGATTCCATTCGCCTCAAGCTTGTCCTTAATGCGAACCATAATCTGCCTCTCCGTCTCTGCCACTTCAGAGCATTCCGCGACGGACTTGCAGCGGTAACCGTGACCAGCGTGGGACAGTAGTCCGCGAAACTCGAGATTACTCGTCTTGTCAATTCGCTGCGCTAGCCGGAGCAGCGTTGGGTTGTCCTCCTCAATGCCCACGCGATGATACCCCACATCAACGTGAATCAGCAACTTCAAAGTACAGCCACAGGCTTCCGCTGCCTTCTGCGCAGCATCAACACCTTCCGAGCTATCCACTGTCAGCAAGAATTCCACCCCAGCTTCCTGCGCTGCCTTGAGAACCTCTTGCACCTTGTTGGACTGCACTACTGGGTACGCCAGCGTTAGGCTCTTAAGGCCTGGTACTCCACCACGCAGAAATTGCAGCGCTTCGGATGGCTTCGATACTGTGAGACCGCAGGCTCCAGCTTCCAACTGCATGGTTGCGATCTCCCGCGTCTTGTGCGTCTTGGCATGGGGGCGGAGGTTCACATGGTTCGCCGTCGCCAACGCTTGCATCCGCTCGATGTTGTGCCGCAGACGCTTCTCGTCCAGCACGACGCTCGGTGTTTCCATCCACTCGCGGGGCCCCATTGTCGGCTTTTTGCTGTGATGATAATCTGGAAATGATGAGTGTCAAAGCACTTTTCCCGAAAAAAAAAAAGTTCTTATGAGCTTGACTGCTCAAATCTTATATAATCAATCGTAATAAAATATGTGAGATTTGATGATTACGCTTGTCGAATTAATATGGCATTCAGACGAAAAAACCCCATTAAAATTTTAATGGTTTTTTTTTTCGTCTGAATGCCATCCAGCCAGCGTAATCACGCTTAAATAGCGATTGATTGATCGGCTATTCTGTGAGTTAAATCTCACAGAATAGCCAATCAATCGCTCTAAGCTCTGCCTAGTTTAATTGAGTTCATCTGCCTACTTTTTTTAGAAAAAGTAGGCAGAGGCAATCGAGTTCAGTACTTTAAAAATAGGATAGGGTGTTTCTAACTAGGTTATTTAGAAACGACAGGAAGGGTGACAATGACCGCGACGACTTCGTATGTGAACTCGTCGGCTTATGGATTCTGCGTATTGGCAGCGGAGCGATTGCCCGAGATCAGACAGCAACTATTGCAAGCTGCAGCGCGCTTCGGCGAGGATCAGCTCCGTGGGACCATTTTGCTGTCCACAGAAGGCGTGAATATTCGACTATCGGGGTCGTCAGAAGCTGTGGAGGCCATGAAGGTCGCGATCACTGGCTTACACCCGGAAATTCGCGGTTTGGAGTTTAAAGACTCGTACTCCGAGCGTATGACGCTGCCGAGAATGTTGGTGAAGATAAAAAAGGAGGTGATCTCTATGGGCATGAACGAAGTGAACCCGGCGGTCGACGGACTAGCTGCACACATTTCAGCTGAAGAGTTCAAGACGTGGATGGATGACGACAAGGATATGGTCATCTTGGACACGAGGTACGAAAGCGATATGTTGTGATAATTGTGTGTGAGAGCTGACATTTGTGTTTGTCGGTTTTTAGGAACGACTACGAAGTAAGATTGGGCACGTTTGAGAACGCAGTAGACCTGAACATTAAGAGTTTCCGCGCGTTTCCAGATGAAGCGCGGACGCAACTACAGCAGGTACCTAAGGAGAAACCCATCGTGATGTTCTGCACTGGTGGAGTGCGGTGTGAGAAGGCGTCGTATGCATTGCTAAACGAGGGCCACAAGGAGGTGTATCAGCTGGATGGCGGCATCCTCAAGTATTTTGAGAAAGTGGGCGGTGCTCATTACAAGGGTGACTGCTACATCTTCGACGATCGTGTGGCGCTCAAGCCGGATCTCACCGAGGCGGCGGTCGTATCCTGTTTTACGTGCCGCAGTCCTCTGACAGAAGACGACCAAGGATCTTCGGATTATGAACCGAACAAACACTGCCCGTACTGCAAGAATGGCAAGCAGGACTTCCGGCATCTAGGCAAGCAGCAACCATAGCAACCATAGTTAGTTGCTGAAGGTGATGCGGCCAATGGGAGCAGCGTGGAACCCACTTGCAAATAAAGGAAAACTGTCTACGCTGAAAAGCAAAGGCTTCATTGTGGCCGTTAGGGGTGATATCTTTAAAGCTATGGAGACACAATAATGGCCCATGTATACATGCAGGGATTCTCAATCTCAAGTTGAGATTTCCCAACGACATTTTGTCACCCAGCCAAAACATCGACCACCGAGATGGCTACACTTAAGCGAATGGGACACATTCTTTTCTAGCCAATCCCCATGATGCATATTGATTTTTAACCAGTGGGAAGGCTGGACGTTTCAGGCCAATGCAATTGACGTTAAATGTCCACGCACCTCAACTGGACGACATGCGTCATCGAGCTTCGTGCATGGCCAATTTGGAATTCCAGGCATCCACAGAACCCCACAGGTTATTTGCAGCGGCACGTAGGACTTGCAGGAGACCTACGTGTTGACATTGTGACAAGCATCTCGTGTGTGTGTGCAAGGATTTCAACCGAATCGAAGATCCAGGCGCTCCAGACACGAAACAGCAAATCGACGGCAACAAAGGCGAGCACCATACTGAGTTGCTGTCATTTAACGTGAAGCAAAGACACACGAAGCTGGACCGCCTGAAAAACGCACTGCAATACGATCGCCATGCGGATACCACGGCAAGTTCCCGGCGGCGCTGCTGAGCCCATTTGGAAATTGGCTACCAGAGCAGCGATCAAACTCATGTCTACGGCTCTATATTCGAAGAGGTTCATCGGCGCGTCGGCGCTATTGCTTTACGGATACGCGTCGTACCCGATTGCGGAGCCCACCAGTACACACTCACTGCGATTGGCACAAGGTCTGGACGCCCATGAACTCGACCGCAACGACCCCTTTGCTATCAACGTGCGGAAAATTGCAGCCCGTGTGGGCGTCAAGAACCCGGAACGAATCTCCATCCGCGTAGGCGAGCAGTCCGCCGGTGCCTCCATGGGAGCCAACCTCACTGTCGGCCAGCGTGGTGCATGCATCGTGCTGCCTATGGAGTTGTATGACGCGTTCTACGCACCTGCGCACCTGCATGCCAAGTATGATATTCCCAAGCGCGACGAGATCGACTTTGTTCTGGCACACGAAAGCGCACACATTGCCAAGAACCACTCCATGTTCACGGGTGCCTTCCTGCCGGCATCGCTAGTGGGTAGCTGTGTTGCGATTCACAAGATCCCCAACAAACTTGTTGCAGGAATTGTAGGTGTATTGGGCATCGTGGGTGGCAACTTGTACCTGTCTTGGAGTCTGGAGCACGAAGCTGATCAGGTGGCTGCTGAGAGTGGCTTCGCGAGTGGTGGCATCAATTGCTTCCAGCGGAAACTGTCCCGCAACTGCGAGATGCGCTCGGTGCTCAAGACTTGGATGATCACTGAAAAAGGCAACTACTTGGGCGACACTTCGCATCCGCTTCTGACGTCCCGCATTGAGCGGCTCAAACTGCTGACCTCTGCGGAGACAATAAAGCTTGTAGTCGCCACCGAGGATGATAGGAGGGAAGACAATACGTGCTGATTTCCGCAGCTTGTCGAGATGCGAGGTCGACACCTCCACCGGTTCGAGCGCAGAACATTTTGTAACTTAAGAGAATTTATGATTTACTTTACCTGATTGCTTCTTGACTACATTGATGCATCGCTCATCGATAGCATCCGTAGCGCTCATGTCCAATCTCCTCATGTTCGCGAGGACGTAACGTATCTGATTATCATATTCTGATACCGTTATCGGGTACCGATTTTCAACGAATCCCAGAGCGCGTATCTTATCCTATCCCTTTCATTTGTCGAAAATATTAACGCTTAAATCTTATTCGCCAAAACAAGTTTCGCGCCATTTTGGGCTTGGCGCCATTCGATCTCCCCGTTCACAACTGGATTTGCCTTCAGGGGCGCATCTGTGTCGTTGAGTTTTGTCGGTGTCGTAGTGTGCCGTGATTTCTTATCTTACAATGCGTACGCGAGCCCAGAAGCGTCAACACATGCCAGAGCTGGCACAGCAGTTGCAATGCCGCCTCCGTGCGCTTGAGGCTGCCTCCTCCTCTGCACCATTGAGTCCGCCAGCCTCAAAGAAGCGTAAGACCGACGATGCTTCCGCGTCTCCGTTGCTCCTGACCCCGCATCATCCTAAGCCCCGTACTCCCGCAATGAGCGCCCATAAGACTCCGGAGAAGCCGGCGGAGACCAAGACCAGCGTCGTAAAGCGCGCTGCGCTTTGTAGAACACTCCATTACACTGAGGCCGAGATCCCGGAGCCCGTTGAAGACCCACAGTCAGTACTACAGCGAATATGCTCCGGTCAGATGCTTCGCAATACTTTGCAGATTGTCGGACGTGCCGAGGAGCACCAGATCGTCCGTGACGTGCTGAAAGGCCTAGCAAAGCAAGGTGCAAGTCTCTTCATCATTGGACCCCCAGGAACAGGCAAGAGCTCGTCAGTAAACGAATTGCTGATCGAACAGGGCTTCGAATCGGCTAAATCGGCTACAATGAAGCGGAAGTGTTCTGTGAATCGCAACAAGACAGCAGTGAAACTCAACTGCAGCACGTTCACAGATCCCGCAGTCTTGTACACTGCAGTGGCAGAGCAGGTGAAAAAAGTTACGAGCTGGAAAGTGCCCGAACAACTGGACCCATTTGAGATGGACAAGTTCGTTGCAACGCAGCGTCGCGGGTCGAAAGTGAAGAAACACTCGATTGTCGTGGTGCTGGATGAAGTGGATCAACTGCTGCGTCTGCCTGTGCGTGTGCAGCCGACAGTGAAACAAGTGCTCCATTTCTTCGTGCAATGGGCTGCTGTTGCACCTCATAGTGTCAAGTTCTTGGGCATCATGAACGGTGTCGACATGTACGAGCAAGTCTCTCGTGTCCATTTGACTGGAGATAGTTCTACTGACTCGCACGTTCCTCGAGTCGTTTTCGGCTCGTATGCACACCAGAAGCTACTGCTCATTATGCAGAGCTACGTGCAGCGTGCATTGCCACCAAGCGCAGACGACACAGAAATGCACAAGTTCATCGAGCCGCGTGCAATTGAACTCATCGCTAGAAAAGTGGCAGCTCGTGATGGCGACGCTCGTCTAGCCATCAGCTTACTTCAGCAATCAGCTCGTCATGCTCTTCAACGCTGTAGCAACTTGGAGAAGCCGATTCAAGTCAAGGTGACGATGCGTGACGTGTTCCAGAGCACGACGTCATTGCTGTCGTCTCCCATTGTCCAGCAAATCAAGCAACTACCTCGACAAGCCAAGCTGCTACTCTACGTGATCACAGCGCTCGCCTCTGGCAGCGTCAAGGGACTGCAACAGTGTGATATGAACCAAGTCAGTGAAGAACTTGCACGTCTACGTAGCCAACCGCAGACTGCATGGATGCCTCGCTTATCGCGTGAAGAACTACAGACGCACCTTATGTCGCTCGACTGCTATGCACTCGTCAAGCAAGGAGGCAACAAGAATGGCAAACAAGCCTCTCGTTCCGCTGCTGCCATGTCCGTTCGCACATTTTGGACGACAAAGCTCTCGTCGTGTGTGTCAATGTCCGAAGTATCGCGCGCTCTACAAGACGACACCTCGCTCTCCCAACTACTATTCTAACAAGTACATCGTCAAACTTTAATCAAAATATTACTCTCCTTTCAGCGACGTCCTGTGTTTACTGCTGCAGTCTCCGTGTGCATTTGACGCTCCAGAGCTTTCTGAGCCTTCTGCACTAGCAATGCAAGCAGCGATCGGTCTTTTGCTGGCCGTTGCTTAAGCTTTTCCGGTGCTGGTAGTCGCTTGTCCACAGCTTCTTGGACAGCACGAGGCAGTTCGCGGGAGATGAATTTGAGAATCTCCACGCGATACATACACGTTGTCTCGGCGTCTAAGAGCTTTGGGTCCGTTGTAGTCGTTGATGCCTGTAGTAGAGCGAGTTGTTGCCGGATATCGGAGCCCACAGCTTCGCCCACTGCATCAGCATCAGCTTCACGCGTGGGGTCTGTCTGGTCGCGGTGTACACGTAAGAAGCCCGTAACACGCGCAGTGATACAAGCTAGTAGCTCGGAGCGGATCTCCGAGGCAATACGACTTAATTCACGCACTGCAACGTCCTCAGGGGAACGGAGACCGAAGCCAGATTGAGATTCCGACACGGAGGTAGCGGAGTCTACGCGAAGACGCTTTACCGGCGAGCGGTTTGCAGTCGGAGATGGTTGAAGCGGAGTGGTTTGGTACCAGCGGTTCCTGTTGAGTTGATCCTGTTGACTGTATGAAGGAGTGCCGACGTAGGGGCGAGGACTCGGAGTCGGTCGACTGCTGGGGCTCACTTTAACCATCAACGACTGTACTGGTCGTAAGTGAAAAGACCCCGAAGCAGGAGTGCGGGGTGTCAAGATATCACGTGGTGTACCCTGCGGTTGATGACCCTGACGAAGCTGTAGTAACGCTAGTTGAGGTCCACTAAGACTGGCACTAGCTGTTGGACTGGGTAAGGCTATCGACGGCAAGGATCTGGGTTGGCTCTGAGCTACAGAAGGAGAGGTGGTAAAACCCGGCGTTTTAGTGTACTCCTGTCGGTTCGCGCTTTTGCCTCCGTCATTCTCAGACCCGCTAAATCGTTGCAACAGGTTTTGCAACAACCCAGTGAGTTGCTGATTGCTTTTCTGCATCTTGTGCATCTCCTCACGTAAACCGCTCACTTCGGCTCTTAGTTCTTCGAACTCAACACGTTCCACTGGAGTCCCAGCCAGTGGCGTGGACGCCCTTGCATCACTAGGAGAGCGTCTCCTGATCTCACAGAGCAGGTCTCTCCTGCCTCTAACGAACCGTTCATGACGGAACTCCCACCAATCCTTTGGACTCGCGTCCTCTTCCTCTGCGTCCTCCACAGTCGACGCGGATGTAGCGCGTACCTTGCGGAATCCGTAGAGATTCAGCTGTCGCACGAAGGAACTGAACTTGCGGTGCTTAAAGTACGTGGGGATCACGTGCTCGGCGAACGCTGCGGGCTGTTTGACCACGAAGCTGTCGCCCTTGGCTGTCCAGCTGGCCAGCTCCGGTGGGCAGCGCTCCAGTAGCTCGTACGTTTTCTCCAGGAACAGCGCGGCTTCCTCGCGCCGACGCTTGGTGCCTCGTGTAGAGTAGTCGTCGGGTGTGTCTAAACTGTCTGGACCGGGAGATGCGGGCGTGGACACACGGATCCGCAGCGGATGAAGCTCAGCAGCTTCTCCTTCGACTTGGACGCCACCTCCTGACGCCATGGTTTCACTGCGACGAGGTCGATTCGGTTGTGGGCGAGGAGTTTGGTCCCCCTCTCGAGTCGATGCTGCGTCGAGACATGATCCATTTCCCGTAATTCTTGGTTTTTGTTGATTGACGCCCGCTCTCTGCACATCAGAGTTGGCTACATCGCCGATTTGAAAAAGAGAAGCGCGAAAGGTTGGGACGTAAGAAGATCAACATTTGACTCAAGTGGCAAAAATGAGCTGCTGAGTCAGCACTACTGTATTGGCGAGTTGTTTCAATATTTTTGGCCGTGAAAGAGTTAAAAGCAAACACCACAGGAATCCGTACGGAAGAAATGAGGCCTATCATGGGTATGTGGCGGTATAATACGTTGCGGTTTCCTGCTTCCTCTCACGCAACGTGCACCTCTTTTGAAAAACCTGTTGCCAAATGTTGACAGACAAAAGTACCATTATTCGGTAATTCGATTTTGCGGATCAGCTTCGGGTTGCTCCAAATTGGTAAACTTGGGTCACCAATTTGGTGGGCACGTGTTGGCAAAATGCAGTGACATTCCGCTGGAGCGGAGGCACATGTAGTAAAGGAGGCTTCCATCAATTCGTCATCAGCGCAGACCACCGTCCAGCCAGCAGTAGCTGTAGCAGCGCTTCGGTCGAGCCTCGATCGGTTTGCATTCAGCACCAGCAGACAGGAGCTGGAGGGAAAGTGAGCCGGAGAAGCCCGCAGCAGACAAGGCGCCAGCTTCGACGCATCTTCGAATTTATCGTGAAAAATAGAGCGCAGCGTGTTTGCGGTCCCAGGTCCACCACCTAGCGGCGGACCAAGACTTATGACTTGCAATGGAAGAAACACTGGCTCCATAATGGCGGCAATGAGGCCAGCTTCTCGCATGCCACCTCTGACCATTAGCGCCCAAAAAAATGGAGACTGTCTACCGCCGAAGTCGTTTTCTCGGCGGGAAGCGCGGCCGCGGTCCAAATGGACGCGCGCTGGAGGATTCATGGCATTGCCTCGTCCACCTCCTGCGTGTGCCGTTGAGCAGCGAAACCACTGGCCAACACACTCGCACAACTCGGCGATGGCACCTGGTCTGCCGCCGTCCAACCTGGTTTGCATATGCAGATTGGAGTTCAAGGTATCCGCAATCGGCCGACGATCTCGCTTCGATTGTCTTCGGCGGCGAGTTCTAGAAGACAAATCCAATGGTGTCATCGCCCATCGACACCTCACCGGCGCTGGATACATGTACATGCACCGTAAGATGATAAAGGTGTCCATTTCATTGCAATTTCGTGTTGATGCTCTTGCAAAAGGTAACTGCTTCACTTGGGAATTTGCTTCTCTGCCATTTCGTTTTGCCATCACCGCGCTGCTCGGAGACATGTTGAAGCGGCTGACCCCATTTTGTCATTTGTTACACTTGAAATTTGTATGCCATTTGAGTTGCCTCCCGCTTAGCCAACCAACGGGCAGCAAAATCATGATTTGCGTGTCATTTTTGAGATGGCCACCGCCACTTCGACGAGCCCCAAAACGTCTCCGACGCGCCGCGAGCTGGCGCGTGCTTTACTGGACCCTCAATCAGGAGGCGTCGCCGGTACGCTTGCCACGCTTTTTGCCGCTGCCAACGCTCTTTGTCACCATTTTTCACCCTTTTGCCAGCCTACGTGCAGGAATGTGTGCACTCCACAAGCATCGGCGTGGACGCCACCTTCGTCTTCCTATTGCAAGTGATCGAGGAGCTTGACGATGCCATTAGCGAGTTCCTCCCGTCCCCACCCAACTACCAGCCGCTTGTTCACGACAACGAAGTGGAACTGGGCACATTGTTATCCGCTGCGTCGTTGGTAAAGTGGCAATTTCACATGACAAAAGTGAAAAATAATTATTAACCTGTTGCAAATTTGCAGACTATTCGCTATGTGACTGAGAGACAAGCGATGATTCCATTATTGCCGCGGTACCGCGATGCGTTTAACACGGTGTTACAGTATCCGGTGTGGACGCACAAATGTTACTACGGCCTCAAAGCGGTGGCATTGATGGGGTCTACGCGAGTTCTCGAGTCTTTCAGCGACCAAGTGCCAGTAAGCGACGTACTGATGCAATTAAGATGGCTGTTCCCGCTTTTCAAGGACGAAAGTATCACTGCGGAGGAAAAAGCGCAGAGAATGAATGCGCTATTGCGTCCTTCGTGCGAGTTTGCAACTGTGGCTTTGCAAACCCACGTAGGTGTTCGAGAATCCATCTTTGCTGAGATTTTGCCGCAACTTTTGGAGCTCCTGATAAAGGAAGGTGGCAATCGGGATACCACAGTCGCTGAGGCAGTTAAAGTGGAGCTGGCGACGACGGTTGCTGTACTTCTGGAAGCCAAATTCCCGTACACACCACCCAATGCGTTCGCGTTGTTGTCATTGCCAGCGTTTGTCGAGGAGATGGAAGCGGATGAATCGAAATTATCAACTGCCAACGCGATGTTTGCACCGACCGCCGAGGCAAAATCGGAAACTGTGGACGAAGAAGAAGAGAAAGCTTCGTCAGTGGCGGTTGTCAAGAGACTGGAGGAGGAATGCTGCAAGGTGCTTTGCTCGTGGCTGGAAGTGGACACTCGTCGGATGACAGCAGCACAGGCATTGGCCGTGATGTACCGGGTTATTGCAAGTGGCCCAGTTTTTGACAGTGTGGCAAACAGCGCAACATCATTTACCACTCCACTGGATGAGATGACCAAAGCGTACGTGCTTGGCTTTTTGCGTTGTCTTTCTCTTTCTTTTATTGACATTTTTACGTCGTGTTCAGGTTGAATGACGCAGAATTGATCGCTCTTCCTGACTTTGATTTTATCAACGCTCTGCTTGAGTCTATCCGGGATATCTGCTTGTTCCAGCATAAACTTGCAGCTACCACACTTGAAGGAGCTTTCCAGGCAATGAGCACAGTGATGCCTCGCCTTGAGGTAAGCAAAAAATTATCAGAACGGGTTGGAGCTGCTATTCTCACACGCTCGTTTTGTATTCTATAGACCGCACTGACATCTTTTAAGAGACAATCAGCTGAGCGACGCAACGCTAAGGCGGCATGCTCTGCGATCCGACACACACTGGTCGAAACATTCCTCGCTTGGCTTCACCATCCAGATGCTGCCAACTTGCTTACTTCCCAGGTGGATTTTTTGCACAACGTAGCTGGCACTCTGGCTGACCCGCGTGTGTACGGCGACGTGTTGGCTGTTCTACGTGTGTCTACCGTCCCGGAGGCTCGTGCAGAGTACGCTTCGTGCCGTCAACTTGCCGTGGTGACGCTGTGTCAGGCTATCAATCAGTTGGACCGGTATTCCAAGTCCACAGCAAACCGTATTGTGTCGGGCCTCACTCGCATAGCTGCAGCCTGTCGTGAGGACATTCATCCGCTGGCAAATGAACTGGTGCTGCCTTTACTGCCTTCAATGCTGGACGGTTCTCAATGGGGAAAGTTTCTGCGTCTTCGCACCGAAGCTGTGGCTACGGTACTCGTTGGATGCGCTGAAAGCGACGACTTCCAGGTATGTACCGTTGCTATAAGGTTTTGACGATGACAAGCGCACTAAAATACTGTTATTTGACTGGGAATTCAGATGGAAAAGCATCCATGGATCAGCGATTTCACCAGTTTCTTGCTCGATCCGGTGGTGTCTTCGGAAAATGTGCACTCGTTCATGATTCTGTGCGGATTGATCCGAGCGGAGCATAAGTTGCTCCTCCACGTGGTCTCGTTCTGCATGGCCAACCCGCACGCAGTCACCCAGACTCTACACGAGCCGCTTGCTCGCTGGCCGCTTTACGAAGAAGACGTCGATCTTGTCGTTGTCACTCTCGAACTACTAGAGGCATTGCTCAGTGTGAATACTCTTCGCCAGTCGGTGGACGTGGATGTAATCTATGCCACCATTCTACAACTCTCGGAAAACGCGGCAAGCGAAGGTCTGGACGTCATCTCTTCGGTTTGCAATCGAGTTATCGCATCCCTGGGAACTAAACATTAGATCACGCAGTAGTGGAGTCCAGCGCGCCGCTACTATCCCAGGAACAAACGTGCCAGTACAACTCGCCGATCGAAGGCGGGTCCGAGCACTGGTAAATTAGCCCCGCAGACGAATAAATCTGCACTTGGAGGCGTAAAAACTGTGTCATAGAGACATTCGATGCCACGATGCAGTTGTACGTAAATCCTTGTAGGCAATGAAGTAAAAAAGACTGATACTCGCACCCTTCAAGAGTGTTGATGATTTCCAGCTCCACGTGACTGCAATTATCCGAGTTTTGCCGCCACACATGCCCAACGAGTGCTTTATCCTTCCACACTTCGAGAATTAAATCCATGGTCTCCACTTCATCCACATATGACAACACTACGCGAAATGTTCGCTCTGTTGTGATCAGTGGACTCAATACTCCGAGATATCGATTGCCATCTTTTGCTTGAGTTTTACTACTCGCCCATGTAACTTTCACTGGCAGCGACACTGGAAAGTAATCATTTGATGTAACTTTTAGACGATATGTGCCAAGTCGCAGCTTAAATACCCGTGAACTGCCCACAGAGACGTCACCTTCGCTAGGTTCTTCTTTCATAGCCAAGTCAGTTTTAATAGGAATTCGTGCGTTGCGTCGTTTATCCACAGTAACATTTGCAATGTTTCCAATAAAGCTAGCAGCATGGAATTTTATGTTGGCCAGATCGGAATGAGTGTTTTTGATGGAAACTACTAGCACAGTCACCTTGACGCCACCGAACAGCACAGGCATGGGAATTGTCCTTGAAGTGCGATACCGACCACCGTCTACCACCACTTGCTTTAAAGCGGAGTACAGAACGCAACTGCATTCGCGGAGCACATCGACAGCGTACAAACCTTTGCTCACATCCCACGTGGCACATCCGTTCGAGTCGGTCATGACAATTTGCCGCTCGGAACTGCAATTGTTGGTGATTTGAAGCGGAATACCAGCAAGTTTAACGTTGGCGTGAGGATGGAAATAATCCACAAGTTGCAGAGAATAAGTCCATCGATATACATCGAGTGGGATCACGATTTCCTGGACCGAAGATGTCGCTGTTGTAGGGCCACTAGAGAGTCCTGATGCAGAAATTGTTGGGTAGACTGCAACAAGTGACGTCCACTCGAAGTAGTCGAGATGGAAAACGTACAGGGAATAGCTTCCAGGAACCAGACGACAACTCGCTCTCCCTTCACTGTCCGTCACAAGTACTTGTCTGCGATCTTTGACTACTCCATCCGATGTTTCTTCCGGCTTGCTTGAGTCCTCCGAGGAAGTTTGATTCTCCGATAAATTCGCTTCATTCTTTGAGTTGTCTTCAAGACTCTCCGTTGCAAATTGAGCCTTGGTCCACTCCTCAAGAAGGTAATTTTCGTCCATTGGCATCTTTTCCTTTAGCGGTATAGGTATTCCACGCAGCATAAGATCGAGTTCTGCAAGCTCTTCTCTTGTTGAATTTCGTAGTAAATCCCGTTCAGAATTCGATAATTCTAAAGAATTTGCAAAGAGCTTTTGCAGTCGAGTCGGGAAAATCTGTGAAAACTCGCGAGCCTGTTCACTCTTACGCGCACGCTCAATAATACCATTTTTGATTTTCTCGTATCGTTGCCGCATAACGTTTCTCAACAACGCTCGTGCACGTACGACGGATACTAATTTGACATTCAAACTGGTCGCAATCGTTGTTCGCTTTAAAGCCTTAGCGATACAGTCAGAGACAAAAGTTTCCGCCACCTCTCGTGTGATTTCAGTGACTCGTTTCTTTTGCAAGCGACGTCGAATTGACATGAGTCGAGACCCCATCATCAGTGTTGGCAGCACAGTTTTTGCCAGATTCGAGCCTAGAGCATCAAACGAGACGTTCTTCTCGATAAAGACGTGAACTTTTTCAACGGGATCATTTGTCTGAGCACTCACGATTCGAAACTCGACATGCCTTCTTACTTTTTTGTTTTGCGGCGCGAACGGGTTTTGTTGTAGGCATTCCTTGATCCCATGCTGGGATAGAATGCGCAAAATTGTGCGATAAACCGATTGAATAGTCGGTAGGGAGCGATTCGCAGCGTTGTGGTGCGTGTAGACGTCAATTTCGTGTTCCATTTCTTGCAGCTTCAATGCTATCCGAAAGCGAATGTTACTTAGCTTGTCGCTACTTTCCAGTACCGGAACCAGCACGATACGACCATTTCGACCAAAGCGAATGTTTTTTGCCAGACGACGAACAAAATCTCGACTCTCGTGATTCTCCGTTGTTGAGTGTTCGTTTTCAGCTCCAGTTTCGATGTAATATACTCTGATTTCGTAAGTTTGGATGATTCTCAACTCCGCGAGTAACACGTTTAATTCGTCAACACCAGCATAGATAGAGGTTGCACTTCCACACCCTCCGATGGCCTGGAGTTTCCACTGATTGTTTTTCTTCGATCGATATACTGCAGCCAAGGTAAACCATCGACACTTCGCATGTGGTTTTGTATCAAACATGCCCAAAACTTGATGCTCTTCCACATTTTCAATTTGGATCCGCACTTTTGACATGTTTCTTGTAAAATTTGGGCCACTGATATTGGTACTTTCGTCTTCCGTGATCTTTTGCAAAGAGAACAGAACGCAAAAAACTCTGTTGGACAAAGCGGTGAGGCGAAGGTATAAGCGATCCACGATGCCGTTGTAGGTTGACTGGCCCTGACGATAAGAAATACCCCCTCGTTTTGTTACAGGACACCCTTCGTGAACGAAATCAACGAGCTGGAAATCGTGGTCAACGAGAACACAAACGAACCGCCACGGTGATCTCGGACCGCCATTATCGCACATCATAGTCGAAGACACTAGCAAAGTATTCATAAACGGGAGCGTGTACAGTCCTGTTGGAGTTGGCGTCAGCATCGACAAACTCGGCAGATCATCCATACGATGGTTATGTGTTCGGGAATAATTGTCCTGGATACGTTTAAGATAACTCACGACCTCTTGCAACTCTGTTGATGCGAAGAAAAAGCCAATCTTCTCGAACTCTGCAGCCACTTTTCGCTCAGTCAACACTAGCTTTCGGTTGATCACTGATTCCATGAATATTCGTTCTCTGTTGTGACGTGATTGGCCAGCTACTGCGAGCAAATGACGGAACGCCTGGATCTGAATTTCTTCGCCTGGAGATCGCTTCGCCTCGAATAACACGATAGACTCGATCTTCTTCTTGATATCTTCCAGCTTCGGGAAACAGCCAGATATATTCATCGAATGTAGCATTACAACAACGGGGCTTCTCCCTGCAGCACGTGTAAGTTCCATTGAAATCTCAAAAGATCCAATCGGTGAGCGAGAATTCACCACAACCGTAAGTAAAGGACTCATTTGTTCGATACTAGCAATAAGAGCACTGGTTTTTTGCTCGTACTCGACGTGTGATCGGCAAACATGATCGTGACTTCGCTGGACACTGTATTCTGCAGCATAATCAATCACAACACGAATGTCTCCTGACTGCACAACAGTCAGTATGAGATTCACAAAGGAGTTCGCACTTGCAACTCCAACATCATAGTGACCACCGTCGAAGAAATTCGCCAGCAACACGACCGATTCTTTTGCTGTAGAGACGCTGCAAGTAGCAGCTTTCTCTGAAATTGGTGTCCACATAGGAGGAGAATTGAGCCGCCAGAATACATTTCGATGAACATTTACAACGTTGTCGAAGGTTGAATTGTCCCGTACATTTCCAACGTCAGGAATTGTCAAAGAAATGAGGAGTTCTTTCGGTATCTCGTTGGATTTTCTCCTTTGTTGATCGCTTGACAGTTTCCATAACTTAAATGAAGAAATTAACCCCACAAAGCCGATTCTGGCTCGCCAATCTCTGACACTTCTCGCGTGGGAAGGATAGCCTCCTACATACACTGAATTGGAGCTTGATGGTGTTTGGACCCACGCAGAGATATCACCCGCACGTCTTCCACGTGAGAACCCATTGCTTAATGTGCTGGGAGTTTCAACAGGCTGAATTCGTGCACAATCGACTAGCTCATCGTCGAAAAATATCTGAAGGTATCGACAGTCAAACACCACTTTGATATTGACCCAGCGGTTGCTTGGTACTTCGTAATTATTGGCCAAGCATTCCCATCCTCTCCACCGGACACGACAACCTCCGTCTTCTCCTTTCTCTCGATAATTAACATGAACTCCGCGATCATAAATCGAAAATGTGGCTTCGTCATCAGAATTCTCACCGTGAAGCTTAGCACACAACAATCTCGGCGTCGACTTGCCTGGTCCTACTCCAGACATGGCAGAAGTCACTATTTAACCTTTAAGAATCAAATAACCAAGAAACAAGTCTTTTATCAATGCAACAAACCTTGAAAATCGTTTAATAAACAACCCGGCTTGCGTATACCTTCGCTTCCTTCATCCTGGTTAGCAAAGCAGCCAAATACACTTCTGTCTGTGCTGCCGCAGCAGAGCCACCGCACGAAGTCTCCAGTATCGTCCAGTTCTGGAGTTGTATGTCGAGCTCCGTCCTTTTCACTGCAGGTGTACGAACTCGTTAGACCCGCAACTAAAAGAGATCCGTCGGAATAGGAAACATCCGTACACTCGTGCTTTGTGCTTTTCTGTGTCAGCGGCTTTGAATAATGACATAGTGATAGAAAACCCACTACTACCAAGCAGTCTTGACGATTCTTTACCTTCTGGACCTTTTGATAGCGGAATCTCAAGAAATCCATCCCCGTACAGCGAAATGACAGCACCATCTTTGATTACAGCAGCAGCATTGGTTCCTTTGCTAACAGATGCAACATTTTCACTGCGTCCGCCTGTGATCGCCTCCATTTTCTGTTTCCCCTCTCCATTACACTGCACAAACCTTTGAGAGGCGGGTTTCGGTATTGCTGTTACTTTCTCGTCTTCGGCAAAGCTCATACGGGCTTCAAAAGACGATGGAGTCGGCGCGATTTCTATTTGGTCTCCGTTAGGTTGTTTGGTTTTATTTTCTTCATCACCATGTTGCCGCTCCTTGCTGTCAGTGCGGACGAAAGGTGCAGGACGCCGAGCACTGCTCGGTCGTCGGACGAGTGCGGAGCTGGTACTAGGACGTTGTGGCTTCTTCAATGCCTTTTTCTTGCCATCATTAATTGCTCCATAGATACTCAACAGAATCTGCTGCCGTCCTGAGAGACTCATGCAAAAAAGATGTGCCTTAAATCGTTACAAGCACTTCAACATAGAATTTGTAAATGTTCAAATACATCCGAAATAACACAATAACGGAAAGAAATGCTTAGAAACCATTTAGAAATGAAAAAAGTATCAATTGGCAATTTGCAGGCAAATGTCTGGCAAACCACGCACAGCCAGGAGGACTCTGCAAACGCTTGACACTTTCGTCCAAGTTGCAATTGACGCAAGCACTCTGGCAACTCCATCGGCAAAGAAAAAATCTCGCAGAAGGCGCAAAAAGAGCCAACAGGAAGCGTCAAACCCGTTGGCACTCCCTCTTCAAGCCAAAGCTGTCGTGCCACCCACACCACCAGCTCCTGCAAAACCTTCACGACGCAAACGCAAAACAAAACTGAAAAACTCTATTTTGCAAAGTAGAAAAACTTTGCAACGATGCAAATTTCGCGTTCGCGGGCTGATAACAGCCAAGGATCTCGAAGATGAAGATGAAGCTGAGGAGGTCGAGGAGGAGGTTCGAGCTGATTTTGAGCGATTTGGACAGCTGAAAGAAATTGTCGTTGTCAAAGGAAAGAAAACAAAAGTAGAAGCTGGTAATTTGGTGGGGGATGTGATTGTCACGTTTCAAGACTCGTCAAACGCATCATCGGCTTTCGATGTGTTCGATGGGAAATTGTTTGGTGGGAATACGGTGACGTGCAACTGGGAGGCGCAGAGTGAAGGAGACAAGAATTTCGTTGTGGTAGTCAGCGGAATACTTACACCTGAAGAACTGGAAGACCCGGATGAAGTGGCTGATGTCGAGGAGAAAATGATGCAAATTTTCACGAAGCATGGAAAAGTGAAAGATTTGTGGTTAAATAATACGACGGGGGAGGTTACGGTGAGTTTTAGTGAAAGCTGCGACGCAGATAGATTGGTGCAAGCGATGAATAAATCGCGGTATGGAGGCCGTGACGTGACTGCTCACCTAGAGTACTCGAGTAAAAATTCTCAATTAGTCGACGAGAATGCAGCAAGGCAAGGTGAAATAGTGGCAACGCGCGTCGCAAACCCTCTTGTTCAGGTACTAAAGCGTTCATTTGCCCCGCCAAATGTTTATCAACATCGTTTTAATTGTCTTCTATGAAGCCGACAGAGTCACCTGAGTTGCAAAATCTTGTTGGCTTGTTCTTAAAACGACTCGCAGCTTTGCAGGTGAGCTCTGCGATGTTAGACACGTGTTTGCTGCTTATCTGGTTCACTAATTTGAATGTTATACATGTACATATGCAGGAGCGTGCGCATGCGCAGAACAAAGCCAGCAAGCGGTCACGACGTTTAGTGATCGGGATGCACGAAGCACGGCGAGGCTTAGTCTGCAACAAAATTGTTTTGTTAATTATCGCGACAGACTTAGACGGGTGTGAAGCTGTTGAAGAAAAATATCGGGAGGTTGTGACGATCGCAGAAGAGCATGAAGTTCCCGTTCTCGCTCCAGTGAATAGGTACGAAGACTTGTTCGAATATACGTTATGGCTGAAGCTGACAAGATCATCTTTGGCTAGACGGAAGTTAGGTAAGATGGTGCAAAAGAGCGTGCGCGTGAGTTGTGTCGGAGTTTATTCTGCTGAAGGCGCGAACGATCTTTTTCAGCAGATACTGCAAAATATGAGATCGATACCACAGTGAAATAGATTTCCTATTGCGCGGATCCATGACGAGGAATCCGACCAAGCTGCCAGCATTGGTAATACTCTCGGGGGTCGATGTCATCTTCGCGGGATGTCCTCTTGTTTTTGTTGACAGCGTACTCGTTGATGCGTCTACATGCCTCGATTTGACTTCTGGCTATAACCTCATTGGTCACCTTCATATACTGGAGGAAATCCACATCTTCGCACAGAGGTGTTTGTTCCTGCAAGAAATGAAGCTGGGAGTTGCTGTTTTCGTTGTTGTTGGCTTGAACAAGTCGGCCTTCTAAAATCTCGACAAGTTTTGTCGTGGGATGTCCAGCACGCAGTCCTCGCGCAACAATATATCTCTCCGAACTGGCAGGGCGGCTGGTCTGCAATCACAACCAGCACGTGAGATTATCAACACTCTACCTATACGTAAGTCTACTGGATACGTACGATGGGTTTCACGACTGCAAAACGTTCAAAACATTGATGCAGTATCCAGCAAAGCTCCAGCATCGACGGTGTCACCAATTCGAATGTCTTACAGACAAAATCCCCACCAACTCGTAGCACAGCAAACATAGCGAGAACCTCCGCCAAGATCAATCGAGTCATCATCGATTCCTACAGAAACAAAAGCCACAGGATCACTATCATTCTCTGCAGTAAAGAACCACAACTAGAGTTCAAGACCTGATTCGATTTCGAGCGAGCGTCGAGAAAGCCGCCGTCCGCTAGAGCCAAGTCCACACCGTTTGGGTGTCGTCCCCGTACAACGTCACGGAAGTTGTGAATATTTGCAATCGAGTAGAGATCACCCGTTCCATCCTCACCATAGCAGATTGTGAACATATCATGAAATCTCGAGGGCAGACGCCAGTCACACTCGTTTGCTGCACCTTTCAACGTGATACCGTAGCCATGAGTATCGCTGCTCTGCTGCGTTCTCCACAAGAGATACTCCGAGAAACCTCCCGGTCCTCCACAGATATCCGCAAATGTGAACCTCTCTCCGGCACCATGCGTCCACTGGAAAATATGATCCAATGTCACCAGCTTCATAGCTGAGCGATTCAAGAACCGATGCTTCCCCAGCAGCTCAAACGCATTCGTCGCAGCACGAGCACTACGAAACTGTGGGCTCTCCAACTCGTCAAACTTATTTTTCTCTTTCTCAAGCTCTTGCAACAGCGAGATCGCCACAAAAATCCGCTCTTCAATCTTACAATTCTCACTCAACGCAGCATCAAGTGAACAGTTCTCCTTACACAAAAGAGACAGCTCACCATACGCCCCCTCTTCCACGCCGTCAACCGAAAACTCCACGCGTTTGCCCGTCAGCTCCGTGCCAGGCATCAACTGCGCTAACACGTCCGCCCTCTTCCTCTTCCTCTCACGTTCACGATGAACTCGGCCAAACGACGTGAAGCCCATAGCCGCCATCATCTCGTCGCCACTCATTTCGTCCGTAGTGCACAAAAGCAAGTGAAAAGAACCATCGACTACCTATATTATACCGAGTACTGAGTACGAATCTATTGCTGTGGCGTGTCGTGCATGCCACTAAAAACGCTCCGAAACACGCAACACTCACTTAAGCAGAAGCGAAATCCAACGTTGCCAGTAGAGCTTTAAGGCTTTACTGCCTGCGTCCAACCGGATTAGAGTGACTAGAGCCATTCTCGCTGCCAGACACGTTAGAGGACCCATTGGTGCCATTAACGTTTGTGCCTCGCACGGCTCGGTGGACGACGGAATCCAGCTCTGCTTCAAGCTGCAGCTCACGCGCGACACTCTCGCTCAGGAGCTGCTCCAAGTACTTGATGCGGCTTTGATCTGGCGCCAACAACAGCGCCTCCCGTATATTCCGGCCCTGTGCGCGTTGCCGCGTGCGCTCCTCGACTCCACGATGATATCGCTCCAACACACTCGGGTCCAGCGCCGGACGATTCTCCGATGAGCTCTCGGAATCGGCTTCACTGGTTGCTGGCGTCGTCATGTTCAGCTCATCTGATGTTAAAGTCGACGAGCCGTCGTATCGCGCAGTCACACTGGGGGAGATCTCAAAGTCGTCGTCGTCGCTCATGTCCGAGCAGTCCGAGAGCGTCTTGGTCCGGAACTCGTCGTAGTCGTGGATCACGTCGATGTCTAGTTCCGCTTTATCTTCGTCCAGATCGCCGCCGATGGGCATTACTGAAGGAGAGTCAAGTACACTGGCGCCTCGAGGACTTCCGTCTTCATCGTAGTCATGCGCTGACGCGTCATCGTCGTGTTTCTCCACTGGGTCCATGAATTCCATGTAGTCCGGGTGGCTTTCCGGGTCCCAGCGGAAGAACATGCCGTCCCAGAGCACCACACGCTTCAGGTTGGCACGTGGATACAGCACACGGTTGGTTGGTCGATACAACGGGTTCTTGTACGGTCCAGGGTTCTCCAATACGGGCGTCCAGACAGACTCTGTGCGTTCCCACACCTTGTCCAGCACACGCTCGCGTTCTGAATTGTACAGGAACGTACCGTAGAGACCGGAGATCAGCGAATCCGAAATGTGGATCAAGAACTTCTCGTTGAACTCGAAACACGTGGGGAATTGTCGTGTCATCTGCCACACGCAGTCCAAGAACTGCAACATGACTGGTGATCGCTCGTTCGGCTGTTCGGTGATGTCTTTGCCCACGCCAATCCGATCCGCGAACTTGTGGCCGAATGAACACCACTCCTTCTCCACTAGACTGGCGAAACCGCGGATGGAGCGGTAGAACGGGTCCAGAATCAGCTGCGCCAAGGCCACAAGCTGCGGCGTGCGATCCCAGCCGTCACTACAGTGCACCAGCACCGACGCGCCGTCTTCATGGAGCACCTCTGCTACCCTACGGGCGCCTGACAACACTCGCATCACGTGCTTCAGCCATCGAGTGTCTGTAGTATAACCCAGTGTCAGTTTATGATGATCAGCAATAGAAATACAGTGGCGTGCTTACTCTCGAGACGATTGTGATAGTGTTTGTCGCCATCTTCGACGCTGCTAGGACTAACAAGGGCTGTATCAACGCACAGATACACGTCAGCCACAATCTATCACAACAGTTATGCGTTCAAACGTACACTTCAACGCATCCAAGGACTCGCGCATCTTGTGAATGTTGGCGATGCCCATAAATTCAATAGTCGCGTTGTCGTAGTGCTGGGAGTTCTCTACACCTGCAGACACAACCATCAATACATCGTTAGAAGCCGCGTACTCAAAGCAACGTGCTGTAACCATACCGTACCTTTTCCTTTTAACCGGTTGCCCTTGGTGGCGATGGGCTTGCGCGCGTCGATAATGTGAAGAGGAGGCGACATGTTGGAGCTGTTCTTGTTGGCTGAGTCGCGGTACGCGCGCAGAAGTATCCGGTCAGGTTCGGATCGGTTGCCTGCCATACCGTAGTTCGGCTGGCTGGAGCGAGACAACACGCTCTTGTTCACAGGATGGCGCCACACAACCACAGGCAGACGTGCACGTGATCGGAAGCGTGCCGACTGCACGAGCTGCTCTTCGGACATAAGCGATGGCACCACCATAAGCTGAGGGTATGTGGGGCTGAAGCGGAACTTGGAGTTCTTGAGAAGTCGCCACGTGATCGCCCCGTCCTCTTCCGGCTGCTTCTTGGCCGACAAAAAGCCCAGACGTTGGTACTCAGCAAACGGTGAGTACACAAACCAGCCATTGTGCTTCTCAGGAATAGCAGATCCCCGCTGCTTGGCCTTCTCTGTATGATAGTCGAATGCAAACAACGCACCGATCATATTAGGCGGCTTCATACGTAGCGTGAGCAGATTAAGCCACCGAAAGTCCGGAGTTGACGGGAGTTGATCGTATCCTTTCTTCCTTGAGTACGCGTCGTGCATAGCAAGTCTCAACGTTCTCAAGTCTTTGCATGTGATCAGAAGCATCAGTCCATCGCGCGTAATGAGGTCAATAGCAGCCAGCGGCAGCTCAAACGAGCCGAATTTCCAGGATGCATCGTACGGCACAAATGTGATCCGGTACGACGTGATCTTGAGCACTCCTTGTACTGCTCTGTCGCTCTGGGACATCACCACGAGGTTTGTAACTCGCTGTACATGCTCCAACACCGACTCACCCGGTAGCAACTGGAAATGGTCGCTCACCATTGAATCTCGGAGTTTGGAGCGCTCGAATGTACTGGAAACTGTCGACGCTGTCTCGTCAACAGTCACCGTAGACGCTCGTGAGGGCGTCGCAGCCGTCGTCGTCTTCTTATTGATCATAACTTTGCCCTGTTCCAAGGCCTGGACGAAGTTGGCACGGTCTTCTGTACTGTAGAACGTAATCTTCTTGTTCACACTGGCATTTCCCGTCTGGATCTTGAGCTGCATCCCCAGTCTGGACTGCGGCTTGGCCGTCACAGCTGCACAACTGTACTCCTCGCGTTGATCATGAGCCGATAGAAAGTAGAGCATCCTTTCGTCCACATCCACCTGCAATTGGATACTGGCTCGCTTACTCCCGAGTTTTTCCAGCACACTGTCACTCTTCTTGACTGTAAAGGTAAACAGCGTCACCTCGGACAATGGCGCCGCATTACGGTTAAAGCCAAAGACATTGCTACTGTGAGTGGATCGGCTGCGTCCGTTCTCCACTAAGAAATTGTTCGAGTCGCTCAATGTGTCTGTAACGCGAGCAAAGTGTCCTGGTCGGTCGTAGAAGCTGTTACTGTTGGCATAACTGCCCAATGAGCTGCGTCCGACGGCCATCTCGGGGCGAGGGATCTCCATGTTGTATCTAGGACTCGCTCGGGCTTCTACGCTTGTTGTGTCCGTCGTGTCGATGGTCAGCTCCGCTCTAGAGCCTGACGGAGCCGTAGACGCCCATTTACTGCCGTTATTGGGACTTGAAGGCCCCGTGGACAGGAATTTCCCCGATGCAACGTCGTCTGACGCCTGTGTTGAGATTTTCCTTCGCGTGGACGTCCTGGTGTGCCGTCTAGGACTGCTACCGACCCCCTGAGAGGAGGAAAAGTTCGATGTAGATCTGGAATTCTGACGTAGGGGCATCGAGACACTGGAGGAGAGGCCCGTAGGGTGTGCAGGCGGTGGAGACTCGCTCTCTTCGCTCGGTAGTTTACCAATGAGCTTCCAGACGTTGGTCGTGGCCTGTCCAGCCTGTGCCAAGTTCTTCTCGGCCATCAACAGTTTGTCCAACGTGGCCGAGTCCATCGTGGACTGACGCTGGGCCAGGTACGCGTCGTCCTGGTCGTCAGCGGGGGTCTCCGTCGTCGTGGACGCCGGCATATCCCGAGCGCGCATCGGCTTCTTGGCGCGGGAGAGGTGAAGGGGGGTCTGCTGCCTCGCTCTATTGTAACCACGCGGGCTTTACTTTGTGCGTTTGAGTGCGGGGGAGTGAGTGCTGGCTCGCTCGTCGGGTTGAGGAACCGAAATCAGCCAATCAGAAACGGATATTTATGGGGCATAGTGAGATCTAGTGTAAATGTTGTTATCAACGACCCAGGTGGGATGGGCTCTTTGCATCGGTACACACCGCAGTGTTTTCCTCCAAGCAGGCGAGAATGCGATGGCCTCGACGGATTGCAATTGCATTCACATGTCAATCGCGAGTGTCTGTGCTCATGAAGCGAACGTCTTTTGACGAAGAGTTGTAGAAGAACGCCAAGATGCAAGTTAGGCTTGAGACCAAGGCATTAAAGTGGTTAGATCCAGCATTTCGAATCGACGACTGGAAGACGTGGTAATACTCTTACGTCTCTAATTATGAAGCTCTCATCAAAAAGGTTGCCTTATAATACTCGTCGATGGCGCCGCTGCAAAGATTTTCAACAAATTTGAAGCATTTATTTTATCCTTTTCTGAAACCTTGCAACTATCCTCTGACCGGCGACAGCTTACTTCCTGCTATGGGTCCATGGACTGTGAGCAATCACGGGTGTGAAGACAGATGGGGCGTTTGGAAAGGTAACACGTGAAGTGTTCATAAGAAGAAAAACATTTTCAAGAAAATTAACGTTGTGAAGTGTTTATATAGGTTTTTAACTGATCCAAGGCTACGCTACAGCTTCGTAGTGATCATCGTGCATGTGGATGATGAGACGCCATTTTAAGTAGCTTTGTGATCTCGCTATTACATCGGGTGCCTTGGGCACCTATTGTTCTCGTACTGATACATACCCGTTCATTGACCGGAATTTGCATCACTCCAGTGTCGAGATATCCGCAAATATGCGGGGCGAAGTCACTAGAGCATTGTCGAATCGAGCACTTGCGTGTTACTTCTGCTTCGTTTGTGGGGTATTAGAACTGTCGCGGCCTGGCGATTGAACGCCGCGTCAAGGTCTCTGGAGGTGGCTCGGATGTCCCAGAGCGAGCAAATACAAGCCCCTCTCCGCCCTGATGTTGCAGTCCTACCTCACTGCTAACGGCGGAAGTAAAATGGCACACTCTAGTCGCCGTCTTGGTTTCAGTGTTCGCAAGCCACACCGAAAAGCCCCAAAGATTCCTCTTGCTTACGCCTGCTCAGTCAAGCAAAAGAAACGTAGAGACAAACCGCACGGGAGACGAGACTCACACACAACATCATTGTTGATGCCGGGGTCACTTCATTCAAAATGCCACGTGGATCGATTTCTTTGGGGAAAACTGGCGCAGCTCGCATAAGCTACTAAAGAGGGGATTGCTGTCAGCTTACGCCCAACACTTACAGCGCGGAGGCGCTTACGACAGGGTTCACCAGCTTGCCAATGCGCTCGATCTCGATTTCCACCATGTCTCCCGGCGCGAGGAAAAGAGGTGGATTGCGCGCGACGCCAACGCCCTGCGCGAAAGTCACACCACAATATTTTAGGTTGGTTATTTCCATAATTTGCAAGAAAAAAAAAACATGAAATGGATATTTTACCTCTGGAGTTCCCGTGAGGATGAGCGTACCCTTGGGCAGCGTGCAATCCTGCGAGAGCTGACTGATGAGCTTCGCGACCGAGAAAATCATGTCGCCCGTGTTGGACTTTTGCACCTGCTCGCCGTTGAGGTACGTGGCGATCTCGAGCGTCTGCGGGTCTGGGATGATCTCGGGCGTCATGAGCACCGGTCCCAGCGGACAGAAAGTGTCGAAGGTCTTGGCACGGCACCACTGGCCTCCTCCCTTCTTGCCCTGCCAGCGACGCGCCGAGATATCGTTGGCACAAGTGTAGCCACCGACGTAAGTCAGTGCCTCCTCCTCCGTCACGTTGCAGGCATCTTCCTTCAGCACAACAGCGAGTTCGCACTCGTAGTCGACCTCAGGAGGGTCCGAAGCAATGCGAGGGATCACCACGGGGTCGTGAGGGTGCTGCAAAGCGTTGACGCCCTTGGTGAAAAGCACAGGGAACTTCGGCTCGGGCATGTTCGTCTCCTTGGCGTGCTTGCGGTAGTTAAGACCAATACCCAAGATCTGTGAGGGCACTACGGGTGCCAGTACCTTCTCGATGGTGGCGGTTTCGCCTGTAAAGTGCAGAGAGCCCAGAGGATCGTCGTCCTCCACGAGCAGAGCGGTGGAGCCGTCATCCGTGCGCTGACCGCAGCGAATCGCGCCGTTCTCGTCCACGAAGCGCGTGAGCGCCGTGGCCTTGGCGTTCTGTGACGTAGTGATGCGGCGAGTGGAGCTCATGGCTAGGAGGCGGGGACTGGCGGAGCAGAGGCGCACAAGACGCAGCAATGACATCAGCAGATCCAAGCTCGGGCTATGTCTTCGATGCTTGACTGGGCTGGCAGTTCTATGTAGAGGGTTGTGTGAAGAACCTTCAATTGCGTTGACAAACACAATAGTTTGTGGTGCACATGAAACATAAGTTGACGTAGATGAAAGTGGGCCCAATCAGAACTACGGGATTGTAAAAGTTCAAGTTGTCTTTTTTAGAATTGACGCACAATTAACGTATATTTTTGCTTTCGAACACTCGTCGGTACGCATGCTGATTGGCTAGGATGACGGCCTATTAACTTAGTGCTTAAAACTCGTCGGTACGCATGCTGATTTGGCCGCAGACAAAAAAACCATTAAAATTTAATGGGTTTTTTCGTCTGAATGCCATCCAGTAAACAGATATGAGACCGTCGGGGTTACACTTTGGGGTACGACATGTCGGTGAGCACGGCGCAGGTGCCCATGCCCTGTGAACTGCGGCTAATGCGCACGTAGCCGTCCTCACCCCACTCGGTGCCCCACGAGTTTTTGATCTTGATGGTGGTGGCGTCGTAGCCCACGGCGAGCACGGCGTGGTCGACCGTCGCAGTGTTACAGGACGTGATGACTCCGCTTTTGTACTGCTTCCACATCGGGTTGTTCGAGATGACTGAGACGACCACGGGCTGCTTCTTCAGGGCGCCAAGGAGTGCGCTTTCGTCTCCAGATTTCAACTGTGCAATGTCAGTAATACCCGACTTCACTGGGGTGCACGTCTTCACGCAGGCTGCAGCGGTTCCACCCTCTACCGATGTGTACGGATAGCTGCTCTCCGTGCAGACCCCATTATCGCGGAGATACTGCATCGCGTACACGGGAGCACCGCCATTGCATCCGAAGTCTTTCGTGTCGCAACTCACAAGATGCTGTTCCGAGTATGAGGGGGCTTTCTTGTCACCGTTGGCAATACATTGCGCGGCTTCTAATGCACCCAAACTAGCGAACGCCCAGCAACTACCGCATTGGCCTTGCAGACCGGGAGGATTAACACAACCCGACTTGCTCCAGTCCACTGAATCCGAATCCGAGTCTCTTGCCGTGTCTGACGTAGACGCGGTCGTCGTCGCCTTTTGTTTCGTAACGGGGGCCGGAGCCGGAGCCGGAGCTGGAGCTTTAGTAGCTGGCGCTTTAGTAGGTGGGGCTTTCGTAGCTGGTCGCTTAGTGGCTGGCCGTTTAGTAGCAGGAGCCGGCGGTGCTGGAGCTGGAGGTGCTGGAGCGGGAGGTGCTGGAGCGGGAGGAGCCGGAGGAGGTGCCGGTGCCAGTGTCGGAGGCGTCTGCGGCGTCACGGGGGCGGGAGCGGGAGGATTGTTCGCACTGGGAGGCTGATTATTAGGCGGTGGAGTCCACTGATTGTTTGGTGGAGGAGTCCACTGGTTATTAGGCGCCGGAGTCCATTGATTGTTTGACGGTGGTGTCCACTGGTTGTTCGACCCCGTCGGCTGAGTCCACTGTTGATTCCAAGACCACGTATTGCCGGTGTTGCCTCCCCAGGTGGTTCCCCACCCGTTGGTTCCCCACCAGTTCCCGTTGTTGCCACTACCGGTTCCACCAGAAACAATAGCAATCTGAGCACTGTCCCCTGTGGAGACATCTCCGAAGTTCCATCCTTGGTTCGTATTGCCTCCGTTGTTGGTGTTAGGTTGCGGGGCAGACTGACTTTCATAGGTTTCCTGTGAACTCTTAACGTACGTGTCGGAAGTACTCTGGAAACCTTCGCCAGTGTTGCTGTAATCTCCTCCGTTGAACGCGTATTGGCTCTTGCCGGCGTTGCGAAGACGACGCACCATCGGAACGACCACCGGACCCTCAGTTGCTGGAGCCCAAGTCTTCTTTTCCTCATCGTCATTTTTGTCGTCGCTTTTTGACTGTTTGGTGTCATTATCTTCCTTGTTCTTGACCTCCTCGCTTGGTCGCGTCTTTTTCTCCTTTTCAGACAACGTTTTGGGCTTTTCGACTGCAGGGGGCTCAGTCTTGCCGGTTTCGTTAAGGTGGGAGTTCGAAAGGAACTGCTTGAACTCATCCATCGTCATTAGTGTGAATGGCCCGTCGGTACTGAACTCGGCCATCGGATTCAGCTCTCGCGCTTCTTCGATTTGTTCCTTGGTCAGATAGAACCGCTGTAGTTTGTCTTCTAAATCATCGTCCGAGCTTCGCGACTCTGTCACGGGAATATAACCATGCTTCGGTCCACTATCGCTGTATGTCTTTAGCCACTCATTCAATTCAGCTTTGATTGTCTCCTTGTCCGCCAAGTATCGATGGTATTTGGGGACGATTTCAGCGTGCATCGGTCGCGCTTTGACATTATCCGAGATAATCGCAGCCACGAAAGCCACCGCTAACGCGACCGTAGCCGTCGACACTCGGGGCTGCATCTGCCTCACCTGTATTTCCACCCTGCAATGACTGTCACTCCCGTGTGTTACTTACTAGTTAGCGCCAGTGTCCGCGACACAGCAAGTTTGAAAATGCTGTAGAAGCGACCAGAGAGAGCAGTTCGAGATTGTGAATTAGCCCAGGATTGGCTCGCGAGACAGAGGTGCCGTTCAATTGGCTAGGCCGTCGGGATAAACAGGGTCTGCGACTTGCACTTGTTGCCTACGGATGGGAGCTCTGCTGTGGAATCGGTAGAACGATCAGCGTGGGCAATGGAATTCATGACAACAAGTTGCACTAAGAGCAACGTCGACTACAAAACTGCTAGCTTTTGGATTAAAAGCTCATCGCCTGGGTAATGTTCGAACAGCTAAAGTGTCTGCATGCAGACCAGCAACTTTTAATCGCACAAGAATCCCATCATGGTCCAGCAGCAACATCTGTATAGGCAGAAACACAGCTTTGGCATGCAATATCAGCTTATAGAATCAATTTTTTCTTTAAATTACTTGCATACACATGAAGTAAAAAAGCTACAATATCGATATTAAAAGGGTCTGTTTCAGACTGTAAGATTCAACTTGGTGCTTTGCAGTCGCCAGCAAGGATGGTCCTCAAGCAACGCTTACCTGAGTCCAAGGTGTATTGTCCGGAGTGCATGATCAACACCTCCATTTCGACTTGCATCTGCTGGATATCAGCCATTCTGCCTCTTTCAGTGAAGCTTATCGTGGTAATGACCTCTAAACTTGAGCCATCTGCACACTTGCTCTTCCCAGCCACGGTTGTTGATGAATGGCTTGCAGGCTGCAAGTTGCAGCTCGACTCAAACGAAGAAGTTGTCGAGTGCACGTCACGTTAGGGTGTTTTGCAATGCCAATGCTGCACTATCCAAATGTTCATGTTCATTCCTCGACGTCGAACAACGCCAAGCAAACGTTGCATGTATGGATGCCAGTATGCTCGTAAGACCGAAGCGTGAACGTAAAGGATGGTGGGTCGCGGTACTGATGCACCTGCCTGAGCAAACATTATCATCATGACTCATGATGATAATGTTTGCTCAGGCGATCGGTTGTCGCCGACAACTTGTCAGGAACCTCATCGTGGACGTTGGCTGGTGCTGCTGTACTTTAGTACAAAGGATTGAGGAGGGGATAGCCTCACTGCAGCTCGAATATCCAGGAACACTCGCTTGGCGGTAACCGACTGCAGAGTTGACGATCGCAGAGCGAACGAGTTAACGTCGATACCGATCGGCGTTTGTCGTTTTAAGATTTTGAGGAGCAGCGCGTCCAACGGCAATGCAAGTCCTGCGAATTGCGATGACAGCAGAAGAAAAAGAATGCACCGATTCAATCGATGACTGTCAAGTGAGATTGGCATTGTCCTTTTGCCCTAGATGGACTTCACGTTGTGAATGAAAAGATTTTACTATCTCCGCTTGTTCCGTTCGTTCCCGCCGACACGAAGTGATTGCACCAAAAGCTCTTCGGCGGGTGCGACAACAGCTCCTGGATACAACGAACGGTGTCATCCAGTCCAAGTCCTGGCAGCGGGCAGCAGAGCCCACTTGCATCGGATACAGCTGATCCATTGCTTCTGATCGATTCCGTCAGCGCATTCGAGACATGTGGTCGCCCCGGGCAACCACCACAACGCCTACAGGTGCCGGCCAATTCGTGGTTCTCAGAGCGAAGCCACTTGATCAGCACACGCCTTCTCATCAGCAAACGCAGACAGCTTAGCGTGTGGATCGTGTTGGCATTGACACGTTGGCGTCAGCTGTCCGTGCAGAACGGCCGCCAGGAGTTGCAACGGAAGCATGAGGCGGGTGCAATATGACCAGATGAACAAGACGGTCTCTACTTCTACTTCATCTCTAGGCTGGTATGCCGTTGTCTTGGTATGACTTGCGCCTCAAAATGATCTGGGGATGCCAATACTATCGGCAGAAGGTGGCGAGTGTGTCCAACTCCGTTCGATCACCACGTCATGACCCGACGCTCCTCTGCATCTCCTGGCTCACGGCCAGCGAGGCCTTCAACGCTCACTCTTTGATTTGGTTGCTGTGAGCAAGTCGAACGTAGCACAATAGACGAGAATGCCGTCACAAGACCGATCTACTACTGTTAGTGTCCTCCGCTTCATTGGAGGCGTGGCGATCGCGGCGGTCGCCGTGTCCGGCGTGGACGGACGGCAGATGCACGCCGGCCTTGACTACCACCGCTACCTGGCTGAACGAGCCGAGACCAGACAGGAACTGGCCGACTGGAAGGCCAATTTCGGCGAGATGGCCAAGAACAACGGCTGGATGCCTCCCCCCACCAGTAACTCTGAGGAGCGCAGTGCCGACGACGACGAGGAAGACCACCTCCAGCGGTTCTACATGACCAAACAGAACATCTCGGCCATCCAGGCGCTCAACCCGAACGCTAATTTCTCAGTCAACACACCGTTCACATTGCTCACGAATGACGAGTTCGCAGCTTACGTAGGTAAAGCCTATCGCACCTACAACGGGTCATCGGTGCCCACGAACCGCCGGCTTCGAAGCTGGCACAGAAGTAGCAGCACCAAGACGACATACAACAGCGGCACGCCCGGCGCCATCTCCAAAATTACGAGCACAAGCACTAGCAGCGGGACTAACAGCAACACCCAGGCGTCGGTTCTCGGCGGGACTGTGAATGGGGGCACGAACTACGAGACGACAAGCGTTAAGACAATCACTACTACTGGGGCCGATGGTAAAAGCACCACCACGACTACCACGACGACATCTTCAGGACCTGGTACGGAATCTACGACCGTCACTACATCCTCAGGATCCGCTTCTACCATGTCAAATTTCGGATTTGGATCGGGATTCTCGTCGCTGTGGCAACAATGGGGCAACGGCTTCAACTTTGGTGGCATGGGTCGGAACGATTTCCACCCCGAGACGGTCAAACCTGCAGGTTCTGCCTCCAGTTCGCCAACCACCAATGCCCCCTCCACCCCGACGCCTATCACCGCGGCGCCAACGCCCACACCGACTCAAACGACGGCCACTCCTAGTGCAACAGCCCCGACAAAGTCTTTTACCACAACGGTGACGGCTACAGATACATCCACAGCCTCTACCTCGAACGAAGTCGACTGGACGGACTCGAGCTGCATGTCCCCCATTCAAAACCAAGGCTCGTGCGGCGATTGCTGGGCATTCTCCACTGCTGCGGCGATCGAGTCTGGTCAGTGCATCAATGGCGGCCAGAAGACACTCAATAAGTACTCGGAGCAGCAGCTCACGAGCTGTGATAGTCAAAACTACGGGTGTTCCGGTGGCGCACCGATCTACGCCATGGAGTATGTTCAACAGAACGGGCTGTGCACGGAAGATGACTACCCGTTCACGTCTTCAGATGGCACAGCGGCGTCGTGCTCTAATGGGTGCTCGGCTGTGGACACAGGAATCACCGGCTACGAGACGGTGGATGATGCATCAGGTCTTGCTACTGCAGTGGCCCAGCAACCAGTGATCATCGCTGTGGCGTCGGGTAACAATGCGTGGAAACAGTATACGGGTGGTGTGATCTCGTCATGTGACACTAGCGAACTCGACCACGCTGTCGTGGTCGTAGGCTACACGGACAGCGAGTGGAAGATCCGCAACTCGTGGGGCGATTCCTGGGGCGAGGAGGGCTATATTCGACTCGAACGAACGAGTGACAGCACAGGCACCTGTGGAATGTACGGCGATATGTCGTACCCCATCTTCTAAGGCAAGTAGATGCAGAGGATGAGTATGTATGTAGTATGTGTCGGTGGTAGTGAAGAGTGCGATAAATGCGTCAAATAACAAGTAACCCCAACGTAGTTTTTCGGTGGAGACAAAGCACAGCTTCAACATCGTGTTGACGGTCAGCTTGGCCAGACAATTTCGCTAGGCAGGTGTTCAACATCATGATACATGATACATGATGAATGATACGGCCCCACAAGGTTTACCACTTGGCACGCACGCGAGCAGCCCTCACCTCTTCGTGCTCTTCCAGTCGTACACCATGTTGCCATGAAAACACACAGCTGACAGTGTCGTTCCTGTGACGTGAGGCAGCCAACACTTCAAGCGATGGACTTGCACATGCAATGCTGGACACGACAAAACTGACACAGTTCCTCCGAACCACATGGCATCGAGGCACCACAGGACAACGCAAATGCACGTACTGAAGTGGTGTTGTCTTATCCGCGTATCTTCTCGAGCGTGGCGTCTCGAAATAAGGATATGTCTAGCAGCGAGATTCAGAGACAACTACATTCAACCGTCGTTTCATCTCTGTGGCATCTCTCAGCGAGTCCTTGGAGAAGCATTCGCAGAGAGAGAGAGAGAGAGAGAGAGAGAGAGAGAGAGAGAGCTATTTATTTGGGTGATACAAGTTATATCACCTGGTCGGACAGAACGCTCGCCACTGCTCCTTTAGCCGAACAGATTTCAATTTTTTGCTGCTCGAACTTGTCAAGTTACTTGACTCCACCTGGATCGGCTCTATTTACCAGATGTCCCGCGATCAGATACTCTTCCGTGGCTTCAGCAGTTCGGTGGATACGAGGAATGCCACTTGACGCTCAGTCTTAAATTCACCTGCAAGTGCTCTCTTCACAGTGATCATGAAGCCGATCACTTTAATCACAACTTTAGTTTTTGCAACTTCAATGCTTGCAGTGGTGCCTGTCAATGCGCGTCCGATGCACGCCGGTATCAACTACCAGCGTTATCTCACCGAGATTGACACCATTAAAGCTGAGACGGACGAATGGAAAGCTATGTTTGAGAAAACATGCAAAGAGAACAATTGGATGCCTGAATATTCAACCGAAGAGCGCAGTTCAGTCGATCAGGACGAAGATTTGCGTCAGCGTATCTTCATGAGCAAGCAGGATGTCCTGGAGGCACAAGCTGGGAACCCCAACGCCAATTTCTCGATCATGACGCCGTTCTCGGCACTCACCAAGGAGGAGTTCGCTGCGAAGGTTCTCAATTCATACGTTCGAGGCAACACAACAAGGCAAACTCCTACTCCGTCGCCAGCGCCACCCAAGCGATCGCTTCGTCAGCAGGAAACATACACCTTTACGAGCATGCAGGATATGATCAACTCTCTGATGCAAAGTCTTCAGCAGCAAATGGGAGGCTCCTGGTCGATCGCGACAGTGAAACCTGCCACCGACAACACGGACACTTCGACTGCCAAGCAGTGGCATTGGACAATCCCCGCTACCTTTCCAACAGTCGCACCGACCCCAGTCGCCCCAGCTCCAGCTCCTAACACTCCACCTCCAGCTCCTGTCACTCCGGCACCGGCTCCTGTCACTCCGGCACCGACTCCAGCACCGACACCAGCTCCGACTCCAGCGCCAACCCCAGCGCCAACCCCAGCTCCGATCCCTGTTACAGCAAAGCCAAAGACTGCAGCTCCAAGGACTTACGCTCCTGTAACACCTGCCCCCGTGGTGGAGCCCTTGACCAAGAAACCTTCAACTCCGGTCCGAACCGAGAAGGCCGTTCTCAACTCTGCTAACTCGGTCGACTGGTCTGCTACCAAGTGCATGTCTCCTGTCCAGAGTCAAGGTCAATGTGGTTCCTGCTGGGCGTTCGCTTCGGTTGCTGCAGTGGAGTCGCTCCAATGTATCAAAAATGGTCAATCAGAGATCAACAAATACTCGGAGCAGCAATTGGTAGGGTGTGACTCTCAGAACATGGGCTGTGGCGGTGGTGCTCCGGTGTACGCTTACGAGTACATCCAGAAGAACGGACTTTGTTCAGAGAGCGCTTATCCGTACACTTCCAGTAATGGTGGTGGAGTGTCTTGCAGTGCCAGTTGCTCGAAGAGTCAAACGGGAATCACAGGCTACGAACGCATCAACGAGGGCGACGAAGCTGGTCTCGTTGACGCTCTCAAGTCACAGCCGGTTGTCGTGGCGGTTGCCTCGGGTAACGCAGCGTGGAAGCAGTATACTGGTGGTGTCATGACCACTTGTGAAACTACCCAAGTGGACCACGCTGTGCTCGTGGTGGGCTATGACGACAACACTTTCAAGGTCCGAAACTCGTGGGGTGAGAACTGGGGAGAGGCTGGGTATGTGAGAATGGCACGCAGCTCGTCCGGTATGGGTACCTGCGGCATGCTCACCGACATGTCTCGTCCGAAGATGTAGACACCGGGTACACGAAGCATTGTCTTTGTCATAAATGTAGATGCGTCAAAAAGCGAGGAAAACTCTAACCTGTAAATAATAGTACACAACGTCATTGTTCTCAATTGTTGGATTCGTTGAAGCATTATTCCAGTGTAGTCACGGCATGGCTGTCATGCACAAAGATAACAAAAAGATTTTGTATCGTTCTACCAATTGAGCGTTACTTAGAGTCAGCTCCGACTCTTATCTAGGAGCGCTTACTATGGATACTCTCGCGGAAAATAAAGAAGTGTCGTTCAAGAAGTATTCTTGATTTCTCGAAACGTGGCGATGATGGTTTCATAGATTTAGCGAGACACCGTCTCCACGCCAGTTTATTCACTGTAAAATAAGGACCGAAAGCCACTCACCCGCACACCAAGATGAAAGGATACTGACGTCTCCAAACATCGACAACTGTCATGGAAATATTCGTTGTTGCGGTGCTTAAAGTGGGTGGACGCGAAGCGTTATCTGTACAGAAATGTCTGACCATCCAGCTGGGATGTTGACATCGACTACTTGACGCTAACCGCATGAACACGGCTCCGCTCAAGCCTCAAACCTCGTTTTTCTCTGTCCGTGAGGAACCGGAACGATCGAAAGTGCTTCATTCAGCAAGTATCAGTAGATCTCACGCCGAGGTCTACTCGAACGCGATCATTTGACGAGCAAGCGCCAAACTCACTTCTTAAATCACCTTCAAGCTAACAAGTCCAATAGCAGTACCATCGAAGATCTTCTGACGCTCACCAGCGCTCTCAAAGCGATGCACGTTCCCACTCTTTGCTTGGTGATCGCATTCACCATCTTGACTATTCCTACCATTGCTCGACCGATGCATTCTGGTATCGACTATCAACGATACCTTGAAGAGATCGACACCACTCAGGCTGATCTCGACGAATGGAGAAGCAAATTCGGTGACGTTGCCCAGAAGAACGGCTGGATGCCAGTCTCGGAGGCCCGCAGTGCTGACGATCAGGAGGAAGATCTTCGTCAACGCATTTTCTTGACCAAGCAGAGCATAGCTAAGGTTCAAGCAGCGAATCCCAGCGCGAATTTCTCCATCATGTCGCCATTCTCAGCGATGACTGACGAGGAGTTCAACAAGTACGTTCTCAACTCGTACGTTCGTGGCAACTCGACACAAAGCACAAACCGAACGAATTCGCGGCAACTGCGCAGTGCTGGCAACTCGGATTCAAACATCGACGCAGGCTCCGACAACGCGTCGATCATTAAAACCTTCGAATCCCTCATTAAAACTTTCTTCAACGGGTTGAATACGGCTACAATTCAGCCCACGAGTGACAGCTCGGCCAACGTTAAAAGGAGCGGAAGTCAAGCGAGCTACAAGTTCTCGGATTTCTGGGATTGGCGTCCACTCCAACCGACGACTAACGCACCAGCCACGACATCGTCGCCAACAGTGGCCGAGGCCAGTACTGACTCGGTGGATTGGTCGACATCGAAGTGCATGGCTCCGATTCAAAGCCAGGGTTCGTGTGGTTCTTGCTGGGCTTTTGCCACCGTTTCAGCTGTCGAGTCGGCGCAGTGTATTGCAAGCGGGAAACAGTCACTCACCAAGTACTCAGAGCAGCAATTAGTGAGCTGCAACACTCAGAACTGGGGCTGCGATGGCGGATCTCCAGTGTACGCGTTCGACTACGTGCAGCAAAACGGTCTTTGCAAGGAAGACAGCTACCCGTACACGTCCAAAGGAGGCTATGCCGATTCTTGCAGTCGAAGTTGTGATGCACAGGACACCGGACTCACAGGATATTCACAGGTTACTGGTGAAGATGAATTGCTAAATGCACTTGATAAACACCCGGTGATCGTAGCGGTAGCTTCGGGAAACAATGTCTGGAAACAGTACACTGGTGGCGTGGTGTCTTCGTGTGATTCTTGGCAACCCGATCATGCCGTTGTTGCAGTGGGTTATGATTCTTCGTCGCTCAAGATCCGCAACTCGTGGGGCACGTACTGGGGCGAAGAAGGCTACATCCGTCTTGCTCGCAGCTCGTCTAGAGAGGGAACGTGCGGTGTGATGATGGACATGTCGACTCCGCAGATGTAAGCTCGTTGTCAAGCTCGATCGTGGTGTGTAGTAGGTGGCGTCGTGTAAATCGATGTACAGCTGTGAGTTGGCGTCGATGATCCTTGAAAACGAATCTTCGACTTCTAGAACTCAGCAGATAACAACAAAGTGCGTGGATTTAGCAAAAGTTAGTGTTCAGTGCTCAGTTCAAAATACATAACTTGCACGCGAGTCCACGACTTGACTGTTTTCCAGGTTTGCGAGTATCATCTGCAGTCTGTACAGTGCTTCAGCCGCAGTCGGACGATCACGAGGGTCCACAGATGTGCATGCGTGGCCTAAATCCCAGAACTCCCGTGGACTGAACTGCGAAAACGCCACATGAACTTTGCCCACAACAATTTGGTGCAGCAGAACTGCGTCCGACATCGTAGTTTTCACATGTGCGTATGGGATCGAGTGAACGTCCAACTCGGACAGCAACACGCCGAGTGAAAAGATATCTGCTTTGTCGTCGTACCGCTCTCCCATCATAACCTCCGGTGCCATCCACAACGAAGTACCAACACCCGCCGTCATGGTTACATCAAGTCGCTCTCTTGATATACCAAAGTCTGTGAGCTTGGCGTCCATTCTACGACTGAGTAGGACGTTGCGAGACTTCAAGTCTCGGTGGATAACGGATGGCATCAGCGAGTGCAGATAAGTCAGAGCATGGCAGACGTGGACAGCAATTGTGGCTTTTTGATAGTCGATTCCAATGGGATGACCGGAATGTTCGTACTTGTCCAGCAGTGTTCGCAGATCGCCGCCGTCCATGTACTCGAACACGACGCAAAGGTCGGAGAGCGCGTTCCACGCTACTCCGACGAGAGAGACAATACGTGGGTGGTCCATCGTCGCAGCCATCTTTGCTTCCGCCAGAAATTCGTTGACGTGTTTGATTTCGGCGCGCGTAGCGGGGGGCAACATTTTGATGGCAACTGCGCGACCGTGGAAAGCACCGGCGTAGACTTCTCCATTCCCACCTCGGCTGATAAGGTCACAAACTTGAACCTCGTCGCGAGAGATTCTCTTGGCAGTGATGACATCATCGTCCCATAATCCTGTCTGTCCCCGCGATTTTCCTTTAGGCGACGTCATGTCAGTGTACTGCGTAGTTTCCGTTTGCTGTAGGGTAGATTCGTCCTTTCCTCGGAGACGCCGGCGACAAAGCAGGATAGCACATATTATAAGGATGAAAGCGATGCATCCACCGACGATTGCTATGATCACACCAATGCTGATGCCACTACCGGACGGGTCTGATACCGGCTTGGATCCACTGTTTGATCCTTCCTCAACTTCCGAGACCCCACTGCCAGATTTGGATCTGCTAGAGAAGTTGCTTCCGCTTCCTTGGCTGCTAGAAGAACCACTGTCGACAGTGCTACCCGAATTTGTCGTGGTGGGGCCTGATGAGGAAGAACCACTGTTTGTTGCTGCGTCTTCTGTGTTTGATGCCGATGTCGAGGTGGATCCCACATCCGGGGTTACAGTGCCATCAGTACTAGAATCGCTCGTGGTCGCCAATCGACGGGTACTGCTGCTGCTGTACCATTTGCGCCAGTTGCCGTCGCACGAATGACTTTTGAGTGTCTTCGCATCGACAATATCCGTTCGCAACCACGAATCTTCCTTGCATTGTGGCTCAGAGAACCACTGGATCGATGCAGACCCGTTTACAGTTATACGACCCATGCTCGCATTCGTGAACGAAAGGTCTGAGCTGCCCTCGCACTCGTCGGACACCGGAACTCCCACGCCAGAAGAAAACTTGGTACACTCAGCGTTGTCGAACTGGACTTGAAAAATGTACGGCGTGCTGCCAAACTGTCGTCCGACAGAGTCGACGTAGTTGGAAGAGCATTCGACTAACGTCTTGTCGGTATCGTCTCCAACAGCGCGCATTTCGCTCGCACACTCCAGATATTCTTGAACAAGTACGAAGTAAGGAGTGGCATTACGAGCAACCCCAGTGTAGTACGATGTGACTGAGAAGGTTGTCGCTGAAGCACTTGAAAGGCACCCTAGCAGCAACAGCGGCAACAGGCGTGTCATTTTGTCACCACTCGGTCAGTTGCGAGCTCGGGAGTGGTTGTTTGAAGTTGGCGTGGACGTCATTCCTTCTTGCTCTTCTCCCGCCGTCGATCTTATGGTGCGCCGCAAATAGGTGAGAGAGCACATGGAACTCACCCGTTGGAACAGATTGTATGGAAGTCCTGAAACTTTGGGAGAGCATTTCAAAGGCATCGCTGCCAGGTGGAGCTGCTCACCCATTGTGTCCACCGGCAGCTCCGCCTACGTGCTAGTGCAAGCCTTGCACTGCAAGGTGTACCTAGCAGGTGTGCTCGATTAAGGGCTGGAACTCGCCGTTACGGTGAGGCACAGAAGGGGCTAAAAACGAATAAGACCCTGTACATGTAGCTGGAGGTAAAGAAAAGTTGGTAAGCTATCGAGCATAATGTGGACGATCTGGTGATTTAGACAATGTGTTGGTCTTCGAACTTACATGCTCTTTCATGACAAGAATATGCCATCACGAAGTCTATGATGAAGCCCCTTCCAGTTTCATCGATGACATTGCAACAGCAGCCTCGTCAATAGTCGCAGCGCCAGCAGACTGCTTCCTCGGGACAGCACCAGCCTCAGTGCTGAGGGGGAGATACCATTCCTCCAACATACCAGCCTTGTCGCGCGCCTCCTTGTTAAAAGGCGGTTTTAGCATTCCCTTGTAGTACTGCGGTACAATCTCGTGGAACTTGGCAATTGGATCGATGCCATCGCGCTCGCAGACGTATCGGAACCAACGCACGCCGGCACCAACATGTGTAGTTTCTTCGTTGTAGTTCTTGTGGATAATTTTCAAACTCACGTCGTCGCTGGCTTTCTCGAATCGCTGGACTGCATTCGGGAACACATCAAGACCGCGTGCCTCATGAACAAGGTGGACGACTGCCAAGCGTGCCAGAATGCTTTCACGAGTATCGTACGCAGCATCCCAGAGACCCTCATGGCCTGTAAGATCGCCATAGAAACTACCCAGCTCCGTAAGCCGGTGTGCCCAACTGCTGAAGTGCTCTGCTTCCTCGCCAGCAACGCGTACCCAGTCATCATAGAACGCACGTGGCAAGTTATGCGGCACAAATCGAGCCACCATGTCCCACATAAGATCAATCGCGTAGCTCTCAGCGTGCGCCAGGCTGTTCAGCAAATATAACGAAATGGTTAGGAAAAGGCTACCAGTGGCGCAAAGTTATAGTGATCCCAATAATCATCTGTATGGCTGTAGCTCACCTGTGCACGAAGGCCTTGCGAGATCCCTGCTTCGCCTTGTGAGCTGGAACCACCACCACATTCTCAGGCCGTGCTGGATGGTCAGGCACATTGTTCACGTCATCGTCTTCGTTGCAGATAGCCTCGATCTCGCCACTCTTCCATTGAGCGACATACTTGGTCGTTTTCTCAGTCTTGGCGAACGCATCGCCCGTAGTCAGCACGTCCAGCGCGCAGGCAAACAGCGTCGAAGTTGTCGAGTCTGGCATCAAAATCGAAGATGCGACGATTGGTCGTCGAGTCCTGCTGTTCCGAACCTGGTTTCTGTACCCTTAACCTTCACTGCCATGGCTACATCAGGAAGACTGCAACAAATGCAATCACTATATGTACATTACAAACAGCTCGATGACAGGGCTGAACACGCTTCCCCGATGTACCGTCATGGTCGTTGAAAGCCAAAGGTCTTCGGGTACAAGTCTCGATACCACTGATTCATCGAGAAGTTGTCGTTCACACTGAAGCCGAAGCTGCTTTGATCTGCTGGCAGAGGGTCTAGCAGAATACTGGAGGGGCTCTGGAAGCGTTCAGTATTAGACTCACTTTCGCGTTGATAGTCCCATAAACGGCCAAGCTGCTGGCTTGGCGATCGTGGTGATGGCCTTCGCTCAATAGGCCCCGTTACCGACGCATATTTGTTGAAGCGAGACTTGGCTTTCTCCCATGCGCGGCGGTTATTATCGCCTGATAAAGATGAAGCTTCACAAGGAGAGAGCCCCGTAACACCCGACAAATCTTGCGTAAACGTTGCGTAGCTGGGGTGCTGTATGCGAGCGATAGCAGCTTGTACTTCGGGAGATTTCAGCAGCTCAACTTTGATAGATTCCAGTTCAGCGGCTGTATAGTTGCATACACGCAGACACACCGGTCAGATATGCTGGTGCAAGAAACCAGTAAACAGAAATCACATACGGGTTGTAGCGGCACTAAGATTGTGGTTCAGGTCCTTGGAGATGATATCATCCAGTACTAGCTCCAATCCTCGGATGCTGCACTTAGCCTGTGACGATCTTCTCGCAACTGCTGGCACTCGAGTATCGCTCGGTCTACCATTAGCCTTCTTCTCACGCCGTGAAGCCTCTTTCCGTATGCTCAGCGTTTCGCTGGCAGGAATCGATGTTGAAGAGCGAGCCAGACTAGTCTCAAGCGGTAAAACCTTTTGGGGCAGTTGAGTTTGACTTGCAGACCCTGCAGGAGCTGCCGTTGGAGATCGCACTCGCGTTTCTAAAGGAACCGCAACACAGCACGACGGTGTGAGAAACTCGTTACCACCGATGAATGACATCACACACCCAGCACTCACGTAAAGCTGCGCATTTGTTCCGCAGCGCTTCAACCCTAGCAGACTTTTCCGCGAGTTCAGTAAGCTTATCCTCCAATGCTGTTTCCATGTCCTGCAGCTTCTCATCAGCGAGCACGGTAGCTTTCGTCAATCGAGCGAGACTCTTCATTGGACTTGTATTTCCATCATCAGCTTTCGACTCGCTGGAAGTGCTCCTTTTACCAGCAGCGCTAGTCTTTTGCTGATCAGTAGTCTCCAAACTTTTGTCTGCAACACCTAGTCAAAACCATTTTTAGTACTACCAAAAGGTGAAATAAATTAATGATAGGCCATCACATTACCTTCCTTGGCACGCAGGACATGGCGAGCGTGGCTAGAGTGAGAAGGGCGATGGGCGTTCTTGTGCTCATTCCGCGGCTTCTCCTTAATAAGCACCCGAGCGTGGGGGAGAGTGCACCGCGGCAGACTAGCTGCGGCTCTTCTTTGAGATCTCAACACTTTGGGTGTTTTCCCGTACTTTCGCGGCGAAACACGGATCTCTTTGGTGCCAGGTTTTAGACTCTTCTCTTTTCCTTTGTGTTGAAGTGAATTGCTGGCATCAACCTTAGCAGCTTGTGTCTTCTTGGTGTTGCTCTCGATCTCTTGAGTTCGTTTACGATGTGTTTTGGCCTTTCCAGCTTGACCAGCATCAGTGTTGTCAGAATTTAGTGGCCCCTTGGCATTGGTCTCGTTCTCTTGACAATCATTGTTGCCAGAAGTTTCATCGTCGTTACGAAGCCTCGTCCTCTTCCAGGAGTTTTTCGGGTTTTGTGTATCAGTGTTGTTAAATTCGTCAACTTCGTCACTAGTCCTCGTTCTCTTCAGCGTGCTTTTCGGGTTTTGTGCTGTGATTCCATTATTCTCCGATGCAACGTTATTTGACTCTATAGAGGTGCTTGGCGCGTCATCTTTTCCAGTGTCCGGCAATGAATCGCTGTCTTCTCGATCATGAGACGACCTATCACGAGCTCTTGTTGTAGTTGGCCCTGTTTTCTCCGCCGCTTTTGCAATATTTCCACTGTCAGAATTGCTGTCATCAGGGAACACTGGAATATACGCGTGCGTGGACGCGTGATTTACCCTGTTATCAGCGAACCCGCGCATCCAGATCTCTTCGCCCATTTCCTTTCTCACTTCTGCCGTTGGCCGCGTAAATTTATAATTGAACTGCACCGGCAGCGTGCCCTCCACAAACTCCGGGAAATCCTCTAGAGCGTCGCACATAGCCAGCAACTCAGTTGAGAGGGCTAAGTTCTTCAATCTTACTCCCCCTTTACTCTTGTTTTTCTTCGTTTTAAGCTTCGTCAGCATCTCCTTCGCCTCTTCATCCGACTGAAAAGCCACCACTTTACTCTTCTCCACCCAGCACCTAGAAAATAAAAAGTAAAATAAGTAAAAAAAAAAAACACACACATAATGGTTAATAACTCACCGGCAACGTTCTTTGAACTCTACTTTGTCCAAAAAGTCCACAAGCAGCCTCCCCTCCAACCTCAAGTTCTGTGAGCCTTGTGCTGAGCCAGGAGCTCGTACCGTGAGCAGCGCTGGCCACCAGGGCCACGTATCGAGCTTGGCCCAGCACTTGACGGCCCATGTGTGCGTGTGGAAGGGGGCGATACGCTCACTGTCGCGCCTCAGCTCCTCGTTGTACTCGTCGCCCCAACAGTCGTACGTCACCTCGACGGTCTCGGGCGTCGGCAGCCGCAACACCTGCGCCACGTTCCATATCCCGTCACCATCCACTACGTCTGTATGAGAAGAAATTAGTAGTGACTGCGTTTGATTATGCGCAACTGCAAGCTTTTTACCTATCCAGTCGCCCTCGTGGAGCTCTGGTGCGGCCAATTCCGCACTCATTGCGCACTTCGATGTCAGAGTGATGGGCGTTTTGCTCTTGACCCGTTGACTACAACGGCAACATTTTTATAAACATGTATGGTCAGATTTGCAATTACCACAGCGTTGTGATCATCATCTTTTAAGTACGATTTTATAATTGTAGCCATGCGTCTTTTCATGATCAGAAGATCATTCGAAGATGGAGGAGACGCAAGCTCTGGACGACGAGCCACAGGTTGGTCGCCACGGCAGCGCGGGTTTGTTCCTGTTCAAGAAGGATGGAGAGGCGGTAGAGGAGACTCCCGAGGACCTCGCAGCTTTGGAAGCGGAGCGTGCGGCGAACAAGAAGCTCGCGGACGACATGGCGGACGAGGAACAACGACGTCGCATGGAGGAGGAAAAGGACCGAGAGGACGAAGTCGCGATCGTCCGCCAGATCAACGTCGAATACTCAGTCACAGCCGAAGAGGAGGAGAGAGAGCGTCGTGTGCACGAATACGAGATCGCCAAGGTGCAGGACGAGATGATGCGCAGACGCAGCCAAGTGGCAGCGATCGAAGCTGCAGAGGAGGAGCGCAAGCGACGCATCTCCGAGGCAGAGAACACGCAGATACAGGGTTTGAGAGAGCGTGCGTTCTCTCAGGAGCTGGCGGTGCAAGCTATGGAGAAGGAGCGAGTGCGCCGTTTGAGTCTGCCGGAACATCGAGAGCGAGCTCCATCTGCAGGGCTGGAACGGTTTTACTCATGCAAGAGTGTTGATGTGGAAAATGAAGATAACGATGCCCACGAAGCAGAAATGATGGATGGGTTGAGTGAGATTCCGGTTGTGCACGGATCAGCATCCAAGGTTTTGGTGGATGAAAACTCGGAGTGGCGATGCTTCATTGCGTCCGAGAATGCGCAGGAAGAGAAGAACCAACTGCACGGTACGACGTCCTATATTAAGTAGACAATTTGAGAGTGACAGTAAATTTGATTGCCTTGAACAGCACTTCGTTTGAGCTTAGAAGACGAACTCAAAACTGAGCGGCATGCCAAGTACGTTGAACTGGTGGGAGATATTCGTCTTCTTCGCTTTTTACGCGGTCACAAGATGAACGTTTCGGTCGCAGCTACCAAGTATCGTGAGATGCTTGTGCTGCGTCAGAAGCTCAAGCTCGACGACATCCGCGATGACATCGTCAACAACAAGAAAATGCCTGACGAATTTCCTCATTTCCAAAAGATTATTCCGCATCTGCCTTTCCTCGACTCGTACGACATCTTCTCCGCTCCTGACGGCCACGTCTTATACTTTGAAATGACGGGCTACGCCGATTTCCAGAAGCTGGTGACCGATGTCACTGAAGAGGAATGGCAGACTTTCTTTCTCTACTCTATGGAGTATCGAGCGCTGAAACTTGACCAACTGAGTCGTCAACACGAAAAATTGGTGCAAACGATTCTAGTACGTGACCTCACTGGCTTCTCTGTCGCGCGCTTCAACCCCAAGCTGCTCAAGCGCTTGCGACCACTTCTATCAATTGCCACCAAATGTTACCCAGAGTCGATGAACAAGGCGCTTGTTCTGCATGCACCGTGGATCTTCGATAAGGTATGGAGTGCTATCAAGCCCATGCTTCAGGAAACTCAGCTACGCAAAGTGCACATGGAAGGGAATTCACTCGAGAGGCTGCTAGAGTTATCGGATGGCCGAGACAATTTACCGAAATTATTGGGAGGTCGAAGCTCGACGCATGCCATCCCTCAGACCGGATTCCTGGGTCGCAATACGTTCGTTTTGCTCTGTGAAGATGGAGCGACTCAAGCGGATATTAAGGCTGGAGGTACATTGCAATTACCATTCCGGATGAGCGCCAACGATACGCTCTGCTGGGAGTACGTGGTGAAGGAACGCGATATCATGTTCGCTGTGAAATTCCGAACGCAAGGCATTGGTGGCGCCGAAGAAAACGACAAGGTGGGTCCTGAACGTGTTTCGAGCGGGGCTTCGTTTGCAAGCTCCTTCACGGCCTCTGAAGATGGCACGGTGGTGCTGTCCTGGGACAACTCGTTCTCCTGGACACGTGGGAAAACCATAGCGTACAAGGCCAAGGTGGTGAAGTCTACGCATGACTTCTCCTCTCTCGATATTAGTGGCAACGACTGCGTTTAAGGCAGTTTAGGCTCCGTTCTAGGGAGTAAGACATTTATATTCTTTTTTTTTTTTTACGATGCAGTGAACAAATAGCACAGCAACTAAAACGACGTTCACATTAACTTCTGTGGCTTTCAATTTGCTTGTGTTCGAACTGCATTCAGGATAATTCTCACTGAATGGAGCTACATTTCGGGTAATTTTCAATCATATCAAGTACGTGCAGCCCATGATAAAGGCTGGTAAAGTCGTTGGCACTAATACCAATAGTTCTCCAGCGTACTGACACTCGATCACGGACTCGCACCATCACTTTGAGAGCAAAATCTTGTCGCAAGTACTACCAACATCAAGTCGCAGTTGAAATAGTACTGGCAGTAAACCCACGTGACGAGGCTCGACCGCACCGCATACTTCGTTGTTTGGTTGAATGCAGTATCAGCGTTGAGAGATGGCGGAAACGACGGGCATGGGTTCATAGGAGGATTTTAGAACCGAAATGTTTCCTGTTCGGGTGGTGGTGGAGCCGATGGGCAATCGAAGCACTGCTGCTGAAGCTGCTCGCGCTCAAACTGCTCTCGGTCGCGCTGGACTTGCGCTCGCAGGTGTCGCTGTTGCACGTCCAGGTCCATGTCCATCTCGTGCTCCGCGAAGAGCTGCTGTTCTCGCCTCCGGACGCGCTCGTATTCCTCCTTTTCCTGTTCGCGCTGTTCCGCGAACTGACCCACGAGCTGCGCGAGTTGCTGGATCTCGGCGGCTGCGCTGTCCACCTGCGCCTGCATGACGTTGACCATGGCCTGCAGCTCGTGCACTTGCTTGCGCGAGGCCTTTTTGGAGTGGTGCCGATGCGGCTTGGGGGACACGGACATGAGGCTGTTTCTGCTATCATTGAGCTTTCTGCTTGGCGTTGTGCTGCTGCTGTGGCTGCTGCCGGTGCTATTGTAGCTAGGCGTGGCTGGCGCGCAGCCGTACGCTGGCTCGACTCCAACCAACACAGCCGCGCTAAGTTCAACATCTAACGCATCGAGGCCGGCGTCCAGGCGGAAGTCAATGCGCGGCTGCGGTGGGCAGTCCAGGCCGGCGGGCAGCGCGAAGGCAGCCAGCTCGTGCTCCAATACGGTGGCAGTGCAGCCCTCGTTCATCGTGTCGTTATTAACCGATCAGTGTGTTGAAGCTGGTAGATCTCTTTGTGACGGAGGGCGGCCGTGTTTCGGCCACGAATAGATTCAGTGGGATCTCTGACCTACGGTATCAATACAAAAAGCAACCTTGTCAGGTGCGTTGGCGTTTTTCCCAACTCCCACCGACAATAAACCGGCGTGTGGTGAGTGTTATCGGTCGCAGCGGTTGGCTGTTGAGGATTGCGATTGCCGTTCCTCATGCGCGTCATGGGGCACGCTGCCAGCGATGGGAGAGTTTCTTTTTCTTCCATGCTCCTTCGCAATCAACGGCACATTTAAGTGGTCTTGCATAACCAGGGTTAACACTACAGAAGGAGGCTGTTGCGGTCGGTCGGCCTGGTCGGCTGGAATCATATGGATATTTGTATGGTGAAATACGAGTCATTTCGACAGCGTGTCTCTTTGTACTGTAATGAAAATATCTTCGTGGGAGCATAAACGATACGTTTTTAGGCAATACTTTTGCTGCAGAGGTTAGCCTGCCCCACTATTCGCTGTTTTTGCGATTGACGCACGGGTCCGACAAAATCAGAAACTGGATGAGCGGGTTTCTTTAGTGAATGTTTGCCGTTTCACCGGTTCCATGGCGGCTCGGACGCATCAGGCCTTGTCAGTCCCGATTTTGGTACGCTAGACCGCGAGGTACGTTGGCCTTGGTCTCCTTGTTTTGCCACGGTGTCGCTGTGGTCGTCACAGGAAGGGAGGGACCTGCAACTCGAGCTGGTAGAAGAGTACTCGCACTGCCCTGGGTGGATTTGTGAAGGCCTTTGCATTCGACGGCGAAATTGGTGCTGAGGGCCGATCAAGACGTGTTATGAATGTCCACAAGCACGAATACCCGAGCATGTGGTTCGTTTATTGCATAGATCTCTCTTTAAGTTTAAGCACCGATGGAGCCGAGCTGGTGCAAGAACGCTTCTGGGTTCAGCAGCTCTGTGCAGCCGTACCAGATCGAACGCGGCGGCTGCTGGCCTTTGGCGTACGCCAGCAGGTTATGATATTCATTGTAGTTGCCGCCGCCAATCATAAATACCATAACCTCTCGGAAAGGAGATCGCTGTCGGGGCACGTCGCCGTTGGCCTTGATCTGGAGGACACACGAAAAAAAAACATTAGGAACAGTTCTAATTACCCACACCAGGATGCTTACCTTCGGATCCAAATACAGGAAGCTTTCGTCCTCCGTGCTAGGCTTCATCTCGCAAATAGCGTCCGTAACACGCGTGACGTGCAGCTTCTTGTTCTCGGGCAAAAAGTTCTTGAAGCTTGCAGCAGCTTGAGCAAGGAAACCTTGAGCGAGACCCTTGAACTTGCTCATATTGACACCTCCATCAGGCCCTGCGCTGTTCTCAGACTGCATGCTCGCCCCGACACTGGCACGTCGTTGAAAGGCCGAGTGTTTTCGGAGGAACTTCCATGCCTGCATGTACGCTTCCGGCTGCTCCGCCTCCGCAGCGCACTGCTGATAAGCATTCTCGAACTCGGCCATTTCCGCTCCACTAGCGCCACTAGACAGGAAATAAATCATCAGCAGACGCATCTTATCTGCCAGAGTGCCCATTTCTGCGTTTGACAGTAGCTGTAGGACTTCCGACTTGTCAACGTGTGAGCCGTCAATGAGTTTCTGTTCCAGCATGGAATATGACGGAATGTGGCGCTTGGTAACGCCCTCAAATGCCGCGTGGAAAATGTTCGTATGCACTTCCAGCATTTTCTTCTTCTCCACTAGAGCCGGCAGCGTGTCGACAGCAGCCACAAGATCCTTGGTGCCATTCATCAGTGTATCACTGCCACCGGTTTGTGCTCGAATCTGCTCCTCCTTTCGCGTGACTTGCTTCATTTCCTCTTCATTAGCATCGATAGCGTCCGGAAACAGGCTGCCGGCATGCGTTTCAAAGAATTTGTCGCTTGTCACGTCCAAGTCGTACGTGCGCTCCATCGACCGGCTGTCATTACCCCCCTCGTCTCCACCAGAAGCTTTCACAGTCACCTTAACGCGGTTCATCTGGATAGACAAGATGTCATCAACTAGCGCCTGGTATGTCGACGGGTGATACAAACTCGAGGCGATATCCTCATTGCGGTCCATGATGATCAACAGTGGACGCTGAACAACACATCAGAACGCAGCATCAAACCATCAGCACAAAACGAAAAAAGCTAGAGTTTACATTGCCAGCACGTACCTGAAAGTTAGAGGTGTTCTCAGTGAAGACGCCGTTCCTCACATTCTGCATTCCAGCAATCAATAAAGGTTGGTTTATTGTAAATGAGGAAAACTACCAACAAACGTACCAGGTGCTCGCGAATCGTGGAGCTAAGTTGCTCCGCCACCATTCTAGACGGTCCATCATTGTTTGGACAGCGAATCACTGGCACGCTTCCGCTTGTAGCCAGCACAGAAAATAGTCCCCTAACAATGGCACTCATCGAATGCTCAATCTGTACATCCGCCACATTTGGGTCGTTGTACGCTCGGTAGCTGTCGGTGAGGTTCAGCGAGAATAGACTCGGCTCTAGCGACACGAAGTTCGTGTACTGGTCGTATACCTTGGCAATCTGTACCCCAAAAACCAGCAGAAAGTTGTCATTATGCCAGTTTTCACCACCAAAAGTCTCTTATCACATACCATACTGGTGCAACCAGCTTCCACTGAAGCGCGAGCCAAATACTCGAGCGACTCGCGACTCAACGGGTAGGCAAAGTTGAGATGCACTGAGCTGTAGAGCTCCTTTGAGCAGTCTGAGACGATACGCTCGAGGTTTTCGCGTGTAGGCTCTACAAAGTAAATGGCTGGGACATCGGGGATAGCGTCGCGCTCCGTGTCCAGCAACATGTGTAGTGTCACGCCCTTCTTACGCAGCTCATGCAGCTTGAGGATGGGCGAGATGATGTCGCGGCAGAATCGGTCATAGATGAGGACCTTCCATTGGTCGCCCCAACGCTCACTGCGCAGGGATAAGAGGGTTAGAACTGGGTATTATTTGTTTGCTCATTGCGCGTGTTGTGTGTTGAACGTACACGGAGTCCTGGGCGGCATCCGCGAAGCCACCGGCGCTCTCCGAGTTAAAATCCAGCATGCGCAGCAGATTCTCTACAGACACACCGCGGTGAGGAGAGATAGAGCAAGGGCGATAGTATATATCGTAATCACGCACCGCGCTGCTTCTCTTGAAGCGACTGCGTCGCTGCCGGGGTCATCATTAAGTAGAGCTTGAGGACACGTATGCGTCGGCTTTCGACGAAGTGCGAGGATTTTCCCAATCCCATTAAATACGAATCATATTCGTACCTAAGCCAAGTGTTGAAGTTGGATTAAATCCAAGTTTTGGATTTGCTACGACCCTTCCTCCAAGGCTAACTAAACCAATTGTACCATTATTATCCATGCAATGGTGCCGGTGATGGCATCGGGTTTGAACATCTCCAAGGTGGTTTATAATCCCATATAAATTTACCATAACGTTAAAGCGGGTGAGTAGCGTGCGCATACCACAAAGGTGGCGGCGATGCACACAGCCCGTATGTAGGCACCATTATACTCTGGTACCTCAAAATCCGAGCGTTTACGTGCAGAGCGACATGGCTGAGCTCAGACGTACTGTTTCCTCGACGGCCGAGACTTTCTTCAGAGTGGTCTCCAGCATCTCCGCCACTTTGGAGTACATGGCGTTGTCCTGCTCTGCGGCAGGATTGCTGCCGGTGCTGCATTTGCTGGCCGTAATTGCGTCGACGGCGCTCCGGAAGCGCAGTTTGCACGTGCCTTTGGAATGCTTCAAAAAGCGCATGATTGACGCGAACGCTGCATTCGCCACTGACGCGCCGTTAATGTTCACCAGCACGTCGCCCTCAGCTAGCGACTCCACACCCAACACGTCACTACGAGACGAGAAGCCCTTTATCCTGGCACCCATCTCCTTGACGGCAGGCTCCAGGATGATGCCGAACCGGTCACTTGGGTTCCATAGAACCGACGTCAATCCTTCCGTGCCGACATGGCCGCTGGAGGAGAAAGCGCTAGAAAGTGAGCTGCAGTACGTCGTGGAGCTTGATGGCGACGTGTTGTTCACGCGAATGTCTACACTCAGCTGGTGCAGTTGGGAAAGTAGTTCCTTGAGCTGCAAGGAAATGGTGTTCGAGTCCACGGGGTCCATGGTGAGAGAAGCCGTGGAGAGGTCGCGGCATAGCGACCTTGATGAGGTCAGCATGGACTGGGTCTTCATTAGCATCGGGATGTCTTCGTCGTCCTCACTCTGGTTGTGGTCGCTGCTCGTGAGGTCATCCATGGACGACGCCGCCCGCATCTTGGAGCTAGACTGAAGCGCGCGCGCGCCGGCCTTTCGGATGAGGTCGATGGTGAAGCTCGGTAGGTTGCTGGAGATGGCTAAGTCCACAGGGTAGTGGCCGCTGCCGTCCTTGGCAAGTGCCGCCTGCGGGTTCACGTCCAGCAGCGTGCTGATCAGCATGCCCGGCGCCTTGGCTTTGATTGCGACGTGCAATGGCAGCATGTCTGAGAGGTTCTCCAGCCCGCAGGCGGCTGGGAAAGCTTGCACAAGTGCTGAAATGACGTCGAGGCTGACCGACGGCTCCGTGCAGGCCCAATGCAGCGGCAACATGCCAAAGTCATCCTGCGCCTGGGCCAGTACCGGGTTCTGCGCAACAAGCTGCTGTACCTCATCCCAGTCGCCCTGTTCGGCGAGCTCCAACACGCGCTTCCTATTGGCGTCCATTGCGATATAGTACTCACTGCAGCGCGTGCGACTCTGTCCTCGTGCACGGATGAGGAAAATCTACTTTTGAGCATCGAGCTGAACCTCGCATCCTGCAAGCAGTTGGCTAAGAAGGTTCGATTGACTTGGAAAATGTATGTCTCACAAGGGCGGATTATTGCCTGGTCCCACTCCTATTGAAGCAAGCCAGTATTAGTGGGTGTCAAATATCGTTTTAGCTCAAAATTGAGGAGCTGAATATCAACCAGTAATATTTACCTAAGAAGATGAACGCCTGAGACCACCCTTAGAGGAGCCATTCAAGCTTTGCATTCAGCTGTCGCGTGGCCCTCCAAGCGGTGCTGCCCGTGTTACTGCCTGCGGCCGCCCGTGTGCCTGCCCGAGCTGCGTGACAGTCAATTTGACTGCCCGACCTGCTGCCTGCGCTCGCTGTCCGAGCTACTGTCTGTGCTGACCGCCTGCTCGCTCTACTGTCCGAGCTTCTGTTCGCGTTACCTGCCGAGCTGCCGCTCGCGCTACCGTCCGAGCCACTACTCGCTCTACTGTCCGAGCTTCTGTTCGCGTTACCTGCCGAGCTGCCGCTCGCGCTACCGTCCGAGCCACTACTCGCGCTACTGTCCGAACTTCTGCTCGCGTTACCTGCCGAGCTGCCACTCGCGTTACCTGCCGAGCTGCCACTCGCGCTACTCTCCGAGCTACTACTCGCGCTACTGTCCGAACTTCTGCTCGCGTTACCGTCCTACGCGCTACGATCTGAGCTGCTGCTTGCGCTGCGGGCCTCGCGGTACTGTCGGAGCTGCTGTTCGTGCTACAGTCCGAGCGGCAATGCCAAAACAATCATTTAGACAACGTGAGTTGTCTAAATTACGCAAGTTGCTGAAGCAAAGATTAATTTGGAGAGAAGAACGTGATAATTTAGCCTTGACTATCAAGTTGGAGGACGAATTGGATGAGATGCTGCTGCAATACTTTTATTATATTAGCTCGAGGAGATACCTCGCTGATAGGAGACTTCTCAAAAGAGCGGCTTCTCGTTTGGAGCACTATCTACTGTTCACGCCAGCAGATTGCTTTAAAATTCAGTTTCGACTGAGTCGTCCATACTTTTACGCGGTGGTGGGTCTGGTGAAGAACACTAGTGTGTTTCGCAATCTCGCTGTTTGCGTTGAGCTTCATTTGCTAGTCACGCTGAAGTTCTTTGGTACATGTGGCAATGGTGCCACACCAAACAAACTCGCTGACTTTTTCTCTATAGGCACTGGTACAGTGACGCTGTACGTTCAACGCACGGTTGATGCGCTGGTGAGTCTCCGAGAAAACGTGATCGCCTGGCCCACCGATACCAAGCGGCGAGAGCTATCCTCGAGAATAAAGCAGAGGTGGAAATTCCCTAACTGTGTGGGATTCGTTGATGGAACATTGCTGCCACTAGAATTCAAGCCAAGACTATTTGGAGAAGACTATTTTTCACGAAAAATGTACTATGCCGTCAACTGTTTGGTAGTGTGCGATGACAAAGGCCGAATTCTGTATTTGAATGCTGGTTGGGTGGGGTCAGCCCACGACAATAGAATATGGGAGAACTCGAAGCTATACGTTAATCGCGACCGTAACTTCAACAATCAAGAGTATCTCCTTGGGGACAGCGCCTACACACCTTCTGCGGTAATGGTTCCTGCTTTTAAGCGACCTCCAAATGAGGTGATGCCTTCTCTACAGGAGTGGTTTAACAGCCACCTCGCGCAAGCACGAATTAAAGCTGAGCACACTATCGGGATGCTAAAAGGGCGTTTTCAATGGCTGAAGAGGATACGAACTTTGATATCGAAGAAGGAAGACATGAAGCGATTAATTCGATCTGTCGACGCGCTAGCAGTCATTCACAACCTAGTTATAGGCGACGATCCACCCATCGTCGAGGAGGAAAGTAGTGACGAAGAGGAATTGCACATCGATGTTACTCAAAGCGATGAAAGGCGACAGCAGATCATGCAGTTTCTTTTGGACGACATAGATGACTAGAGGCTGAGGTCTAGAATATCTATATCGGTAACATTTTGTCAATCTCATCCTGATTGACACCTGCGTCCTGAAGTTGCCTCCTAGCTAGCAAAAGTTGCGTTTTTTCGTGCATGACAGCTTCGCGCGCTTTGGCCTGCATGATAACGAGGTTAACCTCACCCAGCTTTGACTCTCTATCCTCCTTCTTAACAGCTAGAGCGAGCTTTTGCTCCTCGATCTTCATCCGCTTGGCGTCTTCTTCCTGTTTTACTTTGAGCATTGACGATCGAATATCATTCCACTCCTCCTCGACTGACTTGCGTTTCTTGCTTCCATATTTTGCCACTGAAATCCCAATTGATGAAGGTTGATTCTCAACATCAGACTCAGATTCGCTATCTGAATCTATGTTTCCACGATCGTGCAGAGCGTCGGACGAATACAACGGTCATGTCGACGCTCGCTCTAACATGACAGGAGCCAATTGATCATAGTAAGGACACAACTTGGCCACAGCGCTCTTCAGATCGCCCTCGTCAGTAACCCCTTGGCCGGTGTTAGCACGCCAATCTTCGGCCCGCTTAAAACTCGCCTCCAGGCTCTTGATCTTCTCGCGAATATTGTCGTTCTTACGATGCGTGATGCCAGCATCGATCATTCTTCCGTTGATGAGCCCACACAGTGATTCTTTAGACACACCTGAGTGTTTCATGCCGCCTTTCCACTTACGATAGTTCCCTTCGGTGGTAATCCAGTCAAGAAGGACGTCCATAGAGGTCTTTCCCCCTGCCCCACCATCTCGAGTCCATGAGATTCTTTGTTTGGCTGTCATCTACCTAAAAACTGCGATCTGACCTCCAAACAATTTCTTGGAGGTTGGGAGGTGTTTTCGAGGTTTATTTTTATCCAATCACTTGCAAGCCATCTTCCTAAATGTGTGACCTAAAACGAGATTTGACACCCACTATTGAGGTTGTAATCAGTAATCAGAAATCTGGACTGCCAAAGCGCTGTTTCCTTTTTGGCTTGAACAAGCGCACTGAAACGCTCTTTCACAACTTTCAACACCGGCCTACGTAGACGGCGGGCTATGCAGACTGCGAGGCTTGATTGCCGCGCTACGCTTCGTCCGTCCTCGGCTTCCGGCTTGGCTTCACCCAGAGCTCTTTCAGCTGAGTACAGTGGCTTCAGATCTGCGACAGCTGTCTGTTTGAAAAGCGGAAGTCACGACGATGGGAATGAGCAAAAACTCCGCCTGTCAGCAGTTAACATGCCTAGCTCTTGAGAGCCGTGGACTTCGTTAGGCTTTAGATAATAGCTGCAGAGCAGCTTAGTGGCTGGTGATGGTGGCAGTGGCGGCTCCATTACTCATTTGATGAGAAGTTTCCGAGATCTTACAAGTGACAACTTTTTACCAAGCGTAATTACGACTCATATTAACGAATCACCGATGAGCACCGGGCAACCATTCGTTGGCTGCACATGCACTGACTGCACTTCAGCCATCCAGTGCTCATTTCAGTTTTAGCGTGGAAACGATTCCGGTTAAATGGTTAGTGATCCAAGAACATGTATCATGCATGACGAGCAAATGATAATTTTCAATCAGCTACTCTGAAAGAGGTTTAGTCGCCTCGCGAAAGGCATGTTAGATAACGGTTTATGATGCTCACAATAAATTCACAAGTAGTTATGTACTGGTACAGCAGTAGTAAGCGCCTTTGACCAAACTGAAGGTGGTTAAGACAATATCGACAGCGCATCGTCTCAACTCCAGGCGTGCGCACGCTTGAATCGGCCTCTTCAGGCAATAGGGTCGATTTCAATGGAGCCATCTCGTTTGCTGATGTTGCTGCTTGAGAGACTCTGCCGTAAGGCAGAAGCTTGCAGACTGCAAGCTGCAATGTCCTCCTCCTCGAAAAACTTCTCGAATGCCGACGAGGAGCGTAAACTCTCGCGTAAGAGACTGCCTGCATTACATAAGGTATGTGCTCTGTCGTCAATGTCTACACGCAAAAACGGACACATCCATTTTGGTCATCCATCATCAATTCGATACGATAAATGACCGTGGGCAGGCTGCCTGCGGGAGTTGCGTACCATCGAGCATGATTGCGAGCCGGTAGTTTGAAAATTTTAGTGCTTGAGGAATTTTTCTTGATACCTAACCATCGCAAATTCAAATTACAGCACAAAACTGGAATACAAGGAAAACCTGCTTTATACATTTCCGCAGGCAAACTTTAATCCTCTTATAAATGTTTAATAATGAATTAATTAACAAACTTATTTTAGCAGGTTATTTAAATTAAAAGCTGCAATAACCCGCAGCCCCCCAAATCGTAGAACGTTCCTTCTGCTTGGATGTGGCTACTTTTGTCAAAAAACGCAGTGATCGCACTTGAGGTTGCTGCGGCCGATCGCGGCGCCCGCCAAAGGCAAAGAAGCTCTGTGGGCGCTGGAACGAACGCGGGCGAGGAAGGCCAGGTGGCGAGTAGGCAGGCCAGGAAACGACGAACTCTATCCCCCGTAGCATGAAACGCGAACGACCCCCGAGCTTCCCCACTCTCCCCTCTCTGAACAGCAGCCGCAATGTCGCCGTTTGCAGACCGCTCCAGGACCAGGTGATGGTGCACAAGCGTCTCCGCAACTCGTCGCCTTTTAGCAAATCCACGGTAGTGCGCAACGGCAACGGATATGGAGCGACGAGTAACAACAATAACTACAGCAGCAGCGTAGTCTGTCAGCAAACGCCAGTCACGCCGACTTCGACGTCCGCGTCGCCGCCACCTGCCACTCTAATGCAGTTCGCGGACTTTTATGTGGATCCGTCGGTGGTGTCACCTGCTGAGGCTGTGGGCTTGGCCGAGGAGATGGCCGCGGACTTCTACAGTGAAGTCTCAATCATGTACGACATGCTCTCGGACATCAAGACGCCCACTGCCGAGGGCCGCGCTGTGGACGAACTCATGCGCCGCCTGCACAGTGCTCTGAGCTCCAACGACAACGGACGCGCCACTAGTGGTGGCAATTTGTCAACGCAGATTGCTAATGTGCGTGGACTCTACAACGGACTCATCCGCGTGTTTATTTTCCTGTACCAGCGATACTATCGCGCCTTTGTCGTGCTGGAGGTGAGCGAGCTGCTGGCCGCAAGCTGGCAACGCCTACTCGCCTTTGTGATTGAGTACCGCATCCTGGACGAAGTGTTCGTCCGCAAGGTGTACGACCACGTCGCCCAGATCGTTGGTTCCCCATAATAAAAAGAAGCATGGGAGGAAGCGGTGGCGACACGTCGGCTGGTAACTTAACTCCGCATAAGCCCAGTCGTGGTGGTGGGTGTTCAAACCGTACAACAGCTCAGCTGCAATCGGCGGCTGCTCCTCTGGCCCCAAGTATAAAATAAAGCTCTGGTATCATTAGATTCTCCACTCAGTTTTCGTCACCATTGCCGTAGAGTCCATACATTCGATCGTGTAAGCTGTTGTACTTCAGTACTAGTATGCCGCAACTTTCTGCCACGAAGCAGAGTCTGCTTGCTGGCAGAAAGTTGGGATTCCCAACTCCTGGTTCTGTGTAGTTCAGTCACGGTCTCGTCAATAGGCCTGCCCCGCAACAGCCAAATTGAAAATCGGCCATTCTAGTGTCACGTCTGACACAAATTTCCAGGTGGACGCCAAAGGAGTGATGGTCATTTCTCTATACAGCAACTTCAGCTGGGCAGTCCGCATTCCACGGCATAAGAGAGCGCAATGGCGACCGTTTGCGGTGCCTTCCGGCAGTTAACGAGCGCGTGCGTGTCTGCGCCCGAGTCTCCGGCGAGGCTGAAGGCTGGGCGAGCGTCGTCCCTGTCGTCGTCGCGCGAGTTGGCGCTCTTTTCAGTACCCAATGGCGCGCCCCTGACATTCACGGGCCCCGCCACGCGCATCGCGCGTAACAGCCGCACAGGCCTTGGTGGATACACGTCACTGGAGCAGTTCACACGCTCTGTAGAGAAGATTTCGACGCTGCCGGTGGCCAGGCTGCGGTCAGACGAGCGCGTGGGCACCATGTTCAGCTCTATGGACGCTTTTTTAGGTGTACAATTGGTGGCCTCATCACGCCGTGATTTCCGCGTCTGTGTCAACTTTGTGCTGCCTGGTAGTGACGCCGAGACGCTGGGTATCCACCCAGCGGCGCTGGTTGTCGCTATTAACGGCAAATCCATGCGTGGTGTGAGTCTACAGCGCGTCCTGAGCACGATACGACGTGCACTCTGCGCAAACGAGAACAGGAGTGATGGTACAGCCATCGAGGTGCCGGATCTCGGCGACCACATCGAGATCGACCTGGCACAGAGAGAACACGAGATGAATGTAGACCGCAACCCGTTCGCGCTCACACAGTTCCCGTCGCCGCAGGGCCATCATTTACCCGGCGTAAAACAATTTCGAGACAACCAGGCTGAGGATCAGAGGCAGGAGCCTATGCAGATACAGGAACAGAACTCCCCGACGCTCGGAAGGCAGAGATCCAGGTCGTTTAAGCACTTTTGGATGTCGGACAGGTCCAGTAAAGCCTGCTATGAGTGCGAGCAGCTGTTCACGTTCTTCAGACGGAGACATCACTGTCGCTCATGCGGTCAGATCTTCTGTGCGAATTGTTGTGCGAGATTGCCACAGTCATTTGGAGGCAACAAAGTAGACGAATCTATTGAAAGACTGAGGAAGCAATTGGTGTGCCATACGTGCCATAGACAGCTACGAGAAGGACTGCAAATGGAGCTCACAGGCGCCAATTTCGAGGAGGATCCGCAGAAGCCGGCGAGCTCTCCACCTGCACCGACACTGTTACTCATGCCGCAGCATATTGCTGAAGCGATGGAACGCTCGACGTCAGATGCGTCCAATTACAAGCAGCTGGACAAGTCGGAGCTATTTGACAAGGACGAGATCAGCGATGATATGCGCGTAAGTGAACCGCCCGAGAAGTCTCGACCGCCCGTTCTATTTAGTATGTTCCCGAAGGTTCAAATCGTTGCAAGTGCACAGCATTTGGCGCATCAGCCTCATTTGCATGAGTTGACGAAGGAAGTCAAGCAGACTGGCCATGGTACTGGTCGCAGATTGAGGACATTTAGCGAGCCACTGATACTGTTTGGAAGAAAAGATGCTCAGCACACGTCGCGAAAGCTCAAGCGCTCCAACAGTCAGGCAGATTTATGTAACCCAAGCAATCATCGCTGGAGTGCGGCAGAGTTTAAGCGTCTCGTGGCAGAGTCAAACGCTCAGGCTCGACTTGCAGGAGCATACCCTCCTACCTCAAATGCTCTGACAACGCGACCTAAAGCCATGTCTGTGTCATTTGAAACACCGCGCTTTGGAAACGCTGTTCAGTGGAGCCCATTCGGCCCCAACAAACTAGCATCGAAGGATAGCGGCATTCTTGCCATGGTTGGATTGTCCAAGGATGTTCACAACGAGGCAGAAGACCCTAAATGTGTTTCCAGACGTGAAGCGGCTATGGAGCAAATGTCAAAAGATGCTCGCGATCGCATCGAAGAGCGTATATTTCATTTGTTGGACAGCTCTCCGGCAGTGTCGCAGTTGTTGATGGTCGAGCAGCATAGATGGATGCAGATTATCAGCTTGTTCGCTCACCGAGCGGCGCTTACTGTATCCTGCGAGCCGGATAAAGGTGATTTGCTGGACATTATGCATTATGTCCGTGTTCAATGCTTAGACGGAGGCCGCGTGCAAGATAGTTTCTTCATCGACGGCGTTCTCGTTCACAAAAGTTTGGCCCGCAAAGGAATGAGGAGCGACATCCTGAACCCGCGTATCCTTTTGATCGCCTCAGCTTTAGATTACCAGCGCAAGAAGGAGGCTATTTCGTCGTTGGAGAGTGTTGCTGGTCAAGAAGTGGAGTACATGCATATCGTCACGGAGAAAATCCTGACTCTGAACCCCGATATTGTCATGTTTGAAGGCCACGTGCACCGAGTTGCCGAGGAGTTGCTGTTCAAAGCCAGCGTTTCAGTCGTCAAAAACGTCCGATTGATCGACCTGCAGCGTATTGCTCGCTGCACGGGTGCCTCTGTACTCACATCGTATGACCACATTGACAAAATGTCAGATGTTGGGGTTATCGGTACCTGCAAACGATTTTACGTTTTACTGAGCGACCAAGAACCGAAAAGTGCGAAGAAAATTGCTTTTAGAGCCAACGCGGATGGATTTTACGTAGCGGAGGACGGCTCTGCAATTTCCAGGCAGCGGAAAAAGCGCACTCAACGCCAAAACATCGTGTTCGAAGGAGGCATCACGTCAAAAGGATGCACGTTGTGCTTGCGTGGAGGAACACCCGGCGTTTTCACAGAGATCACCAATGTGCTGACTGCCATCATCCGTGCTGCGTACAATATGCGACTTCAGCGGTCTATGCTGGCAGCTTACGGATATATTGCTCCTAGCCAGAACCATGAGCGCTCTGTGGCAGAGGAATGGTTTGCCAAGTCGTCGACGTCCTTGTATATCTCGCTCAAGTCTAATTCTTTGTCGATGCGTGCCGCTCTGAAGGAGACACAGGCGATGTGCAAATGGTGCAAGGCTCATACTCGGTTCAACAACATTAGTTCGCTTCGAGTGGTTCGTGGAGCAGACGACGACGACAGCATCCCATCAAGCACAACCGTTGTACAGTCCGGTCATCCCCATTGGTGCACGTGCGGAGCAAAGTCGTCCAGTTCGCTCAGAGATCGCATCCTGTTTTCAACCTGCTGGAGCACGTTGGAGGGTAAAACGGCGTCCAAAGCAGACATGATGTGCATCGACTTCTACAGCTCGAACGACATGTCGGTTGGCCAATTCTTCGACAATTTCTGCTTTTCTAGCAGCAAAACTGAGTTTAAACGCGCGTTCTCGACGTCGAAGCTGTCGTTCTCCCACGATACGGGCCGTGTGATCGTGCGCGTGAAGGACTTGACTGATTTCAAGGACTCGAGTGACCAACTACCCCCAGCTGAATTCCTTCGGGAGTTCAACTATCGTGCTGTCCTGCAACGAGTTCGATCCGAAGACGTGCTGATGTGGTCGCGCAATATGAGTGGCGGGAACCATTTGTCCTCAGAGTATACGGTAGTGCCGAGTGACTTGTGGAACTACTCGTTTGGCAAATTTCTGGAGGATATGTTCTATGGGAAGGCCATGGACATCGATTGCGCCCGCTTTCCCCATTTGGCTGGTGTGAGTGGGTCACGGGATTCCTCTTTGGTACATTATTTCTCTCGTCGTGGACGAGTTGTCAGTGTTCATGTGGAGCCTCTCGAACCTGTTCTCCACGTTGCGTTGCAGCCGGCACTCTGGCAGGAACATATCGATCACCAGGTCCAGCTTGATGCCATCCATGATCTCTGCGATCTCGTTCGTGAAGTTTACGGCGTCACAACTTCGAAAGTTGCTGAGTCGATGGCAGATTTAGTCACACCGCTCCATGCCAAGCAGAACTTGAAGATTTTGAGGAATGAAGTCCAGCAATGGTATTCCTGCTTTGGAGCCAAGATCGAATCGAATCCACCGCAAGATGTATTTGCGTACAACGCTCACTTTCGGGAAATTTACGAGTATGCTGTTGGTTGGAGCTTGCGTATCACACGAGCTGTGCAGGCCACAGTGAAGCCAACAATGGCCAGCCTAGTTAATAGCCCAAAGAGCGCGCTGCCCAAGGCTTGGTTCGACCAGTTAGCACAGCAAGCAGAATTCAGCGACCGCTACAGTGAGCCCGCTACTCCCAGTGAACTCGAAGCAACGCCAGTGAACATCAACTTCCAGGAGCCTGGAAACCTAGCGCATCTCGCGAGCTTTGCCCGCAGCTTGGCTGCTGCAAAGAGCGCTTCTCCAGCGGGCGGAATGGCTGAAGTTGCCAACGAAGTCGCCAACACGTTGCGACAGAATGGAACTACCAGCTCGCGACAATCAGAGCCATGGGACACAGATGAAAGCTACGATCGCTACGATGAGTCAAGCCACTCGTTTCCCGCTGACTACAAGGCAGAAACGGAGTCTTATCCAGCAGCTCCCGTGTTTAAACAGTCCGTCTCAGCCTTGGGTGTACCCGGTCATGTGTCCTCAACGATGGGGGCGCTTGCGTCCAAGAAAGCACTGGAAAACTTCCGGTTGACGCAACAAGCGAAGAAGCCTGACGGTTTGGGATACCTGGCACTACCTAAACGTCTTCTCGAGTGGCATCCTAGTCTGCCGTTGGGTGCCAATAAGGCTACTGTGCTGGTTAACGCTAAGCAACCGACTTCGGTGGTGGCGTACTCACTGTTCTCGAACGAGTACAGCCAGTGCATCAGCGAAAATATGAGGAAGGAGGCCACCCGATATGCTCTCGAGGCTAAGACGAACGGCACGTCGCCACCAATTGACTGCGTTCAATCCGACGAGATCAGGAGCATGCTGCGCATTCTGCGCTCCACTACGCGAAACAACGTCGACCACAGTTTTGTGGACGAGAACCAGTTCCAATCTGCCATGCGCTTCAGCTGCAAGTCGTATTATGCCATGCAATTCCACGCGCTTCGAAAATTATACTATGGTGGTGACAGGAACTATGTGGAATCTCTTTGCAACTGCCAGCAATGGAATGCAGCTGGTGGTAAGTCTGGTGCTGGTTTCCTGAAGACGCGCGATGAACGCTTCATCGCGAAGGCCATCCCGGAGATTGAACTGCAAATGTTCTTGAGTATGGCGAACGAGTACTTCTGCTACATGGCAAAGACGTTCGAGAACGACTTGTCGTCCATGCTGTCGAAAGTGCTCGGTATCTACAAGGTTTCGATCTCGAACACGACGCAGAGTGGTGATAGCGATCCAAACGTACGAATGTGCGTGATTGTGATGGAGAATCTCATGTACGGACGCGAAGTGGACTTTTCGTTTGATCTGAAGGGCAAGATGGAAGGACGGTACAAAGAAGATCACAACGGAGATAGCCGTAGCGTTCTGTGGGATCGTAATTTCGTGGAGCTAGCAGGCGGCATCCCGCTGCCTCTGCAAGAGTCGGCGTTATCGCTGCTTCTGTCAGCGATTATGAACGATACGACCTTCTTAGCGTCTGTCCAAGCGACAGACTACTCCATGCTCGTGGGCTACGATGTGAACAAACAGGAGCTGGTGGCCTGTATCATCGACTATATTCACAAGTATGACTTCATGAAGATGATGGAGCACGCTGGTAAACGATTGATCCAGGAGGAAGGCGAGATCACCGTGCTCAATCCGAAGCACTACCGCAAACGCTTCTGTCTGGCCATGAACAAGTACTTCGTCACGATCCCGTCGCGCTACACTAAAGTGACCACTGTTATCCGAAACACGGCATCTAACACCACGACGGTCGGCAGTACTGGTACAACTGCCCAAGAGGACGAGAAAGACAGAGACTACGCTCAACCTCCGTACAGCACTAGCACAACTGCCAGTAGCGTGAGCACAATTGCATCTGTTGTGGGCACCCACCGCCGTCAGCTCTAAAGGGAACGACAACGTCAAGGCGACGATAGTAATTTACACTGTACAATAGCGCGGCCTGTCAGCGCTGCGAGAGCAGAGCACGACGATATGCCGGAAGTCATACCGACAGGAACAGATCATCTAAGTCGACTGACTTAGAATATCTTGTAAGGTAAAATTGAAAATGCAGTTTCGCATCTAGTTTTGTGTCTATCTATTCACAGGGCGAAGCAAGCTGGATGGCGGACAAGAAGGCATGGAGACGATCGTGTTGCTGGAAGCAGTTCTTCATGACTACAGTCCACGGACTACAGTGATGAATCCGTTTAAACCCAAGGAGAACCGCTTGTTGTCTGCACTTCGTTCTGTGAAAGCTGCTCCTGCCCGTGAGATTGTCGGAAGAATACAGGTGAGTGTACGTGTACTGCAACGGATGCGTGAACAATCAACTTACCATGCCTGCTTCGTGTTGCAGCTAATTCGACGGCGGCATCCAATTTCGTTTGGATCTTCAAACCCTGTGCTGACGTATTGGTTGCGCTTCGAAGACGTTCGTATCCGAAATGAACGCGATCTGCTATTGTACGTAATGTTATCACGAGGGAATGAACCAGCTTTGGACGATGAACGCAGCGTGCACAAGATGGAGGCTAGTGGCCAAACTGTGCTGCTCGATTGTGGACCTGATGGCCAGTGGAAAGGTTCGCACATGCCACGCTTGTTTGAGCAGGAGCTGTTAGTGTTCGATCCGCTAGTATTCGCAAGTGTGGCTATCGGGAAACCTGCCTCTGCAAAGCCCCCTACAGCACAGATGCTTGTGTTCGCGTATGGAGCTTTTGAGACGTACGTCCCGCCAGCGAAGTCAGCGGAACAAGTTGCACAAGAGATGGAGGCTCTCTCCAGCCGCTTCTTGCAGACTGTCATGGAGGTGGAGCAAGATCAGCTTCAAGGCGAAGAAGAGTTATCTCTCGATGCACTACAACGCAATGCGCGCCAACTGTTCCGAATGTTCGACCAGGACAAGTCCGATTCGATCGACTTCGAAGGTACATCACATCATTTTGTTTGCTCACGTGTTGTTGGCTCACTTGGATGCTATTTGGCCTCTAGAATACAAGCAAATGCTCGCTTACATGAAAGTCAATTTGTTAGAATCTAAAGCTAAACGCTTCTTTCAATTGGTGGACGACCAGAACAAGTGCGTAGAGTCTGATATCATTTACGGGTTGTGACTATACTAATGGTGTGTATTCTTGCAGAGGATACATCGATGAACGAGAGTTTGTCATCGCGATGTATATAACCAATTACTTGCGTGCCCAGCAGAAGCAGAAACGAGATGACAACAAGACTACGAACTCGCAGACTCTATCCCCGATCGATGTATTTCGCCAATTAGATGGAGATCGAGACGAGCTGCTGAATGCCTTTGAATACGAGAAAGCGCTGGAGCTGCTTGGAGTTCCTCTCAAGACTAAACGGGCTTGTAAACTGGCTCGTGTGAAGCTCCCTAGATCGGCGACGATGTCGCTAGAACAGTTCAAACGTGCATGGGTGGAGCTGGTGGATGCACGTGATGAGTTACAAAAGCGAAATGTTGAAGGGTTTGGTGGTCAAAAGAAAGGTAAGAAAATGATGGAGAAAATGCAGAATGCGTTGCTGGACGAGATACATCGAGAAGAGCAGGAAGAGCTACGTGCAGCGCTTGAAGCGAAGGAAGTTGTAGTTCGCCTTGAGAAGGAGCGACGTGCAGCTGAACAGGAGGAATCCCGACGTTTGTTTCAGCAGCAACGGCAAGCTGCTACGTCTACGCGAACAAAAGAGGCGCTTCGTGAACGTCAGTACAAGATCAACCGAAAGAAGGAACGTACGATTAAGGATCGACAAGCTCGCGAAGAGCGAAGATTACTTGATCGTGCTGAAGCTGAGGGGGGAAAACGTGTTATTCATGAACGCGAAGTGGTGCAGGAGCTCATGATGTCCAAGATGGAGCGGATCATTCGACGCAAAGCACGTTGTGGCGACGACGTTGTAGATTTACGTGGTCATGGACTAAAGGAGTTCCCACACGACTTATATCATGGTCGAGACGCTCTCTCATCGCTGTCGAGTCTGCTTATCTTGGATTTGTCGCGCAACCAGCTTCAAAGCCTCCCGGGAGCCATCTTCACGCACTTATTCTCTCTACAGTCGCTGGATATCAGTAACAACGCGTTGAGTGCTCTTCCAGAAGAAATCGGAGAAGCGCGTGACTTGCAGCTTCTTGATGTTCGCATTAACCGACTAACTACTACGCCAAAAGGATTGACACATCTACATGAACTTCGTGTGCTACACTTGGCATATAATCGGATAGCGCGATTCGGAGATAATTGTCAAGGTCTTTACTCGCTCGAAGAACTCAACTTGGTGAATAATGTGCTCGAAGTTCTATCGGACGACATAGGTGATAATCTAGTGAAGCTGGTTCGACTCAATCTGCGAGGAAATCCAACACTCAAGCGGCTTCCAAACAGTTTGCAACAACTGCGAGAACTAAGCATTTGGGACCTCAGTGCTTGCGATCAAAAGCGACTGGGCAAAGACGTTTTCGGCTCGCAGCTCCAAAGTCTTCGCAGCTTAAACTTGTCGTTTAATGCACTCTCGACATTACCGGATAGCATTGGCGCGATGCCCAAGCTCCAGGAGTTGAATTTCAAATCCAACGCTCTCGGATCGCTGCCTTCTGCAGTGGGTAACCTCTCTGAACTGGTCATGCTGAATGGAGAAAACAATGAGCTTCAATGTCTTCCCTCAGGTTGTGGAGAACACTGGGGTTTGCTGGAGGAATTGCGACTGCCACACAATCGACTTGTGGCATTACCTGTCACGCTGGGGCTGCTACGTTCCTTACGTAGGCTTTATCTATCGAACAACCGTTTAACGACTCTACCTCTTGAACTTGGTGCTTTAACGAGCCTCCGTGAGCTGGACGTGTCTTGGAATCAGCTCGCCAGTATCCCTGATGAGCTTGGATGTCTCGAATCGCTAACGACGCTTGATCTATCGCACAACCAGTTAGTGACGTTCCCGCAAACAACCGCGATGCTGAAGAGGTTAATTCATCTGTGTTGCTCGTACAATGCACTCACAACACCGCTTGAACCGGGTCTAGGAGATCTAAAGGCCTTGCGTTACGTGGATCTAGCGGAGAACCGTCTCGTCGAACTCGAGCCGTGTCTTTATGAACTTCCACAAGTGGAAGTACTGAATCTGTATGGAAACAGGATAACGATGTTACCTCGCGAAATGGCTCAACGCTGTTCTTCGCTTCGTAAGCTGGATCTGTATAATAATGGTTTGCAAGCACTTCCCTTGGAACTGGCTGATGGACTCCTTGCACAGCTTGACGTGCTCTCAATTGGACGCAACCCGCTAACGCTTCTTCCAGAGAAAACCAGCAGTACGTGGAAACTAAGAGACCAGTATCAAACAAGCTTCACGAATGGATACACTCCTACTGAGACAAAGGCATGGGTCGCGGATAGCAGAGTATGCTACCCAGTATTTGTACGAGTTTGGGAGGAGCTTATGTTCGAAATATCTGCTTCACTGACACTACCTATGCTTGATGAAAACCCTGGAAATCATAGAGAAGTGAGCGCATTAACAAGTGATGAGTTTTGTAAACGCGTAAAAGAAACGATGAAAGCCGTAACTGGTGAGGATGCAGAGGGAGCTTGGCAACCACGCTACGAGCGGTTAGCTCGCCACTATTTCTACGAGTTCAAATACGTTGGCCATACGATCGTTTTCGACGAGTCGACTCAGCGCAAGATTGGGAATGAAAACTCGGAGGTCGAAATGAATTTGCATCGCCTGCGACAAGAACGTGTAGACGCTGCTATTAAAGGTTGCAGCCAAATTCGAGCGCATCTTAAAGCTGTATACCGTGCAGATGAAGATGTATTGGTACCAGCTATGAAATATGCACACGAACGGCGTGTTGTTCATGAAAAGCAATTACTTAATCATGCTCGACACGACGCACAGGAGACCAACGCAGGGATCAAGGAACAAATTGAGATCGTACAACGTAGACACAACGAAGCTCAAAAGCTTCAACGTACCAAGTTTGCAGATGAAATGAAGCGTCTTGCACGCGAGAGGCTACAAATGAAGCAGCAACGGAGTTCACTAAGAAAAATTAACAGCCGAAAAGTCCTGGCAGCTACACAAGACTGCAGCGACACTCCTGAACGTGAGCATTGAAACAGAAGAAGGAAGCTGAAGTGAAAGCATCTTAGTCTACGCATCGTCTCCTGCTGCCGCTGCCACGGTTTCATCCTCGAGCTGTTGTGCCTGCTCAGCCATAGCGGTGATGCTCTCAGCACGTGCAACAACAGCAAGGCTCCACATGTAGAAGCACGAGGCTACAGGACTCGCAGTGTCAACATCTGCCTTAGCAATCTCGGCAAGGTTTTGCTTCGCTTGGGCAACTGCAGTTGGCGTTGCTGGCAGAGCTTTTCTGACAGCACGGAGTCCGTTAGCACTAGTGCTGTCTGCTTCAGCCAAAGATCTCATAGTCTCCAAAGACGACTCAAAGGTGTTTAAGGATTCCGTTAGCATCGCCTCACCAAGCAATGGCGAAATCTTGTCCCAACTTGGCTGACCCGTAGCGGGATTGTACAGTTCGCGACGTGTATAGCCAAGAAGTTCCAGTGCTGCTGCGAACGTTGTCAGCACGAATCCCTTGAAAGGCACAACTCGAGCAGACGCGAGCGATAACGTTGGAATGTGTGACACTAGCAGCGTCATCAGGAAGGAAAGACGAAGCTCTGCGTCTTTTGCAGCGCGTTGTTGCTGAGCTGCTTCACTCAGTTCTTCACCTTCTGGTGGTCCCGGTAATTGCGCTGCTAGATTTTCTTCTTGAACTGCCACTTGTGCAGCAAAAGCCACTAGGAACTCTCGTAGTAGGGGTTCATCGTTGGATAGACATCTCTCGTTGTCTTTTATGTAAAGTGCGCGTTCAGTCTCCTCGAGTGTAGTTAGGAAGAGCTCAGTGGCATGACGGAAGCGGTCAATCTCTTTCTTGGTAAAGGGTCGAGCTTGACCAATCGTGTCAGCGGAAAAGACAAGCCACTGCTCGAGCACATTAGGTTCTTCTGGGTTACTCTCGTTACGCACATCGGCATGTAAATAGCTTTTGTACTGCCCAGCACGCGCAAGGAGTGCACCTAGCTTTGGCACACCGAAGAATTTGACCCGCGGCTCGCGTAGTACATTCTCAATATGAACGAACTTTGGCGGAGATGCTGGTAGCGCGTTCCCTTCAGTATCAACTGCCGGATTGCCGTCTTCATCGGTTGGTACAATCTCTTTGAACACATCAAACGTGACACCGATTCCACGGCGAACTCCTTCTTCATCTCCTTCGTCTGTAGGCTGAGCCACGAAGTTGTCGACTACAGTAGACTGTGGATGCTTGGAGCTTGCTATGAAGTGGATGACGCAGTTCCCTTGGGGGTCTACACACTTTCGACCAATGTAGGCTTCTTCAGCGTTGAGCATTGAGCAGATCCACTCTAGGAATCGCTGGAACACCAGCACCATGCTCGGTTCGTTGTGCAGCTGATCGTGCACTTGCTTCTCCTCCTCAAGCACCTTTTCCCACTCCAGTTGGTGCTGCTGTTGTTCCGTGTCAACCGGGTCTTGTTGAGTATTATCACGCGGAGTGACGAGTCCAGGTCGTTGCTTCTGTTTTTGAAGCTTCTGTTGCGTCTCCACATTGGCAACGTGCTTGAGCAGGTAGTTGCCCAGGAACTCGACAGGATCTTCTGGTTGCAAAATCGCTAGTTGAGCCATCGCCTCCGTCAATGGAGCGCCCACAGTCTGGCGCAGATACGCATGGTCCAGCTCAAAGTTGCTCGCCATGGAGACAAATATGCTCAATGAGCACAAGATGAATATACATGTATCTTGAAGCGTCGCGTCGTTTCATTTTAAAACTACACCACCGTCACACCAATTTATGTTGACCACTTTTCCCACCGCATTTTGAAAAACCGACGAACATGGCGGATCCTCTTATCGAGCCCTTCGCAGAGCTTTGTGGTGCTCTACGCGGGCTCCAGGAGCAGGTGGAGCAGCTGTCGCGCGTGCATGAAGCGGTGGACGACTTTAACTCGGCGTTTGGCGCCTTCCAGGGGGCCATGGCGCTGCACGCGTCGTGTCTGACGTACCCCAAGAACGTCCCAGCTCCGACTCGCGGACACAACTCGCTTGCGCAAGACAAGAAGCAGACATCCCCAGGGACCGGTATCCAACTGCCCAGCAATTCGCGCGTGTCTCCGGACGGCAACGGCGAGCAAAATATGCTAGTGGGTGGAAAGAAAACTGCGGACAAGTTGTCGAATGGGGAACTCAAGCAGATGAAGAAAAAGCCTGCGACTGGAATGAAGAGACAGGCGAAGGTGGACTCGAATAACGCTCGTATAAAGAGAAGGAAACCCGCACCTAAGGCAGCGAAGCCGGCGTGGACGTGGGAACGCCGTACGTTGATGACGGAATTTCTGGCAAGTTGAAGAGTTTATTGACGGTGGTGATTGCTGCAGATATTCGGGAGAAAATACCGCGCAAGTATCAAAGCCCCGCGGAGCTCAAGAAGCTCGAGAATATCGTACTCTATCTCAAGAACCGACACTGTGCCATGTACGCCTCGACATGGATGTGGTTTGTTTGGTGTTGCTATTTGCTAATATGTTGGGCTTTGGTACACAGTTCTATCTCCGACTTGGTCAAGCATAGCGGGCTGCCAGTAATTCGATGCAAGGAGATTTTGCAGACGCTCATGAAGCTCGACATCATCGAGCGCAGGCGCGAAAAATCGGTACGACTGATTGCAACAGGTGCTGAAGGAGGACCGAGTACTTACGCATTGCCTTGTTCTGCAACCTTGTTCAGGGTTTCGTCTACAGTTTTAGCTCGTCGAACTGAGCCTTGCGTGAAATCAAATGCCAACTCGCGCAGCAGGGTCTAACTTCGTTGGAATGGCGCTCGCTGTAGCGCTGGCTGGTCGCTTTTGCTTTTACATGTGGCGTGCCATCGGCCGTATTTATCCAATTAACGCGTTTCCACTTGCCGATCAGCAATTTCTCACTCGACCACGTTGAGTTTCACTTCAGTTCCGAGTCGTCTTTGGTTTCCCAGCGTTCATTAATGCTTTCTTCCAGTGCCATGTCATCGCGCGAGAACCGCGCCAGTCGAGCGAGCGCGAGAGGTGAAGTCTTAGGGACGATTGCAGCTGTACCACTTGATCCTCCACCGTCACGTACAACATCGGCAAAGCTTAATGATAAGCTCATGGAGCGTTCGCTGTTCTTCCGGCTAAGCACCTTTGCAATGCTCTGGCCGTCGATCCGCTTCAAAGAAGATTGCCGCTGTGACTGCCTGCCGTATTCCGTGGACCCTTGACGAAGCAGACGCGCTGGGGCGTGGGAATTATGGCTACTGATCTGGGGAACTAGCCGTGGACTACCGGTATGGCGTTTCCGTGACCGATCACTGTGGCTAGCTGCTGAGGTGGTTGAGCGTGTCGTCAGCTTCGCACTCTCACTCTCGCTGTGTCGTCGTGAAGTCGACTCATTGTTGCAAGTAGTCACACTGCGTGGCTGATGGACGTTGGCTTGATGAAAAGGATGTTGTGGTGGCTGGTTGTACTGGTGATGGTGGTACGCATATTGTTGCTGCTGGTTGTACGGGTGGAATGCGTACGGGTGCTCCATCCCACCGATATATGCTGTGCCTCCGACCGTCGTTGAAGCAGCAGTATCGGACTTCGCGTTCACAGGAGCACCTGGGCCCAAGATGGCACGGAGAATGTTGTCCGGATGGAGTCCAACACCAGCCACGAGACCCATCCGATTGTCTGCAAACATAGTAGGATCTCGCGACGCAGTAAGCAGTGCGAGATGAGCCCCAGAAAACGCTCGTCGGATCTGCATGATACGGAAACAGTTTCTTCCGACATTGTTGCTCGGGCATAAGGGGTCCTCAATGAACACCGGGTCGAACTTGTGCGGGTCATACGTTTGCTGCTGTAGCTGATAGTCCAGAAGTCCAGTTGCAGCCCCCATTCCATCCAGTGCTCTTGATGCCGGTAAGTCCAGTGAAGAACGATAGCCGTACCGTCGTAATCCTTCTGCATTTGGTGACAGCTGCATGTGGGGTTGCGCAGGTACTTGCCAATGTTGAGCGTAGCCGTATTGGCTTGTGCGGTCATCCACTGCCGCATCATCAGCCGCGTATTGCTGATACTGATGTGGTACCTGATGAGGATCACCCATGCCTGTCGATCCAACCACAGCTCCTGCCATGAACGTACTCTCACGATTTAAAAAGCAACGCGAAGCCACACTGATCCCCGTTGTGCGTGGATCGAATCGGTTGCCGTAGAAATCCAAAAAGCCCATGAGCATTAGACCGAAATCAGCCACACCCGCCTGTACCGTCGACAAACTGTGCTGTACAGCTCTGGAAGCGTTCGCGAACCCGTTGGGCATTGTGTCACTGTGTTCCTGGAGATAACGTGCCACAAGCAGCAACAACGCGTAAGATGAGAGTCCGCCAGAGTACGCCACTGCCAAGCCACGCTCGATGGCAAAACTCTTTAAGACCAACATCATTGGCGCTAGTGGTGGGAATTCATGCAACAGTGCAAGAACGACGTCGTTCGTAGCCAAACCGTTGTGACCCGGACCTTCGAACGAGATGTCGAGTCTCACGTTGTACGGCGGAGCAGTGAGGAGCGTAATGATGGGGACAGCAGCATGTGGTAGCGTCTTCACCGAATCCCGCACAACCCATGGCTCTTGCTTCAACTTGCGCGCGAGGTTCTGCTGCCACGTCTCCTTGATAGCATTTCGACCTTCCAATACACCAGCAGCATCAGCAGGAGCATCGCGACGAACTTTTGGTAGGCAGATCACGAGATCAACATCACTTGACGGCAGTACCAGTCGCGTCACATGCGATCCGTATGGCCGCACCTGAGCACGAGGCCACAGCGATTGCACCGTCGCCGTACACAACCGTTGCGCTGCCAGCTGCGCAGGAAGGCGAGCGTCACTATCTGCCTGAAGCTGGGCAGCGAACTCGCACAGGTCCCAGTGTAGTTTACTTCGTGGTGGTAGCACCGACAACGGTACTGATACGAATGGGCCCATGGCGGAGTTTGTAGCTGCGTATGCTTCCGGAAGAGGAGGTGCTGCGGTAGGCGGGCTATCGACCTGCTGGTCTAGAGACGATGGGGCTGGGGAAAACGGAGTAGCGGGCGAGCCACAGGAGCTTGCGTTGCCTAACGACGAATCCTCCAAACCACCCGTGTTTGCGGAGACAGAGGCCTGGCGAAGTTGTAATTCTTGGATATTATTCTCGATGTTGTGCAACTGAGCTGTCAACGTCGCCACTGTTTGCTTTAAAGTGGTGATTTCCGCAGATGCATTAGAGGCTTGTTCATCCATCACCTAGAAGCAGCAGAATGAACAACTGGTAAGTACACGGAAATGAATAACTTTTGTCAGAATGAGTACGCACCTTCGCTTTCTCGGTCAGTTTTTCCTCAAGTTGAGTAATACGATCTAACGCCACTGTAACCTTGGCGATTGCATCGTTTTCAGCTGGTGTATCTGCTCTTGCCGGTGAAAGCGATGCCACTTTGGCATGCTGGTCGCAATCATTTCGATTGTTGTAGCACGGTTCGCTTTCCTCGGGAAAATCATCATCCTTGCGTCTAAGGCTAGCGCGATGGCAAGTACATTTGCAGCAGTGAACACACTCTGTCCAAACATCGCTTTTTCCACTTGCCGACGCACCAAGACATCGTCTCGGAGCATCACGATCCTCAGCAATTTCCTCTTCGTCCTTGTCGCGGGCATAATCAAATGGCCATGGCCGTCGTCGACGTTTGAGAGCACGCTGGCGGTCAAAAAATCCTCCTTCGCGATACAAGAAGTCCGACTCATTGTCACTGCCCACAGCACTCGATGTGCCATCACCATGCTCTCGTATTGATGCCACTGTCACACTCTGTTTTTCATGCTCCGTGTGGGTACCCCGCCGACTTGCGTCCAACCCTGCAATCTTGGAAAAGGATGCCAAAGAATACTTTTTCGTTGATCCCGATATCCTCCCATTTGTAAAACGGGACGATGCTGAAGAAGTTGACGACGAAGATGAAGGTGGCGGTGGAGGGTCTAGCTCAGCTATTGCGACCGTAGAAGATGATATAGCCTTGTCCGAAATGCCTCCATCCGGAGCCTTGAACTGCCAGTGATTGAAATGCCAGTCGAGGGCAGGTGTCGGGGAAATTGTGCGGTGTGCAGACGTCTGCAACGAAAAGACCGATGGCAGGTACCATTCGAAATTGGACGTCTCAGCACTCGCTTGAACTTCGTGAGCGGTGCTCCCAGCGCCACCTGGAGCCGTGTGATTACCTTCGTGATCCTCAGAATCTTCATCAGCGTCTTGTCGAGAAACTCGGGATGGTTGCGAATGGTGGTCTCGTGGTGCCAATGACAGGAAAAACGGTGTCGTATTCGAGGAGTAAAGAGAATGTGCGCCAAACGACTGTAGTGGTAGTGCTGATGCAGGTGACGCCGTTCCAGTCGATCCAACATTGGAGAAAAAACTGAGCCGCGGGCCGTCGTCATGCGTACTCCCGCTATCACTCCCGCAGTCAATTAAACGCAGTCTATCATGCTGAGACGGCGACGAATCTGAGCCAGTAGTTGGAGCACTGTGCTCTTCAGCATCTCCTGCATCTCTCACACGGTGAGGTGTGCGAGCCATCTTTACAGGAGCTTGCGGTGAGGAAATAGAGGCTAGAGCTCCCTTACTGCCATCTCCATGTCTCTCCATCATTCCCATCTTTTTCTTCCTTGCTTTCTTCTTCCTCCTTTTTGGTTTCGAGTGAACGTTGTCCTTGGCACTGATCTCGGAAGTGATGCTCCAACCGCCTGGTGTTAAACTACCATCGTCAATAGCGGTATCAATGACATCACGAAGCACCTTATCCACACGCGCGATTGTCTCTTCATGCTTCTGGCGGAAATGTTGGGAGAGCTCGCGTAACACGCTGTTATAGCGCGTTTGCTGAGCAGCGCGCATTTCGCCCTCGCGGCGTCGCTGCTTGAGCATCTTCTTGCGACTAGCTCGGCGTCGTTGGGAATGGTTCGCACTTTTCGAGTTTTTGTCGTCCGTAGCTCCAACTCTATCGCTTGTGGATGCACAACCTGACGTGCGTAATGCAAGTGCTGCCTCCTCTTCCTTCGACAATCTTTCGCAAAGTAGAAGCGAACATTGTTCTTGAAGATGCTCTGCCAACAGGAGCTGTATAACCCCCGCTTGTGGAGAGGAGATCGCGTCCTCAAAAGAGCATGTGAAGCAAGTATCCACTGGCACACCGTGATCCATACGCTGCATCGTCTTGCTCACGATGCTCACAAGGGCTTCCAACGATGACCGTGCGGGTTGGTATCCTTGTGCATGGCTCGCCATCGACTGACTGAGATGTCTAAGATGCGAGATAATCCTGGAACCCAGCACTTTCAGCACTGCATTTCGTTGATCCAAGCCTGTCATTTCCCATTCGCGCATCAAGTAAAGTTTAGACGCGATGCCTTGCAAGGGAATCTTCGAGCTACCATCTCTTTGGTGTTGCTTCCAAAAGGCCCAAATATTAAGTTCCTGTCCAGTAACACGAACGAAGTCAGCTTCATAACCGATAGCCCCAGTTTCGAACAGCACATTCGCACAATTTGATTAACGAATAGTGCTTGGAGCGAGTAGTAACCATGTTTCTTCAGCCACTATATGCAGACACCACCACAAACTCAAACTAAATCAGCGTTCTCTTGTTGTCTTGCACTGCATCACGTACGTTTCACTTACCTTCGTCTCCCCCCAAACGCGATTCTTCAATGCTATATCTGACGGACACTCCATTAGGAACTCACCGCACGATATTACATCCATTAAATGGAAGAAATCTGCAGCAAATTTCCTTTCTTTCCCCACCAGTTGGAAAAATTCCATCGACAGCGCCACCGTATCACACGACTGCAGCGTATTGAGCACTCTCATGCTCTTCAACAGCTTTAAACAGCATTCTTCGTACTCTCTGGAGTGAAAACTGCCCACTATGTCTCCATCCACCGTCCGCAGAACTGGTCGCTTCACAAATTCTCTACAGATCAACGAATACAGTTATTAAAACCTTTTAAGCACAAATAATATCTTCACTCTCACCTCAGATCGCTTTTGGACGGCACTTTAGTTGCCAGGCGCTTGTTCTGGGCAGTGCTAGCACCAGTGGCAGTATGAGGTAGCAGTTGGAACTCCTGTACACGCGTTTTTCCGCCTCTGGAAGCTCTGGATAGCGCCGCCATCTGCAGCAGCGTCTTGACGAAGCCCACGTCCTCCACGCAACACAAAGACGCCAGTTCCTCACCACTCAAGCCGCGCAACCACTTCAACACAGCGCGCTTCTCTGCGCTGCCACTGGTGCCGCTGCTTCGATGTCTGCGCAGCGAGATGGCAAGCTCTCCGAGCGCGCGTACAAGCGCCTCGGTCTCACTGTTCGCCATGGTGCGGAATGTCGGAGTGATGGTCAGGGTTCAACTGGACGTTTGATTTTGCTTTATTTTATCAAATAGGATAAGGATTTAGAGAAGTATTTTGACCAATAAGGGAATGAATTTTTAAGGTGCCAAAAGCTTGCAAGCTGGATACGTCTCATGTTTTTAAAGTTTATACACCTGCGAGAGCGCCTTTAGAGGATGAAGTGCATCTGTTGCAGCAAACTGAGCGCGCTCACAACAGTCATGACGACTGCCATTAAGCCGGCGATCATCTGACTTGTTCGATGGTGCTGGCCGCCCAGACGGAAGATGAAAAACGCTGGCAGCATGAAGCAGATCGTCGGGTTCGTCGTGGCACCAAGAACGCCGAGAACTGATGCAATATCACCAGAGCCTAAAGCCACCATAAGCGCAGCGAGCACCAGAAACATCGACAGTCCAGCATGGCGCACCAAATCCAGTCGACGGTTCTCCAGCAGCGCCTCACGGATGTTGTCCCGCAGTGTGTGGACGAACAACGGGACAGTAAGAATCAAAGCGATACTGAAGCCTAGACACCCGGCTATCACAGCGCCATCACCGTGGTAGTTGTTCTTGAGAAAATTGGACCGGGTGGCCTCGCCGAATGTGAGCACTACGAAGAAACCACACAGCGAGTACACAGTCGTGGCGATGCCGATGCTGCGATTCATGACCTTATACATTCTTCTGCTGGAGCGACGTTTAAGTACCAAATATATTGGAAGCACATTCGGATGGCACGTAAATGAGAACACCACAAGTGGGACAGCACGCAGCAAGTGGCTGAGGCGCCAGTCGAACAGCGGCAGGTGTTTGAGCTGGTACGCAATAGTCGGGGCCAGTCCTTCGTGCACGAACTGGAAGTACTTGATCACAATAACCAACGCCATGAACATGATACACACGATGGAAAATAACGACGAGAACCTCAGCGACTCCAGACTTCGCAGCAACGACAGTGGAAGCACCAGCAAGCCAGTCAACATCAAGATCAACGCCTGGCGATCCAGGAAGATACTCTCGCTCGTACTGCCCAAGAACGTCCTCAGCGCAAGCTGTATCAGCTCCGCACTACCGACTAAGTAGCCGATACTCGTTCCGAACAGGTTCATGCACACTACCAGCTGAGTAAAGCCTGCAAGCTTACGTCCTCCCGTGACCGAAGCCAAGTCCATGTACGACCGCGCCTGCCCCAGATCCGAACACTCCAGCAGTAATCTCAACGTGAAATTTGTAGCGATTGCTCCTAATGCAATTAAAGAGATGCCTAACACCAAACCTGCCTGTTGGACGGCGTAGGGTAGCGCCAAGACACCAGCGCCCACGATCGCGACGGTCATAGTGAACATGGAGCCTTTCACTGTCAGCAGAATAACAATTAGTATCAACTCAGCAGGATGCAATATCCTAAGGGCGAGATATACCTGATCCCGGCTGAATCTTCTCCATCAAGTACGTCTGGAAGAAGCCGCCGCGCTTGCCGAGCCGTTGTTGCTGCCGGAAGAAGTCATCCTCAAACACGAGCGTCTCTCGTTCCGAGATGAGCTCGAAATCGTCGCTGAGTGGGGCGGTAGACGCAGAGCTTCCTACTTTACTCTCCCCTAGCAGACGCTCTGACATACCGTCGTCCGGATCGTCCCCAAATGCCATCATCGCGACGTAAAGAGCTCTTCTTAGCTGCAGAATCTGAGAATTTGCAATAATGGTGTAGATACTAATCCGGGGGATCATAGTGACATACAGGAAGTACGCTGTAAGTCACTGCATAGGGACCGACCATGCACTTTCAGAACCTGCAAGCCGAGAGAAAGAAAGATAAAGCTCCAAGATAAAGGCCTAAGCGGTATTCGATAGAACTTAAACCTCAAAACTCAATATAATTGTTTCAGATTGAACCATAACGCTAGCTACTTGTCTCTTACTTCGGCAAGGTGCCGCAACAACTGGTGCCAGTCTTGCGTTCTATGCATGTCCCTGTACTCTAGGTCGCTAATCAATCACTCTCCTTGGCGGCTTAGCATATTTTCCATCTGGATCATTCCAGCACGGACGGCCTCGTTCATTAGCCGCGTCTCGCGGGTGTCATCTGCACGGGTCACTTGATCAATCTCTTCGAACTGGTCCCATTGCTTATTCAGCACGCCTTCGAGGAGCTTGGCGTAGCCGGACGTGCCTCTCTGCCTTCATGTAGCCCTTGTCCACGCGCTTCGGAATAGTCTTGCGTGCGTCCTGCTGCTCGTGTTTCAGCTTACTGCCTTCGACGCAAGGTTTCTGCTGCGATGGCTCGTGCGAGCTTGGTTCAGCCGCTCGGCTTGAACAGAACTCACAAAAACTCTTGTAGATAGGCTCGGTCAGGCTCTTGATCCCCTTTGGACGGCCCATCGCCTGCCATTGCTGCAGTTTCTCCATCCGAGTCAACTGGAACCACGTATGCTCGCCACGGGACTGCTGCACTTCGTCGAACTGGAAGACTCTCCAGCTGCTTGCCCATAAAGCTTTGTCCTTAAGGAATACCACATTCTCAGTTCGCGTCGTCCGCTCCCCGTTGCACCTAATAAACTCTGCATACAGTCGGAATGACGCTGGTTGACTACGGTCACTGGGTGGGTAGTCCACCACTCGACCGTTCGCGCGCACAAGCGCGATCGCCTCGTTCTCAGTCCACAGTCTTTTATCTCGCATCGAGAAATGAAGAATGAGCACTGAAGGTCGACAGCTTCAACCTAACTGCCGTACGATGAACTCTGGCCAAACGCATGAACACTTTCCCACGTTTCTCGTCTCACCAAATGAGAGAGTGAAGTGCAACGCAAACGAAGTGATGGATCAGCGGTTAAGTTTTTCTGTGGCGTGTTTGGTAACTGGTTGTATCGGCGTCTTCAGAATCACGTCTGCACAAAAGCAGTAATCCCCTCAATCCGTTCATAAAAGCACGCAAAATGCCACGAACATCGCTTTCTGTTGCCAGATTTGCCTGCATTTGCCAGTGATCGCGATGGTGATGACATCTTGTTAATGCCCAGTAGCGCAGTCTGTATCCGTACAATACAGCACTCAAGTTATACCGTATTTCGACGGGATAACGGCTTTCTACGCTCGTACCAACTCGCCAGGTCTATCGTTGTAAATGCTGACAGCCCTGATTCGCTCACCAGAATTCAAAATAACAGTTGATGGAGATGTTCTCACGAATCATTTCGTCATCAGCTTCTTCAACGTGGATAACTACTCAGCAAGACCTCGCGTGTTGCCACTTGTCAGGTACTTCTGAGAGATAATCATTGAACTACATCGCAAAAGTTCCCAGTAACAGCATTACGATTAGTCGTATTGTCGTGGAGCCATATTGCATGTGCTGGTAAAGAGTGGCAAGTTGGCAGCCAAGCAGCACTTCGTGGCTGGTATGATCCATGGCGTGATGCGTAATATACGCGACGCTGAAGGGCGTGATGTCAAGCGGGCGTTGCCTGGAACGGTTGTCGACATCACTTACTCGAATAAGTCGAAGAACGTGGACGCGCCGAATGAGCACGGATTCTTCGTACTGCCTGAAGCTCGGGCGAGCAGGTGATCGAGCAGAGGTACGAAGATAACGCCTCCAAGTGAGAAGATATTGTTTGCCAAGTCTCTGTTGTTACCGGAAGAAAACGCTCTCGAATACCTGCGTATGCTACTTCGAAAATAAGCTTCGTCGGTGAGTGGCGGAGAGCTTCATGTCTAGCTGACACTCCAGCGACCATCTTCGTATCTGGGATTCTCGACTCAAACTTTGAGTCAAAACGGTAACTAATCCGGGGGCTTTGATGGGTACAAACTTTTGCACTACAAAAGTACCTGCCATGGCTTCAACTTCGTTTCTTGCTTGGCCACTCTGCCGCTGCCATGAACGAGACGCTGTCGGAAGCGCTGCTGTTGGGCTGTTATACATACGCAGGTCTCCCGTTCAACGTGGTGAGGCTGCGATTGCAGACTCAAAGCCATCAGGGAGCTTACAGAGGAGTGAGAGACGCTTTTGTCCGCATCGCGAAGGAGGAGGGTATCAGAGCGCTTTCGAAGGGCGGCACACCAAGTCTGGCAGGCACTATACTCTCCAATAAATTGACGAATGTTGTTGGCGGCTCAACGAAGAAGGCAGTGTCGATGCTGGAATTACAAAAAGTTGACGACGAGGACGAGTTGACGCTGCAGAAAGCGCTCGAGCATAGTGCCATGGCATTTATCGCCTCTACAGTACGGTGTATAAAGCGTTGAGTGACAAATACTTCTATTAACTAAGATTGTATAATGCTGCCAACAGGCCACCACTGTTCCTGAAAACATCGCGTCCAAGTTGCAGCTTCAGCGGGGTCCATTGGGCCACGGAGGTAACACAGCACGGGGAAGAGACATTCTAGGCAGACGGCTGACATTACCTTGGACTTTGTGAATGCAGTCTATCATGGACCACTCGACTGCATGGCGCAGGTGCTCAAAAGAGAAGGAATTGTTGGCCTGTTTCGTGGATACTCGTCGGTGCTGCTGCGCGATGTACCCTTGTTCCCCATCACTGTCGGGGTGTATCATGCCACTCGATATACAGGAGACGAGAACTCTCTTACGACGACCTTGTTCTCAACATCATTCGCCATGGCCACCAGCGTTACAATGCTGTATCCTGCTGATGTGGTCAGGGCTCATATGCAAACGACCTGTACGTTGACCCCGCTTACGCTACGTGAAAGCTTTCGGTCGATTTACATGCAGTATGGTCTACGGGGGTTCTATCGAGGATTCACTGCTGCGTTGATTGGCTCGAGTGTGTCGTTTACAGCATTCGCCACCGCCTACTTTACTTTTCCACACGCCAATTAAATGGTTCACTGCAGAGTGTGTTGAGTCGCTAACTACTACTTAGTACTGTAGTACTTAGATTATCGAATGAAAACATACAAACCGAAGCTAAGCCAGCGCTCGTTGCAGATTTTGAGCTTTGTTGATGTTTCGATCTTTGCCCTTTTATTTACCATCCAGGTCAGGCTACGGGTCTACATGTAGAACCTATCTGCCGAAGTGAACACTGCTCCTTCCTTCCGTCCTCGTCACCCCCAATGTAAGATTGGTATGGAAGATTAATAACGTGCTGATACTGTAAAACCAGTCTCTAGGTGCGTCTACATGTAGAAGATACTTACAATGGTAACTGTAGCGTTCTTAGCCACTGGTTGCATCGTCGTCTTCGGAATCAGTCTGCTCAAAAGCAGTGATCTCCTCAATCAGCTCATGCACGGTGGAACGCAAAATGACACGGACACCTCTTTCTGTTGCCAGCTTTGCCTCGCGATTGCGCAGCTTCACGTTGAAGCCAAAGATTGGGCACTTGCCGTTGATGGCAACGTCGATGTCCTTCGTTGAGATGTTGCCAATGCCCAGTCGTACAGTCTGAAACCAAATCATACAGCAATAAATATTAGAACTAGTGATCACCAACCGGACTAATAACTATCGTACCGAAATGCCAGCCATCTCGTCCACTGTGTCCTGAATGCTCGTGAGCGAACCCGCGCCATCAGCCTTCACAATGATGGACTTTGTTTCGATAAGATCATTTTCATCAATCACATCATCGTCCTCTTCCTCAGCTTCGTCGTTTAATGTTTCAGCATCAGACACGCCTTCGTCATCCCCATCAGTCTCGGTGGACGTGTACTCAGCATCAGGCCTCGCGTGTTCGCCACCTTCATCAGGTAGGAGACAATCATTGAACTCCATGGCAAGTTCCCTGTAACAACACCAAGGTTAAACCCTCACGCTTTGATAAATTATCCGTCCAGTGCGTACCTCTGCTCGATCACCTGCTTCGCTCGAGCTTCAGGCAGTACGAAGAATCCGTGCTCATTCGGCGCGTCCACGTTCTTCGACTTATTCGAGTAAGTGATGTCGACAACCGTTCCAGGCAACGCCCGCTTGACATCACGCCCTTCAGCGTCGCGTATATTACGCACCACGCCATGGATCATACCAGCCACGAAGTGCTGCTTGGCTGCCAACTCGCCATTCTTGATCAACACACGCAAAACCGTTCCACGTCCCTTCAACGCCACACTTTCAAGCACGAGTCCCTCAGCGTGTGTCTCACTTCCGACAAGCGCATCCAGCCTGTTGTTGTCTGCCAGCCCTGTCACCAGCTCCCACACCGTGTGCTTCAAGTCATCAAGTCCAGCTCCTGTCTTACCCGAGATCGTCAACACAGGACTATCTTGTAGTGCGACAAACGAGCGCAGCTCATCCACAATCTTGTCAACTTGTTCGTCGCCGTCTTCTCCGAGTAAGTCCACCTTGTTGATGCAGATCACCGCCGGTAGTCCGGCCTCCTCAATGGCACCAATAGACTCCTCTGTCTGCAGTAGCACGCCTTCATCTGCGGCGACAATCAGCAGCACTGCATCCGCAACTTGGGCTGCACTAGATCTCATCCGAAAGAAGTGGAAATGTCCAGGCGTGTCCAGGAACGTGGCCTTAACATCAGGCGTCAATGCCGCCTCACACACATTAATCTTCTGAGTAATACCGTGCTTCTCATAGGGCGCAATCTGCCTCAGTCCAGCTTTCATCTGCTTCCTAAGTGTGTCCATCAGCGTAGTCTTGCCGTGGTCGACATGGCCCATAACAGCAATGACGGGCTGTCGGCGGCCCAAGAATTCCTCGTCGCAGCTCACGGCATTCAATAGTTCCGGCTCCACGTCGTCGTACGCTACCTGGATACCGAAGCTCTCGGCCACTTCATGTGCCACGCGGAAGGGTAGTACGATGTGCTTGACGCTGCGGAACTCGGCGGGCGGATGGTTCTTGGTTTTTAAGTTAAAACGGCGGTTGGCTTTGATCACCGTGTGCTTGAGCACCTTGTCCAGAGGCTGACGCAGCGCCTTGGCCAAATCGCGAACGCGGATGAAGGCCGGTATGACCGGTGGCTGGTTACGCGCTTCCAACACACGCCGGCGCTGTTCCTGTCGAGCACGCTCGCGTTCCTGTGTCATGGCCTCGAGCTTGGCGATGCGTGCCATGTGATCTTTATGTCGCCGAGTGCCACCACGCGCAGTGCGCAGCGATCGAGATCCATCGGGAATAGATAGAAGGAGCTGCGAGGACGCGCTGGATCGCAGAGCGGACGCTGCCAGTCGTGGTCGAAGCAGGCGCAGCATTGTTGGTGGAAAAGTGTGGAATGGTGGCAATCAATTCGTCCTAGCCAATGAGAGCGCAGAAAACACGTTGTCGTCGTCACTGAAGTATTGGTCTCACGTACGCTCGCAGGTTGCAGTGCAAATGAGACCGCACTCCCCGATCAGCGCCGTCCCCAAGCACCATGCTGGACCCCCGCGAGACCTTTTCGGGCGTCATGGGCGCCTTCTGCTGCGTGTATGCGGGGCTTCCATTCGAGGTGGTGAAGGTGCGCCTGCAGACGCAGGGCACTAAGAATGCGTACACCGGTGTGACCGACGCTTTTCGCCGAATCGCCACCGAGGAAGGATTGTTCGCGCTCTGGAAGGGCGCGGTGCCGGCGCTGTCCAGCTCCATCATCGAGAACTCGGTGCTTTTCAGTGCCAATGGATTCGCGAAGCGCGCCGTGCTGGCACTGCATGCTAAGCAACGCGCGGCGCACGAGGGTGAGTACCAGCTCACGACGCTGGACGAGGCCTTAATGGGCGGCTTCTCTGGCTGCTTCTCCGCTACGGTGCGCTGATTCGCGATATATTAGTACGTAGCGATGTCGTTCGTTAATGTGCTTCTGTGGTGAAATTTTACAGGCCATTACCGTGCCGGAGAACATCAAATGCAAGCTGCAGTTCCAACGCGGTCACTTGGGTGAAGGACGTACGTTGCAAATCGCTAATGCAACGTTTTCGCAAATGGCGAAACTAATTATTGTTATTCGCTGTAGGCTATCACGGTCCTTGGGACTGTTTGGTGAAGGTGGGCAAGGAGGAAGGCATCACTGGTCTGTTCCGAGGGTATAGTGCACTGTTGCTGCGCGACGTACCGTTCAGCTTCTTCTTCTTCGGATCGTATCAAGCCTTCACTTCCGGTACGGCCAGGCTGTTAGGCAAAGAGTCCAAGAATGACTTGAACCCTGCCGCTATCCTGGCCAGCGGTGGCCTCGCTGGCGCGACCAGTTGGGCCATCATGTTTCCCGTGGATGTGCTCAAGTCACGTATGCAGACAGCGAGCTCAACGGGTCCGCTCTCGTTGCGTGGGGCTTTCCGTGCAGTCTACTCGGAATTTGGCATCCATGGGTTCTACCGAGGTTGGTCGGCTGCAGTGCTGCGTGCGTTCCCGGCCAACGGCTCACTCTTCCTCGGCGTGGAGATGACACACCGCGTATTCCGTTGGCTGGACGCGAGGCACGCCGCCTAGATCGAAGCCTAATCGCCTATAAATTTCAGCTATACAGTCGCGAGTGACGAGGATGACCCTCATAAATAGCCAACTGCCGGTGCAGCATTAGAATAGTAGCGATGACACTGGCCTAATCTCAATTAGAACCATGCGACGATGGTTGCAACGTCCAGCGTTCTTATCTTCTTGCTTCAGAAATATGTGTTGTGAGCTCGAATCAGGCGGATGCACTTGTAGACGAGGAGACGCGCCGATTGACCCTGAGATCTTGGCCATTTAGCTCACTAGCGCCCTGCTTGATCGCTTTATCATGGCCTCGGCAAAGACGATGGCGGCCAAGTCTCTGTCACCGGACCAGAACCGTCGAGGCAGCATTGGCACAATGGATACCGACGACGATCTTGAAGAGACGTTCGACGTTGAGGCCGTCGCGCAGCTCTTGGCTCTCAAGACCACGGAATTGATGCAGCTGCAGCGCACTCACGATGAATACATCAAGTCCAGTTGCGAGTATGAGCGAGAGCTGGAGATTGAGGTGGATCGGTACGAGAAGAAGACGCAGCAACTCGAGTCGGCTGCGCTTCAGCTTGAACGAGACAAAAGCGACCTTAATAGCAGCATGAATGGGGTCAAGGAAGAGCTGCAGGCTACACACCGTCGAGAACACATGCTGCAGACGCAACTGGAAGAGATGAAGTGGAAGATTCAGAGACTAGAACAAGCAAACGACGAGCTGGAAACCTCAGCTCGGGTTGCGCAGGCTACGATCGAGGACCTCCACCACAAATCCGAGACGCTGTTGGAGCAGAATGTGTTCCTCCAGCATGAAAAAGAGGAGTTGTTGAAGCAGCTGTCATCTATCATCGTCGCTGAGGTGCACCCTACTCCAGTGGAACCAAGGACTGCAAGCACTCGCTTTTCTCGCTTTTCCCGTAAATCTTCCTCTCACGTATCTGAGACTGCAGCTCCTGTAGCTCCAATTCAAGAGGAGAATACGCGGAAAGGCAAGAGGCGAAAAGGTCGTCGCCCGGAAGTACTCGAGACGTGTCTCCACCTCACGTGTCGTAAGTGCCGTGCGAATAAACCCCACGCACACAATGGAGGAAGTGACGAGAAAGGCTCGGTCTCGGCTTTCTTTGAAAGACTCAGGATTTTCCTGTTCGGCCCCGATCGGTGATCAGCAAAATTTTTTTTTTTTTTGGTGGAGATAGATGGATGAAGACTCCTATGAGTACCAAGGTGATACTCATTTCTCAATCAGCCGTAAGCGATACAAACCAAGCGACAGCAGCAGCAAACACTTCGTACAATCTTCTTCGAGAATGACGCGGCTTAAACTCCCAGTGCTATTGCTACTGGTGGCGATCGGAAGCGGTATTGGTATCATCAACGCCAAGCCGTGCTCTCCAAAAGAGTTAGGCGTCTTTAATGATGTCTCTGTCGAAGTAAGCAAATGCCTCCAAGATAGTAAACTCAATTTCCAGGTTCCGCCGCGCTCGAGCCTCACGAAGGCCCAGCAGTCTGCTCTGTGCCAGTCCAAGGCCTGTCAAGCGATGATCGGCTCCATTGACGATCTGGATATCCCGAAATGCGAGGCCGCTTTCGACAAGAAGAACATGACGCTGCAAGCGAGTCTGGACAAGTTCGTGTCGTCATGTGACTTGACTACGCCGGCTCCGTCTCCGATGAAGCGACGTAAATCGTTTGAGTCTTCGTCGTCTGGCTCGGACTCGCTCTCGGACAAGAAACGTCGATACACGAACGTGGCAACTCCAGTTCAGTTTGGATTACCACAACAGGTAGTCGTACTCTTGGTAATTGGCATCCTGTCTCTGGGTCTTTCGCTCCCCTGAGCAACTTCGAACTTGCATTCGATGATGGTCAACGGCACGCGTTGAGCTTAAAAGCTGTCTGCTAAAGTCAAAATATACTTGATGCTTTGCTTTTCTTGATTTGCACTATGTTATCTTGCCGCTCGATTGCGAAGACTTCAAACTATACAAAGCATTTAACGTGACAGCAATTTGTTTTTACTGCAATTTCAACTTCGTCAAATAAACTTTGTTTTTCGCTTCTTGGAGGTTATGCAAGAAAACTTGGCGCTGCAGGCGATGAGTTATCTTGTTGACCTATTTGTCCTCGATGGCTCTTGCCAACACGGCGCTGTGCTGGCCACCAGCTTCGACCTGCAGGAACTCTGCCTTACCAAACTCCTCCTCTTCGCCTTCCTTGTCTTTGCCCAATATGGCCTTCGACCAGTCCACTTGGTAGGGTTTGTTTTCGTCTCGGTCTACTCCGTTGCCTAGCGCCAGCATGTCGCCGTATCCCCAAGAAAAGATCGCGTTACTCTCAGTTAGCGCCAGTGCGTGGTTGGAGCCAGAGGCGACCATGCGAACCTCGCTTGAGCCGCCGTTCTTGGGCTTAGGAATTGTCACCTTCTGTGGACGATCCTTAAACTCGCCGGTGTTGCAAGTCTCGAGCGTACCGAGCTGGCCCGAGTCAGCGCGACCAAACGTGTATACATCGCCGTCATTGGTGAGGACAACCGAGTGATGGGCGCCTCCATCCACATACGCGACGTTCTTGGAGCTGAGATCCTCTACAAGCTGCAGCTCGGTGCAGTTTTCGGTACTGCCAATTCCCAGCTGACCGTAATTGTTGAGCCCGCAAGAGTACAAGTACCCATTCGAGCTCAAAGAGAACAGGCTGTGATACGAGCCACAACCAATAGCCTTGACAGCCGGAAGTGGATTGTTTCCGAGCATCACAGGCTTAGGCTGCAAGTGCTCCGTGTACACCATATCTACCTTGTAGTCGCCCTTGGAGTCCTTCATTTTGTCGTCCACGATACGGCCGAGCTGACCCATTTCTCCTAGTCCCCATGAGTACACACGGCCGTCGTTCGTGCGCACCAGGTTGAACGAGCTACCACAGCGGACATCAGCGATGTTGTCCAGGGACTTGATTAGGAAAGGCTCCGGCTGTTTCTTCTTGAACGCATCCTTGGCCGACGGCGCGTCGCACCACTGCTTGCCCTCCTTGTCACGGTAGCAACCCCACGTATAAACCTTGCCGGCCAACGTCACGACGGCTGTGTGGCAGTCGCCACCCACAACCTGCACGGCTGTGGCCTGCTGTGGGCCAAAGCCGGCCACCTTGGCCGGGATATTCTCGTCGCCGAGGTGGCCCAATGCTCCATCGTCATTGCAGCCCCACGTGTATACCTCTCCGGCCGAAGTGATAGCAGCCGAGTGGAGGCCTCCACAGGCCACGCGGACAATCTGAAGCTTAGCCAAAGGGCTCACGACACGAGGGAACTTGATCATGAGGTCCTCTTCATCTTCCACGCCGTGGCCGAGCTGGCCGCAGTCGCCACTGCCGAAAGTCAGCATTTGGCCCGCATGGGCGCCGAACTTGGCATCGATCTCGCGTGCGTAACTGAGATATTCCTTCATGTTCTGCACCCAGCTGTCGGCCTTGTTGTGCGCCCATTGAGCCTTGACGTTAGAAACAAAAGCGCGATTGAGCGCAGCGAGCTGCCGGGCCGCTTCCTGCGTGCGCGAGGTTGGAGTGGCCGTCACGATTCTGCGTGCCTTGAGCACCTGCGTTGGCGCGCGAGGGAATGATCCAGCCTCATCACTGGGGCCCGACGGCGCTGTGAGAGACGCCTCGTATTGCTCCTTGGACACACCCACATCGACACGTCCGCGCTTCATTTCTTGCTTCGTTTTGCGGCTCGTCGAATGGATAGGAAGGAAACTGTCAATTACGGTATATAAATGACAATTGGATTCGTCCAACACGACATAAAAACACGCCCACAAACATCATCAAATCGACACAATTATTGTGTCACAGACAATTATTGTCTTGCCATTTCCCTCTCGCGTTCACTTTCTCTATTCGCTCAACTTTGTTCATCACCACAACAACTATTTGCCTTCGTTGTCAACAAGTGAAAAAGCTCTCCTACCGTGATGCTTTTCGATGTCACCCGGCTACTCATTCTCACGTTGGGGCTAGATGCACTTGTAAAAACACCAGCTGAAGTTCGGCATCGATCCTGGCCGCATTTCACACGGCATGATTGACGGCGTTCTCAAAGAGTTGATGCCCACGGTTACTTACAGCTGTACATGCACACATGTGCGATCGATCAACCGTTGTAATGCATGCCGCATGACGACCAACGAGAGTATGGATCATCCGCATCGTCATCGCCGTCTCGGCACGGCAATGGCGGGGTCACTAACGGTGGATAGACACCACCGTCAAAAAAGGCAACTTACTCTGAGCTGCGGCGGTACCAGTGCTGTTAGCACGGAAACGTCCATGACAATGTCCGCACGACCCAGCAGCTCCATATCCAACGAGTATGGCTGTCAGTCAAGCAGCACAATTTCGCGCTAGCACAATGCGACTATTCGAGACGGACAGCAACTGTCACGAGTGTTAACCTCCCATGTTGATAAACTTGGAACGCAGTTAAACGGATTTGCTAGCGCGGATGTTCATCCCACTGCAGTATGCTGCTGTTCCCAGACGTATGCAGGTGGCAGTCAGCTCAAAGTTATTTCCCCGCTGCTCAGGAGCTGCAGGATAGCTCGTCAAGGCGGTGCTACGATCAACGTCAGTGCTCCTGACGTCACGGAGCGTCAATTTGCAATTTTTGCTTGGATTTTTTTTTAGATAGAAGACAGATTTTAGACCAATCGAAACTAGCGTGGAGCAATCGCAGTGCAAAAAAGCCTACAATTACAGCTCGTTCTGGTGACTGGGCTCGTGCATAGTCCTGGGGTTGCATCGGGTCGATGACCTCGCAACGATGGCATGTCCGCAATGCAAACTGCATGGAGCGGCGATGGCAAGTTTTAGGCGCTCCACCCTCTGGAGCGCCTCGAGTCTTTGTACCACAAAAGTCTGCTTGGAATCTCTCTAAATAGTAATCTTAGATGTAGCTTCCCTTTCAGAGCGCGTATTTCGTATTAAGAAGGGTTTTTAATTAAGAATAGTAATTTTTCGTTGGTGGTTCGAAAAGCTCAGCAAGTGCAGTAACCGCTGCAATTTGCACTCCAAACGCGTTAGAAACTCCCAGCACGTCCAGTATAATCTTCTCAGAAGCAAAAGCGGTCTCCACATCGGCAGTCTAGGCTACACTCTTGCAGATGCAATGCTCATGCCACAGCTCCTCTTAAGAATATCAGAATGCCTCGAGCAATATTTCACGCGAGAGGATATTGTGTATGGGAAAGTCGACGCTGTGCTCAGCGACGGGGCCCGTAGCTCGATTTTTTACACCTCGACCAAAACGGCTGTTTTATCCCCTCTTGGCGCCGGCTGCAGTCTGGAACCGGACGCTCGCCCTCTTTCGCTCACACGGCAATAGTCCCGCTCAAGGCCACACCAACAACTCAGCCAGTGATGGAGCTCATGGACCAAGTGGGATCGTGTAGCATCCGCGTCATCGACCTGGATGACGGATCCGTGCGTACCATTTCATGGGACCCCAACGTACCTGACCAGGTATTCGAGAGCCTCGTGGAGTCGCAGCTGCGCGCGCAATTTGGCGTGTCGGACGAGGCCTGGGTGGACCTCATCGACACGGCCAACTCGAGCCTCGTGCACATTACCAAGGACGTACTGAGCAATGTCAAGGACTCGCTGTGTCTGTGTCTGTCCCCCAAGACAGAGGCGCTCGCCCCCATGAAGAAGAGCGAGGTGTTCGAAGTTGTGTTCGAGGATCGATCTCTGGGCATGACTATCCGCGAGCACAACGAGAGCGTCATCGTCAACCACTTCAAGCGTAAACCTGACGGATCAGTGGGGGAGGCCGAGGCCAGTGGACTCATTCAACCCAACGACGTCATCTACAAGGTCAATGGCGCTAGAACTGTCGGCCGCAGCTACGACAACGTCGTGCAAATGCTGCAGACGCAGACTCGTCCACTCAGTATCCAATTCTTCCGTCCATTCCGTCGCGAAGGACTCTTTGCAGTCGAGTTCCGTGGCGCCAGCCTCAATATGACCATTACAACGGACGATGTGAACGTGATCGTCAAGGATCTCCCCATGGCTCACCCCAATATTGTGGGCTATGCGGAGGCTCATGGTGTGCGCATTTTTGATATTATCCATGCAGTAGATGGAGAAGTAATCAACGGACTCGAGTACAACCGCGCCATCAGCTTGTTGAGTCGCAGTACTCGCCCCATGGTGGTGGTTTTTGCACGTTCCAAGATGATGCCCCCCACTCCCGGTAGATCTACAGCTGTCATGACCAACCGTTTCTCGTTCGCGTCTACTGTGGCGCCATCGCCTCGCCCCAGTAACGTGGACGGTTTCGGCTCTCGTCGTGGCTCGGGATCCTCTATGATGAGCGGCGTGGACGGCGAGAATATGATGGTGGAGGAGATGCTCGAGTTCTGCGAAGGTCTGGGCAATGACGGCGTGTTGAACCAGAAAGAAGTGGAGATGCTGAAAGATATGGTGCTCACAATGCGGCCAGACGTGTGCAGTGCAGTGAAGCGGAAGAATAACAACGCTATTGTGGCGATTGTGCGCTCTCCGTTCATGAGACTTTGGGACAGTCTACTCAAGACCCGGGAGAGCATTGTACTGGCTGGACCTGTGTCTCTTAAACGCAAGAAGCGCTTCCACTTGCTGCTCACAGACCACGAACGCCTTCTCTTTGTCAATAAGGACACTAACTTATTAGAAGACGAGATCATGTGCTCGCAGATCGTGACTGTGAGCTCGCGCTCCAAATACCAGGAGCTCACGATCTCTACGAGCAAGACGGACTACGTGCTGATCGACAATTTCATTGGACCTGTCATTTGGGTGCGTGCCATCCTGCCTTACACGTGCACTCAGGGTATTCTCAAGGTGGCGAGCAGCAGACGCTTCCTCGTCTCCAAGAAGCGGTATTTCGTGCTGCGGGGCAATCGCCTCACGGGTTACAAGAAGGAGAGTATGGTGCACCAGGTCGGCGCTAAGAGCAGCACGATCTCTCTTGAGGATGCCAAAATTGACATCTCGGACCCGCGTAACCTCACGTTCATCATTACCACGCCCGAGTTCAGTCAAGCTGGTAAGAAACTCATCCTAACGGCGACGTCGACACGAGAGTTCAACAAGTGGAGTACCGCATTCCAAGCGCTGCAAACGTCGTCCCCAACCCCCGCAGCGTGATCTTAGCGAGACAAAAGTTGCTGGCCCACAAGAGACCAGCAGAACTACCCAGCTCAGACATCCATACGAGATCTTTGGGTGAAAAAGTCTGCCTATGGCAGCAAAAACGACAGGAAATAGAACTATCGCAGGCCGCAGGAGTGGCTAGACGAAACGCATTGTGATGCAGTGAATGGAAATTGAAGAAACAAGCTCGACAGCTTGTGCTGTGCTTACAACGTATGGGGCAAAAACACGAAGTCAAAACGCACATGAAGATGAAGCCAAATACAAAAGTTTTATAGTATCTTTAACCGAAGTAGTTCCTTGTTTTTCGTGTAAGCTTCGATCTCAGTCGCCAGTGCTTGGAACTCCTCGATCGGCGTGAGGTACGCCCAGGTTTGGTAGAATATAATTTTCTTCTGTATGGCTGTGAGTTTCTTCAATGCTGTCTTCCTCTCCCTTCTAGCTTGTTTGTCTGACTCACTATTGCGCACTAGTTCCTGCTGATACCGCTCTAATAATGCACGCGTGTCACTGAGAGCATCTAGTAGAAACACGTCCGTGCGTATTATCTGCTGCACATCCTGGATAGCTAGCGCATTCGTAGCCGATCCCTCACTAGACTGTTTCTCCAGGCAAGACAAGCACACGTGCTCCAAGGACTGGTAGCGTGCATCGTCACTAAGGACTCGGCATAGGTCTAGTAGCATGAATGCTGCCTCTGCCGTGTCTTGAGCGCAGTCGCCGTTGAAAGCTCGAAGCACCAACGCATATGCGAAAAGAATTTCAACTAGATGGTAGCGCAGACACGGCGACGGCTGCCTTCCATCAGGAAGCAGAGCGCTCATACTCTTAGGCATCTTCTGCGCAACGTTGGTTGTAAAGATTCGAACAGGATACAAAACTGAAGGCTCCAGTAACACGGCTGAAGACGCCTCACTCTCGTTCTCACCCTCATCATTTTCGCCTCCAATCTCCTCCAGAACCAGCTCACGGCGTCTTGCTGACGTCTCGTTTCGGTACTTGCGTTCACTCATCAACCACCACGGCGTCCAGAGCTCTACGAGCTTGCCCAGTCGTCCATCTGCCACTTCTCCTAAGAATTTTCTCCTCTCTTCAGGTGTTAAACAGTCAAGTGTCAGACGACCCTCTTTATCTAGTAGTGCCAGCTCCTGCATCCTCTGCACCAGCGCTTCCTCGTCGTCTTCTCCGTCTGCCAACTGCTGCTGTTCTTCCTGGAACTCCCGCACTCGCTCCAGCAGCTCCTGGATACTCCTCTGTTGCTTCTCATCGTCATTTCCCTTTGCATTCGAAGCCAGTGTCATCTCACTACGCACGTGGCTCTCGAAGAATTGCTCCGTGCATCCCTCGCCATGGGAGCGGTAGCAGTCCACACTGCAGTATGGAGTGTTGCAGCGTGGGCAGGTATATCTTGCCTCCTGCGTCGTGCACACGCGACACACTCGAGCCATCGACGCATTATTAACCACTGGCCCTTCAGAGAGCACTGGAGATGCTGACACATTGCTGGAGGGCTTCACCGTCGTCCGGAGAGTGCCAAGTCGGATCGGAACGGGCTCCATGATGTCAGTGGTGAGTGGTGACGGATACAGTATTGGCCGATATTCAGCCAATGGAAAAATATAGCCATTTCACTGCACGCTTCTGTAAAAAAAAAGTTGTTTAACTTTTTTTTTTTACGAGGTATGCGCTTGTGGTAGTATTTACATTTTAAGAATGCAATTATAGCGCATACATGTAGGGGGAGTCAGAATTGAGAAACGGTAAGCAAAATATGGCCATTCGCACACCTATAAAGTGGCCAGACATCTCCCATAATATCGCCACGGTCACAATCGAAATAAATGACCATATTTTTGTTGTTGGGTTCTTACTGCATGTGTGGTCTGTGGTAGATGAGGGCAGACACTACTCGCTTATGGAGGGTGGGTGCATCCGATGCACCCACCCTCCATAAGCGAAAAATTATTCCGTATAAATATAGTATTCATATTTTTTGTACGGAATTATTTACTATTGAAATATATGACTATGTGATATTATTGCACAACGACACAATATACTGCTATTAATACTATAAGAAGTATTATACTAGCCGTGGACGGTTCAGTCAATCGCCGACGATCCCATAACCGTAGTTGGATGGCTCAGAGCTTCGCAACGCTTAGCCATCTAGACAGCAACCTTCGTACAAAATTTAAGCTCTAAGCTCTCAGTTCCAACTGCATTCTCTACTGTAAAACTCTTCAGAATGAGCACTACACGCAACAGCGACCTTTGCCGCTTCTTTTTCGCTGCTGACACAGACCATTTTGTCTGCAACT